TTGTTATACATACTAGATTATTTTGTTGTTTGGTAATGTTTGTTTTTGTTGTTTTGTAATTTTTATTTGGAGATATTTCTTTTGAATAGCTTTGAAATTCCAAAACTTAGCACATTACATGCATTTTGATTAAGACTTGTGCTTGAACCTCCTTCTTCAATGAAGTCAACTCTTCTGGCATAGATAAAATAAATCACAATTCATAAGTTTTCTGAGCCATGCTGACACATTCAAACTTTAAGTGTCTTGCATATGACATGGCTCCAGCAATGGATAAATGGGTTGCGTATAACAGTATATATTCTGAACAAATTTTGCATTTTTTTATAAACATGTGAATAACTATGAAGTAAAGCAGTTCAAAACCTAATCCAGTTATGCCCTAAATGTTGTAACAAATAGTGGGGATAATGCAAAATAAATTTTAAAAATATGTATGCTTGAATTTTTTTGTATTTCTGAGTTTTACTTTTTTATATTGAACTTTTTGCATAAAATAATTTATATTGCAAAAGTATTATTGATTTTAAAAGGTTGTAAGGTTTGGGGCACCAAAAAAGTGCAGGTGATGTGGGACCCCCTAATTCATAAATTTGGATCAGTGTAAATTATTTAAGTGTGGCTCAGAAGTATTTGTAATTTTACATTATTTTGTGTTTTGATGCTATAATAGGCTGTTTTTTAATCTGATAAAATTCTTGTATATATATATATAAGGAATATTATGCATGTTTTTGGAAATTATAACTTTTTTTTTTAAAATGTGTCAGTTTAGTTTCACTCGGTGAATAAGATGATACATTAATGGATAACACAGTTTTTATATATATTTTTTAATTGTGTATTTTTTTAATGTAACAGTTAAAAGGATTTCATTAGACCTGTTTGTTGTATAGAGTTTGTAAATTTTATTTGCAGCACAGTGCATTAATAAATATACGGCAAGTTTAATCTTGTCAGATGTTTAGCATTACCACAAAATAATTATTTTTCAGTTTCTTTAACATTAAGCTCACTCTGATGTAGTTCATACAGTTATGCTTTCTACATATTTATTAATTAAGTTATTACTGTATCTGTTTTTATTTGTATTATTTATTTTTCGAAATACTTAATGTGTAGTATTTTAAATATTTTTTATTCTTTTTTAAACTAACAATTTTTTATTAATGTATTTTCAAATAGGTAGCTAATCGTAAAGGTATACATCGAACCTTATTTGGAGTAACGAAAAAATTTTTTGGTAATAAACCAGGTGTACAAAATCCTGCTTCCTCATTAAATTCTGTTGTGTAAGTGCATTTTATTTTACACATATTTCATTTCATTTGAATTAATGTGTTTATTTCGTATATATATAGTTATATGTCTTCGGCTAATTCTCGGCAAAATAAAAATTGCTATTGAACATATTTTTTTAAATCATAAATATATTTTTATTTCTTGATATAAGCTTTTTTGTGATTTGATTTGAATAAACTCATTTATTGTAAAACTTGTACAGGGTTCGTAGCGGTCCTTACAAGTGCTTATAAGTCCTTATATTTGAAAATAAAATATAAAGGCTCTAGGTGCTTACTTTTTCCTTAAAGCCCTTATTTTTTTGTTTTTAGTGCTTATTTTTTTATATTTTTTGTTTTTTTGCTTTTAGTGCTTTTTTTTAATGAATGCGCATTTTTTCCCCGTACCAAAGCCGAAACTAAATAAACAACTTTTCTTCCTTATATGCACGTCAGATGGTGAATCATACTCCTGGAAATTGCTTTTCCCCTTTTTCTCTGCATTAACGTAACCTATGGTGCGCGCGAGAGTACAGACAGGTGCACGTCGTGCTATTGGTTAAAGAATTGCGAAAACGGTAGACGATCCGGTACATTTCAGATTATTTTCCTCCCACCCAAATATTACACAGTTTGAATTTCTATCAAGAATTTAGGCTCTAGGTAGAATTGGGTGCCCCTTCGATTAGTGACAAATTATTAAAAAATTTTGGCGATGAAACCTCATTTCTGGTTCCCATGATAGTTTTAATATTTAGCTTCCTGATTTTTTTAAAACGAAAATAGATTAATCTGTACATGGACAAATTTAAAACAGTGCACAATGCCTAGTTTGTGCAATTCTGGGATGTTTTTGAGGTGAAAAAAGATCAATGTGTACATGGACACAGAGTTTGTGCAATTCTTTGACTTCTTATTTTGGTTTCGTTAGCGTCCATCTTGAATTGCGCTTTCTTGGTTGCCGATCTTGGCGTAAAAAATAATCGCCAAAAACAAGGGGCACCAAATTGTAAACTTTACCGAATTTATATTTGCATTCTCGTTCCGTGGTCATACATATTCGTGTTTATTATGATCGTTATGCTTATATTATGAGCATATGCATGATATTTATAAATACAGTCAAAAGTCGTTAATCCGGACTCGTCGGGACTCGGCGATTCCGGATTATAGATCATCAGTTTTAAATCTGGTAAGATGGCATGCAGAAATTACAAAATTAAAAATTGAAACCGTAATTTATGAAATAAAACAATTATGATCTAAAGGGTATCAAAATTTACAAAAAGAAAAGCTTAATATTTATTTGTTTACTTTATTAAACATTTCCTTCAATGTAAGTTGCTTCGTTCATGTGATAATACTTTCTCTTTAATTCTAATTTAAACAGAATAATTTCTTGTTTAGTTACCAAAGTTCCGCTGTTCAAGTCCTCTAATTGCTGTGTTGAGAATACCGACTAATTTGTCAATCGAAATGTTTTCGTTTTCAATAACCTCTGGGTAACTTTCTCACTAGCGAAGCAAATATAATGACGAGGAACTTGATTTAAAAATCATATCAAAGACAGAATGAAATACTACACTTAGTACGGAATTATAAGCCAAATAAAAATAAAAAACATCTGCTGAAGATAAGGATAGTGCTGACAGATCAACTTCCAATCCACTGCGTGAAATTGATAAACAATTTCGGATCTCAAAACATACTTTCGCTTTGTAGATACAAATTACATATTAGTAAATATATATCGAAATTCTATTGACATTCATAATCTCTCTAATCTATCATAATCTAATAATGACGTTTCTGCCCCCCCCCTCTGCCGCAGAGCAGTGTGAAATTGATAAACAAATTTCGGATTTCAAACATACTTTCGCTTTGTAGTAAATAACATCGGAATTCTATTTGACCATAATCGAAAGTTCAAGCTTACTTTTATAAAATTGCTCTAACAGTCTGCAAAAAATAATAAGCCGGATCCAATTCGAAGATTAAGGAACAACGCAGTCGGCAACATTAACTGAATTAGATAACTTTAGCTTAGCGTATAACTCTGTTACAATTTAAACGCGCATGCGCACAAACATATTCGCAGCCGTAAGGGTCTTACGCGCTCTCGTAAACGCCTGTGCGCATGCGTGAACGTGACGCATGCGCAGAAAGTTTGTAGCTTTGAGGTCCGAATTAACGACTTTTGACTGTAATATAGTTGCAGTAACTGCTGAAGTATAGATAAACTGCCAAAAATGGGTGTGTTTTTACACAGATTAGCTTTCTAAGGAATAATATTCGGAATGGCTTAAATAAAAGGAAAGTAATCGAATAGTCAAAATTACCCCCCCCCCCGGTACGTTAGTTATACAGTACGGAGGTTGGGAGATTCTCCCTTTCTACGCAAAATCTCTAATACCGGACCTTTTTTTTTTTTTTTTTTTTGTCAGTGTCCAATCTGGATTGAATAGGACTAAAAGTTTTGGGGTCTACCCAACCCAAGCGAAGAATGACCCTATTTCGGAAATTTAACACAGTCTGTTCAAAATTAGAATCAAAACACCCCATTAGTAAGTCTCTTCTTTTTTATTAGTTCTTTATTCTCCGAATACTGGCAGCTGTCATTCCGATTCCGATTGCGTAGTATCACGTGCAGAAGAATTAAGGCGCACATATTGCACAATAACCTTTGCGATATTTCACAGAGATAATTAATTTGAGTTCAGTCTGAGATTACTGTGCTTGTTAATCGGATTAAGCAGAAATTTTTCAGTTCCGTTGGGCTGTTTTTTATATGATGCACATATCAAAATGTCAAAATAATTTATTTAGCCGAAAAATCTAAAGAACGGCTACAATCTCCCCCCCTCCTCTTTTTCTAGTTACGCTCGACTATACAGAATATTCGGAAATTTCCGAGTATGCGGTTTAGTTAAGCTTTTACCATTAAAGGATGACTGAATGAAGCAATTTCCCGTCTCCTGATTTCAGAAATGCGCCTCTTTTTACTTAAATTACTTTGGTTGGAATATATGTTAAGGGAAAACTGTTATGCAATGAAAATTTAGAAAATGTTCAGAATTTTGATTTAAGTTAAATATTTAAGTATTAATATGAGGGAAAATAATTGATTATTATTAGGTGCCAAAAATTCAATTAATATGGCTTATTATTATTTATTTTCTATATTTTGAACTGAAATTTCATCATTAAATCTTGTAACATAGTTTATTTCTGCATAGTTTTTTTTCTGTCATTGCAAACTAATTCTGTAAAATGAACTGTCATTTAAAATTTAAAAAAAGGGGGGAGTGGTACTATTTTGTTTTGAGGGCCGTAAAAAAATTACAGCGAAAATGTATGCGCAAAAGCGCCAAATCTAGCAAACGCGCCCATTTAACAGCGGCCAAATCTAGCGTACGTGCTGATTTCAGATTGCGTAGTTTAATATAGTTCTATATCTTAAGACGCCATGAAATACTAATATTAATTTTTAATCTTTTTATATATATATAATATATATATATCCTATAGATTTAACAATTTGGGAATTGCCCATGACGAAAAGTGGGCAATAGAATTTGGGGTAAAGTGCAGAATCATCCACTGCTTGACGCGTTTTTAAGAACTGCACATACTCAGTATCCATGTGCACATCGACCTATTTTCACTAAAAAAAAAGTATCCTAAATATGCACAAAAATGGCAGTGCGCACACTCTTGACTTTATCTGTGTACACATTGAAGTATTTTCAATTTAAAAGTAAAAGAAAATTGACAAAAATCCAATTGTTTTTACCCTTGTAAAAAGCGGCGAACAAATAAGTGAGCTATTCTGCACTTTACCGAGAATATTTTCAAAGAAAAGGCATCATTACTTATAGAAAATTACGTTTGAACAACCAACGAGATGAAATTATGCTTTAACGATAAGTCGGTAGCGAAATAGCGATACAGGCATCCATTCAGTTATGTTTAGCAATTTTTATATAAATTATAATAATAAAAGGTATTGTATGAAATTAACCTTTCATCTAAATTAAAACATCAATCTTAGATAGTTATTTACTATTATACTTCCTTTCTTGCCGCAATTATTTTTGCCAGCATTGGCATCAACAATAGTTTGGCGATTTTTTACGGCCCTTGAAACCGAAAAGTACCAAAAAATTTAATTGTTTTCCATGGTTGAGGTAATGCATTCTCTTAATAAATATTGCATTGCTCATATTTTAAATTACAAGTCTAATTTTTCTTTTAAGGTTATGCAGTTGTGTATAATGTAATTAGACAGGTGCTTATTTTTTCCTTAAAATGTGCTTGAAAAGTGCTTATAGGTGCTTATTTTTTTAACTAAAATGTGGCTACGAACCCTGTTGTATCACTTAAAGATTATCACTCAATTTATGTTTTTTATGTATAATTTAGGAATTTAAAAAATGTATTTATTTTTGCCTTTTAAAAATTTAAAAGAATTGAGAAACCATTTTTTTTTTTTTTTTTTTTTTTTTTTTTTTTTTCCTTACTGCATAGAAGTAAAATTAAAGATTTTCAGAATTTCTGCTGATGAAATAACCTCATACATAATATTAGCATGCCATGCAAATGGTGTGAATCAACTTTCTTGACTCATTCATGCATTAACTTTTCTTCTTTTTTCTTTCTCTCCCCTTTTTATATATGAAGTGCTTTCCATTGTAAATTATAATATTGAAACTGTCATCTATGGTAAGTTTAAAGAGTCTTAATTTAAGGGAGGGGAATTAATAAAATTTTAATAAGTTTATTTATGTAAAATGAGATTTTTTTATGTAATTTTGATGCTGAATCTGAATTTCTTTTTTGCCCTCAATGTTCCTTTTTAACATTTCAAACTTGTGAGCTAAATTGCATTTCATGCATTGAAGTCGAATTTATATTACACTGTTTTCTAGCAGAGGAAGATAATTAATCACAAAATATTTAAAAGTAAACATTAAAGAATTTACTATAAATATATATTTTTTGAAAGTTGTCAAAATTATTTAAAGATTGAGCAGTTGTCTGCTCAGTAAATCTTTACATTTAACCTGTAATCTTGATATGGTGTCAGTTAATTCCTTTATATTCAAGTGCATAATGAAAATTGTTTTTGCAATAATTTCTATAAAATTTAATTTTTTTCCCTTTTAATTTCATGAAATTTTCACCTAAATTTTGACTTTTGATATATATTAAGTACTTTTATAATCTGAATAATCTGTTTGTTTAAATAAGTGTAAAAAACTCAAAATTTAAATTATTTCAGTTATGGCCCAGATGCTCCTGAGCTGCAAGTACGGAAGCTGGGAGACTTAGCATTTATGTTTCAGCTTTATGAAGTTGCATATCAGGCTTATCATAATGCAAAGAGGGACTTTAGTGCTGACCAGGCCTGGCTTCATTTTGCTGGAGCTTCTGTAAGAATTACTCCTCATATTTTTATTAAAATATTTACTTGTCTGAAATGTAATTAAAATAGTTAAAATTTAATTAAAATAATTGTGCATAATGTGTATTAATATTATAACTGTTTTTAACAATCCTCTTTATTGGCTTTTTGCTGATGTGCCATGCACTCATCTATTGTAAAATTTAGTCTCTACGCATGTCATGCATTCAAATCATGATGTACTAATTTTTACTTCCTTGTATGAAGTAAAGGAAGTATTGTAATCGCGAAAAATTCCGGGTATCGTATTTCAACAAAAATACCCATTTTTACCGCTATCAAATGCAATTTAATGATGTTTTTGTGTTGCATCTGTATGTAAGGACAGAATAACGAAAAAAAAAATTCCCCAAATGAATTATAAAACTGATTTTAAATAGATTCGAAAAAGATTTTTTCGTGTGTATGTATGTTGGTTGCATAATTCAAAAGCCAGTAAGTAGCCTTAGAATCTTGAAATTTTCTATATAGGACTGCTATAACATGTAGTTGTGCATCTCCTATTTTAGATGCAACCGGCTGCACTAAAAGTATATAAATATATAGTGCGTCATATAAAAAGTCTCTGCGATTTTTTTGCCACTAGATGGTGTTGATGCCTATATATCCAGCAACATTCACCCAATTGTCTCAAACGAACCCGTGCTTAATAGGTGACATTCAGTTTCCATTGTATGTGAAGATAATTTTCTAATTCATTGCTCGTGTAAAAAGTCCTATTTATTTGAAAATGAGTGAAATATCTCAAGAAATACGCTATGTGATGCTTTTTTACTATAAAAAAGGTGAAAACGCTGCAAAACCATGCCGAACAATTTGCAAAGGTTATGGTGAGAGTGCTGTGAGTGAACGAAGGATCCAGGAGTGGTTTGCTCGATTCTGTTCCATAAATTTTGGTGTCAGAGATGCACCTCGCTCTGGTCAGCCAGTGACTGAAAAAGTCATTGTAATTATGTTACTGGTGGAGCAAGACCAGCATGCAAGCTGTCAGGAAATAGAGGAGGCACTAAATATCAACCACATGATAGTTTGGAATCATTTGAAAAGAGCAGGCTACAAAAAGAAGCTCGATGTTTGGATGACATATAAATTAATGCAAAGACATTTGCTGCTACAACCTGGTGAAGCTATCAGTTCACCCCTGAACTGTGCACAACTTGACTGTTTTGAAGGAAGCAAGGTTGGGAAGTTTTGATGCATCCACCGTATAGCTTGAACCTTGCATCGTCTGACTATCATTTCAAAGGCCTTCAATAGAGTTTGGTTGGAGGGCCTCACTTACAAATTAATCAACCTGGGTTTCCCAGGCTATATCACAAACATCATTAGTTCCTATCTGATAGATAGACATTTCGTCATTCATGTCAACCACAACACCGAGAGCCAGGGTCCCACAGGGCAGTCTTTAGTATTCAATATTTACACGAATGACATCCCACATACACCACATGCCACCCTCGCAATGTATGCAGATGATACAGCAATTCTGACACAAAGCGCTTTTCATGGCTCAGTTATACAAGCACTATAAAATCACATCCACACTCTGGAGTCCTGGCTGAGGGCCTGGAAAATCCAAATCAATGTCTCAAAGTCAGATGTTATCCTCTTCACCATAAGAAGAAAATTTGCTGCTAACTTGCACATCAAAATGTATGAGACTCCTGTTCCCTGGGTGAAGCAGACCCACTACCTTGGTGTCACATTAGACCACAAGCTCTCATGGTGCCCCCACATTTCAAGTATCCTCAACAAGTTCCGAGCACGTAAATTTACGCTGCCCCCTCAATTGCTCAGAACAGTGTTCTCTCAATCAACATTAAGTTATTCATTTACCAAACCATTTTGTGCCCAATTCTCACCTATGCCTGCCCTGTTTTGGGGTATGTTTGTCTTACTTCTATGCAAAAGTTGTAAACTTCACAAAATGTTGTTTTGAGAAAAGCGGTGAATTGCCGCTGGTTCATTAGAAACATGGCGATTCGCCATGAAATCAATATTCTTGAAATCAATGTTTACATGTCCAAATTGGCAGAGAAATTCTTCCGGAAAATTCTGGATGTCAATAATGATACTATTCCTGTTCTAAATTATGATTATTGTGCAAGTGAAAATAGGAAAAGGCCAATGGCTGTCCAAGGTACATTACTTAAATACTTTTCATCATTATGTAATTATATTGTAACTCTCATTTTATATCTATATTATTACTTATACCACACTTGATCCTGTGCTTGGTTGTTGCTTTTTCTGTTAAGTCCCCCCACTTAAATGCTTTAGACTCTTGTTTATATCGGATTGATTGTATATTAGCATTTTGGCAGTACTGGCATTTCTTTTATAATATGTATAATATTGCACTTACTGAGCACCTCCAGTTTTCGTCGCCAGATTTGGTCTATCGGCAGTTAGGAATAGTGAATAGACTCTTGGTTCATTTTTTCATCATGATATGTGTTACGGAACTCTTGTGTTTTACTTATGTCACACTTCAGCTGTTGCAACTGTTGGATATGGGCTTCTCTGAACTCTCAACTGTATGACCTAACACGTATTTGAAAATTGGCAAGTTTGTTATACTGGGATAGCGAGAGTTTTGTGGGAATCCAAGATATGCGTATGCACCGTGCCTGGGGAATCCAAGATATACGTATGCACCATGCCTGAACCGACTATCATTTGTTTCGAACTCTATAAATCTCTTCTGATGGTAAAAAATTGGCCGAATGAAGTGGCACTGAAAATCACTTGGCCAGGTTTTTTTATGATAAACCACAGAAGTTCTACACCTATTTAATCATCTAGCTGCCTGAAAAATGGCAAAAGGCGATAAATAATAATGGTCAATATGGTACGGGGTTAAAACTGATTTTCAATAAAGAAAATTTTTGTTCAAAAATGTACACAAAAACCACAGAGACTTTTTATATGCCCCAATACATATATATATATTTATTCTTATATGTTGGTAAATAGTGCATTTTTTGCTTTAAAAATGATTGAATTTTGTTATTTTTATCTTCCGGTTAAGGTTTTTATGTCTTTAATTATTCTTCATGGAATAGTTGTAGAATTATCAACAATTTACAGTTGTCTAAATGAGAATAAGCCTAATTTTTGTTTACCACGGCAGCCATATTTGCTTATGTTTGAAACAGAGCAGAATAGTGAATTAAGTCAGTTTCTGCACCTTCATGTTTTTTTTTTTTTTTTTGCCAAGTGGGACCAAAAGTAAATGTTTTAATTTGGGCACCGAAAAATCTGGCCTCTTGCCTGCTGCCCAAATTGCTTGTTTTTGCAAAGGAACTGTAATTTTAATTGAAAAATAAATTTTTCTTTTAAGTGTTTTTGGTGTTTTATGTTTTTCTATATCTTTCAATTTTTAATGAAGATATTTTAAGTTTTTATGTATTTTTTCCTTGTCTCAAATTGAGAACTGAATTAATTGAATGAGAAGTATATCTCTAATGAAATTCGAGAAAATAAGTTTAAATGAAATGTAGGGGGGAATGTGTATAATTTAATATTCTGTACAAGGAAGTCATGCGTGCAATAAACTGATACAATGCATTTGGGGAAACTGTACCCGCTACTACATACCTTGGAGGGGAGGAAGAAAACAACCCGGAATTCTTAAGGGAGGACCAAAAACAGAAAATGCATCTGGGGCGTTTTTGGTCATTTGAATGAAGGTTCGTCTGGGCCGATGTGATCTTCAAAGAGCTAAACTAAAGATCTGTACTGATTGAATATTTATTCCAATTAAAAACTTGTTAGAATTTTCAAAATTTTCCAGTTCCCAATTAAAAAATAAATAAATAAATAAATAAATATGACCTATTTCAGTAGTCAAATGAATTCATAGAATGGAGTGACATCAAGCACTTATTGGTAATGTGGTCAATCTTTACTTAAGAAAATATTTTTTTAGTACAGCATGCTATCAGATGCAGTTTGTCTTTTATCACAAAGAATTTTGCAGAGGATATTGTTTTATCGAAGATAAGAGTGAAATTTCATTGATCTACCAATTTTCACTGTTGAATTTAACAGGCTTCCTGATAAAATGTATTAATGAAGCAACCTCGTGCTTATACGTTAACAGGAAAAAATACAGTAAAGCTTATTTAAAGTGCTCTTTCAGGTCTAAAAACTGTAAAAAGATTCCTAGTGAAGTGTGTAGAAAATGAGGTGTTTAATATTTTTGTTGGAGGGGGGTAAAGAAATAAATTTGGAATCGTTAAAACAAATGTAGAATTTAATATTAGATTTCTTTTTGAAATTTATAAAAATTAAAAAGTGTATATTTTATATAGGAAAAGTGTTCTTACATACAAACTTAATTTCTGATTTTTATTGAAGTAATATTATGGACTCTCCATACCTTTGTATGTAGGCTTTTTTGATGAAAATATTATTTAAAGAATTATTTCTTATTTCTTTGTTGTTTTTAGGAAATGGCGGCATTGTCTGTATTTATGCAAAATAGCTCTGTTCATGAGTATCCAGCTCGCTATATAGAAAGTGCAATTACAACATACCTCCACACTTGCAAGTAAAGCTGTATTCATTTATCAGATATTTATGTTATTTCTATTAAATTCATAGTATAAATTGTTTTTATGACATTTTAAAAATTTTTATCCAAAATAGAATGAGATTTATTGCTGCTCTTTTTTAATTGTGAATTAAATTTTCTAAAAGAATGTTTAAAACTGTGAGGAAAGAAATAGAAAAATTAACATAATATTTAATGTGACAGATAAAGTTAAGGTCAGTTGCTGTTTCTGGAAACTATTAACTAAAAATGTTCTGCACAGTTTTGTTTTCCAACAGGATACAGGAAATATTTATGCTGCGAATTTTGTGTTATATATGCACATAAATAAATTTAGTATTTCCAAAAACCCAGGAAATACATGGTAATCACTAAAACGCATGAAAAAATATAAACGAAAATGAAACCAGTATATTTACTCAAAGGAAATTTAAATTAAACTGAAAGGTGGGATATTTGTCACAAAGATTTTTGAAAATGTAAGTTGTAGGTTAAAATTGGAAAGAAATTATTGCTAAAAAGCTAAAAAATGTAAGGAATTAAAAATGTTTCAAGCTCATACTTTGTCTGGGGAGTATGCCAAATGCATAAACTTGAGTCACATTTATAAAATCCAAAAATGTTTCCATGTTGTGTGAGTGCTTTAGAAATTTCTCCCTAAAGTAATAAAAGATTTGTAGACCATTCACAGAACCACCCCATAGGTTTCTGAACTTTATTAAAAATGAAATAGGAAAGAAATTGAAGTAAAACAGAACCATTGTAATTAAGACACAATAACATGCTGAACAAATACTAATTCAGAAGTCAAACAACAAAAATCATCGTTATATTTTCAAATTTTTCACAGGACAATGGCGACACTTGCTTATTCTTGTCCAGCCTTTCTTATCTTATGTAATCATGAAATCCTATCTCGTTCATTTGCGCTTTTGCAGCTGAGGATGATGGTTCGGTAAAACCATCGACACTAGTCTTATGAAAATATAAAATATAACGCTGATTTTTGTTGTTTGATTTCTGAATCAGAACTATTATGTTGGCAATAAACCCCAAATCAATCATAAAGGGAAAGACTAAACATTTCCAAAAAATACATGTAAAACGCAAATAAAATTAAAAACATTAAAAAAATTAAAGCTGTTCGATAATTATAATTACTAATTGTAAACAATTTGCATCAAAGTCAAAAAGATGAAAAGGGAGACTTACTGTTTGCTTACGTGTCAAAATAAACTATTATGCTACCAGCGTACCACATACTCTAGAGACTAAAAAAAAAATATTCTAAAGTAAACATTTATTTGCTGAAAAGATGTTTGGAACTTAAATAAAATATCACTCGGATAACAAGTCATTCTTCTTTAATAAGCCTAACTAACTACACAGACTTATATTTTTGCTAATTCTATAAATTGTTTTTGTTGCCACTTCCAAGATACAAAACTAAAAATAATTATTAGTTTCCAAAACACATTAAGTAAATAGAATAAAATTAAAGCACATATAAAATAAAGACTACATTCATTTAAAATCCAACACTTACCATGCTTTTCTGAAGCCATTTTGCAAGGACTAGGACAAAGGGCTGTATTTGGTAAGAAACGAATTGGGGTAATTGGCTCCAAAATGGATTTTTCTTTACTTATTTTAATGATTCATTAAGAAAAATGGATTTTTTTTTTAAATTAAGTAATTTTGAAGAAAATGGAATTTCTAGCAGCAGTAAGAAATAATAGGGGGGGGAAGGGGAAAAAAAGAAGTAGAAAAGTAAATATATTCACATATTTAGCTAAAAAGTAATTCAAAGAGAAATTGTCCTGTTAGTCACAGATTTTTGCTTCAGAGAACATAATTACATTTTTGCAAAAGTTACTGATTTCCTCCTCTAATTTCCTCATTGTTTAAATTGTAACATCATATATAACTTTCAGTATTAAAGCTGGCATTTAATACCAATTTTCCTAAATTGGAAGTTAATAAAATAAACTGGAATTTTATTTTTTTGAATAATTTAGGGAAGAATGAGATTTCATTCTGTAGGTTGTAAATTTCCGTGCAGTTTTTTTAATTCTGTGCATTTGGTTAATAATGGTAGTAACTAAAACATTTTTAGATTTGTAGGAATGACAGTGAGTAACTTTATTGGTAGGGAATTTAAAAAGTATCTTTTTATCAAAAATTGGAATCTGTTGGTAGTTAATAATGTTTAAGTAAAAGAAGTCAATTTGCACCTGATTTAAATTAGTTTTATTAAGTTCAAGGCAGCTGGGGTAAATTTTGCTAATTCATTCAGTTAAAGTGGATATGCCAAAACTGATGGAAATGCTTGTATTTGAAGAAAACTGTGTGGTCATGCAGTTTCAGGTAAAGTAAGGAAATAAAAAAAAAATGTAATAATAGCAGTGGAAACCATTATTTCAATGAGAATATTGTTATACAGTCAAAAGTCATTAATCCGGACTCGTCGGGACTTCAGCGATTCCGGATTATCGATTTTTCCGGATTATAGATCATCAGTTTAAATCTGGTAAGATGGCATGCAGAAATTATAAAATTAAAAATATGAAACCGTAATTTATGAAATAAAGATCAATTATGATCTAAAGGGTATCAAAATTTACAAAAAAAAGCTTAATATTTATTTGTTTACTTTATTAAACATTTCTTTCAATGTAAGTTGTTTAAGCTGCTTCGTTTTTTACGTGATAATACATTCTCTTGAATTCTATAAACAGACATAATTTCTTGTTCAGTTACAAAGATCCGCGGTTCAAGTCCTATAATTGCTGTGTCTACCGACTAATTTGTCAATCCAAATTTTTTCGTTTTCAATAACCTCTGTTACTTTCTTCACTATCGGAAGCGAATTATAATGACGAGGAATTTGATTTAAATCATATCAAAGACGGAGTACATCGAGATGAAATACTACATTTAGTAAGGAATTATAAGCCAAATAAAATAAAAACATCTGCCCTGAAGATAAGGATAGTGCTGACAGATCAACTTCCAATTGATAGCGCACCCGCCGCGGTGTTAAAGATAAAGTTTAGATAAACAAACGTTAAAGTTTAGATAAACAAAGGATATGCCTTTATTCATTTTTTGCAGAAATTCCACTTTTTGTTTAATGAACTTTGAAATATACTTTCGCTTTGTAAATCCTTTACATATTAGTAAATATATATCAAAAATTCTATTTGACATAATCGAAAGTTCAAGCTTACTTTTATAAAATTGCTCTAACAGTTTGCAAAAAATAATAAGCCGGATCCAATTCGAAGATTAAGGATCAACGCAATCTGCAACATTAACTGAAATAGATATTTAGATAATTTTAGCTTGGCTTAAAACGTCCGTCATACATTAAACGCGCACTCGTAAACGTATTTTGCAACAATATCATGTATATTAGTTTAAACTAATAAACTAATATCATATATATTAGAAATTAAACTAGTATCATATATATTAGTTTAATTTGTTATAAACAGTTACTATTTTTAGAACAGAAAAGAAAAATAAGCAAATTAAAAAGGAGAGTTAGGATACTATTGCAAATTAAAATTAGTGTATTTGATTTATATATATGTTGTTTTTATGTATGTGCATATATATTTCATATATGTGTGTATCTTACATATACGCACATATATGAAAGATAAAAAGTTAAAAACCAAAATTTTAATTGGCCATTGGATGTCCATTTTAATTTGAGTATTTTCTGTACTGTCCTAAAAATAATGACTGTTTATAATAAATTGCCTAAAATTGTGTCATTTCAAAATTAATTCAAGTCACATGCTTTTCGCTTAACACAGGGCCTCAGTAACACAAGGCCTCAGCAATTAAGATTTCGAATTTGGGTGTCAAAACTTTGTGTTAGCTGACACAGATTAAAACCTAAATCTCTGTGAACTTAGCTGTCATTTTAGGCACATCGTATTATCTCTCTTCTTTGATATTGCTAACTTGCTATGTCTGCTTCTTTGTCATTTGTTTTTGAATATACTTCAGTACTGATGTAATTCTTCAAAAACAAGCACTCTTACTGCATCAGTTTATATGTAATTGATTTATTAATGGTTTATCAAGAATAAAACATGTTCTATCTGCCACGATTGCATTATGTTCTTATTGTAACAACTGCCATTATTGACATCTGTCTTCAACATCCAATTTATTTCATATTTAATGTATGTATCGTGAACATGTTTAAAAAGACCATGCATAATCTGAAACAATTTCGGTCTTCTGCAGAGATGGTTGTCTAAGTGACGTTGACTATTGATGTATTTACAGTTTGCGTAATGGATTTGACTTTTGCAAACTGTAAATAAGCTTTTGGACTCTGTTAAAGAAAATTGCTTAAGGGGTATGGAAGTTTATTAGCAACTTTATGTTAATGACATAAATTAACCATTTAGAATAACATAGGAAAAAAAAAATCTTAAGAAATGACTTATTGTGTACTTAAGTTGTTCAAATTACTGTATATCAATGATATTTTAAAATGGGGAAAATAGATCTTATGTGTAAATTTCTCTAAACTTAGTTCAAAAACAAGCACTCTTACTGCATCAGTTTATATGTAATTGATTTATTAATGGTTTATCAAGAATAAAACATGTTCTATCTGCCACGATTGCATTATGTTCTTATTGTATTATTGAACAGAATACAGAGCTTGTTGGTTCTCAACTGAGACAATGTAATAAGATGCAGGTAAAGACTTACTACCATATCAGTGTTTTATTGAATTGCATATAATATTACCATATTAATACCAAATCCTTTATTTTTCAACTCTAGTAGTAAAACTGATTTTTTTTAAAATAAAACATTGGATTCTAAAAAAGAAATTCAATATAAAATATGTTGCCAAAAGAATAATATTGGGTCAGTCCATAAATTCGTGTATATTTTTTGGCAAATTTTTAAATAATATAAAAAAGCACAATTTAACATTTTAATCAGTTACAAATTTTCCTCCATTATCTACAATGTCTTGCCACCTTACAGGCAGCTTTTTTATGCCATTGCTGTAGAAAGACTCTGGTTTTGATGCAAAAAAAAACTTGAAAGTTCATTGTGTACATCCTGTTTAGAATTTAATTTTTTTTCCAGTAAAAAAAATTCTAAGGCACGAAATAAGTGAAAATCACTTGGGGCAATATCTGGGGTAAGCAGGTTGTGGTAAAAGCTCCCAGTTAAATTCACTAAATTTTTCAGCTTTGTTCGAGCCATATGCGATCTAGCGTTATCATGATGAAACAACACTTTCTTGATATTCACCAATCGTGGGCGTTTTTTTGACCATTTCTGAGTTTAGACAGCAAAGTTGTTCACTATAAACTTCTGAATGAATCTTTTGATTTGGTTCTAACAGTTCAAAAGGCCCTGAACGGGGTTCATTATCAATGCTGCTTTTACCAACTTTAAATTTTTAAACCATTTCTGGGCAGTTCTTACACTAATAGTGTGTTCACCATGTACACTATTAATTTTTATCGCTGCAAACCTGGCAGATTCACCACATGAAAATAAAAAACATAGCACAGCACATTTGTACTGATTATCATATTCATCTTCTATGGGTACTAAAATGCGTTCGATATTTATGAAAGTTGGTGATGAACTGAATAATATGTTAGTCTAATGATGACAAGTTTCAACAGGTTCAAAATTGTATTGTTTTAGTAAATGCGTCATAGTGAATTCCACGCATACTCTTAATGCTCACGAACTTATAGACTGACCCGATACAATAATATATAAACATTAATGATTATTAAAATATCTGTGGGTTACTTTTAAATTAATTATTTACATTTTATGCTGTTACAAGCTTATAGTCTATGATGCAGAGTACTTTTCAAGACTATGCATGTTTGGATCTTTGAATGTCATTCATTTAGCAGGTATTTGAAGCAAAGATATGTCTCATCAGCTTTATAAGTGTTCATGAAGTCATAATATTTTATTAATTCTGATAACTGTTGTGACCTATTTATCATATTAGTCTGGACGGACAGGAAATGGGAAAATTAGTATAATTTAGTAGTATAAGTTCTCAAACTTATTAAATTTTATGTCGCATAAATAAGAATAGAAAATATGTGTAACATCATGAATCAATATCTCTATCAAAAGGGGTGCTATTTTACATTTAATTTAAATATTTTGTGTAAAAATTGTACTTCTAAAAATAGTATAATGTACTATTAGTGATATATGTACCATAGTTTGAGAAACCGGGTATAAACAGCTTAGGAATGTGATGAATTATTTAAAGTAATCAATGAGCTAATCAGGTAAATTATGTTGTCTTGAGATAAGAGTAAAATTTATCTTTTAGAAATGTATAAAAACTATCTTGCATGTAAGTAATCATTTTCTTGTTGAGATAAATTCTTTAGTTTGTATAGTACTTGGAAATATTTTAAGCTGGCACCAGATTGAAGTATTTTAATTACTTGTGAATAAATTTTATTTGATAGTTTTGATTGAGTTAAGGAATGATTTTCTTAGAGAATACTGCAATTATCTGTACAAGTATTTATTTATGTTGTCAGAAATAAATTTGAGAGGTTTAATGAGAGGTTTGCACTATATAAAGGGTATTGTTCCTAAACTCATGGTAGATACATTAAATAGTGGTAAAACACAATCGGACAAGCACAAATCACCACACAACCTATAATTGGAACTCGAGCAGTAAGGCATTAGAAGGCGAGATGTCTTGCATCCTGAAATAATGAGAAAGAAGTAAACAGAGAAAGAATGAAATGACGCTATTAAAATTATAAAAAAAAAAAAAAAAAAAAAAAAAAAAAAAAAGGTTTTATTGAATGAAATGACAATAAATATTCTATTATAGCAACTCTTAAAATGGTGTGCACCATCCGTAATGTAGACTTGACATTGTTGATGGATTGACAAACACATTTATAAATTGGCAAACACACCAGTCATCTGTCGTATAGTTCCAACAACTATGGCTATCCAGCCAACAAATTCTTCATCAAAATTGATGGTTCTTCTGTTGTAGATGAAATTCTTCATTGTACCCCACAGGAAAAGTCCAGACATTATAGATAAGGTGAGCGTTTCGGCCAGTTAATTGGGTCTCCATATTCAATCCATCATTCTGGATAGATGGTATCCAAAGCTTGCCAACCACAAGCATCTCTTGATGTATGCTGGAACAGGGTTCAGTAGTTCTGCCACCATGTATCGGAAAAACACAATGAATATACATTCAGGCAACCTGGAAGTAAATATTGACCAATCTGGTCATGCACAATTTTGGCCCAAATATTTACTCAGAAACTGTGCTGGAATGACTCTGGGATTGTGATGTGGGGATTATCAGTTGCCCAGACATGATAGTTTTGAGTAATTGATATCCTGTCTCTGGAATGGGCATCTGTGAGTAAATAACACATGTGCCTAAAAATCTGGATCCACAGTGGTCTCTTGTATAAACTGCATGGCAAATGCAACATGGGCACCTAGATGGATTACCTACATTATAATGCATATGGATTACACATGGCACCTAATTTGCATTGTACAGCTCCTGGACTCTGTGCACATGGTAGGGAAGTATGGATGGTGTTTTAACACTCCTTTCATGCTCGATATCCTCTTGAAAAGGACCTTCTTTCGAACAGTTCTGGTTGTAATTGCTGAAAGGTTCTGGCATCTGGGATGTGTCTTGTTGGTTATCTAGTATCAGTTTCTATAGCAGTGCAAATGAGAATTCAATTTCGTTATCACAAGAACGTCTTTAGCCAGTCGCTTTAGAAGTAAAAGCCAGTTAAACCATAGAGCTTTAAATCTTGTGTACCTCTTACGTTTCAAAACTTATGTTCCGATCACAAATTCATGATGATTTGTACTTGTTCATTTGTATTCTATCACCCCATAATGTATGTACCTTGAGTTTAGGAACACTCTGTATTTTATATACGCATGTAATAATCTATTTTATATACACATGTAATAATGTGGTTTAAAATTGAAAGTATGCTGTTTTTTTTTATTCTTATCTGTTCTTGTATTATGTCTGTAAGAATATTATAAAAGTTTTGTAAGCAAAAAAAGTCTTATTAGTATGTTATATATTAATTTTATTATGAATTTAATTTTTTATAGGTTACCTGAACTGGCTACACGGGCTACATTCCTTAGCACTGAATGCTTAAAAGCTAAAGGTTTGTATCGGGATGCGGCTACACAATTTATACGTATGCCAAGTGAGGCTGATTTGCCAAGTGCTTTATGCTTAGAGCAGGCTGCGTATTGTTACATTAACTGCAAGCCTCCTAAAGTACGGAAGTATGCTTTTCACATTATTCTTGCTGGACATCGCTTTAGTAAAGCTGGACAGAGAAAACATGCACTAAGATCCTATAAACAAGCTGAGCAGGTAAAACTTAATAAATATGGTATTTGTTCTGTAAAATATGCAGATAATTCATGCATTAATGTCAGTTAGTATCCTCAACGTAGCATATTTTTAACACATGTCATGACTAGAATTGTCTTAGTTTAATGAAATTTTTATATTGTAAATTTTATTGGTATTTATCTGATATAGTGATATTGATAAATAAGTTTATTCGACACATTTCTGCATTAGTGTGCTATTGATCTCGTGTGCAAAAAAGTTACCAATATATGCATGAAAACCTTACACAAAAGTGGACCGATTGCTGAAATTAACTTGCACTTTACATATCTCTAAAGTGCAACCTAGGATATATATTAGATTTATTTACAGCTTTGTTCTAACATAGGTATTTTGACACAAAATTGGACTTTTTCTAAAATAGCATACTGATATTTTCAATATTTCAATATTTATTATATTATTCATATTATATTATTTTATTATATATATATGACTCAAATAATACCAAGATTTTAAACTTTAAAAATTTTTGGTGAGAAATTTATGAAGAAATCAAAAAATGTATTTTCAGTCATTTTTGTTGAACACGAGCAGAAAAAATGTCATCGTTCATACTTTCAAACAATTTTAACAAAGTGCATAAACCACATTTGCCATTATAATTGCTTATAACAAATATGCCAATATGTAAATTCACATGTATCTTAGGAAATTTTGAATAAAATACTCTAATTATTTTGCAGGTATCTTAGAAATACATCTACTTTAAGTTGATGGTAAACATTTTATGGGTTATAAGTCAAAATTGTTTTTGAAAAATTTATAAAAATTATTTAAAATTAATGATAAAAAAGGAGTGAATTGTATTTGGAATGAACCTGAATTTCGAAATGTGAAAGGATGAATCAAATAAGTTTAATTAAAAAAAAGATATTAATAAATATGTATCAAATTTAATTAACATGGAGGATCTAAAATTTTGAGAGCTAATATTTTAAAAACTACTTGTGCGGTTTTTTACAAAACTTGGCAGTTTGAGTCTTAGAATCAAAATATGAAAAAAAAATTGGCATGTTATTTCAGAAAAAGTCTGATTTTGTGTCAAAATGCCAACATTAGAACAGTGCTATATATAAATCTAATGTATATCCTAAGTTGCACTTTCGAAACATGGAAAACGTTAAATTTTGACAATCGGTCATTTAGAGCGGGAGATATAGAACTGTCTCCCCTTTTTTTTTGTGCAAGGTGTGCAAGTTATAAATGATTAATGATCTAACTGGTTTTTCATAATGGCATTGTATCGATATATTGGTTTTTCGTTGTAAAAAGGCTCATTATGCTATTTTCAATCTTCAATCAATAGAAAAGACACTGTAGTTTATGTTTGAGGAACTATTAGCAGCAATTGCTACACTTTGGTCACCAGAAGAAGGTAAACCCCTCTGATTATATTAATATATATATATTAACCTTCTGTATATCAATATATATATTAACCCTCTGAGCGTTATGACCGCCTTTATCCAGTTATCAGAAGTTTTGCTACTCAGTACATATTAGCTTATAATTTAAGATATTTTGCTTTCTTACTTTCTTTAATAATGTAAATATCATCTTAATGAATGTAAGTTTATGAAAATACAGACTAAAATAAGTAATTATACAAACTCAATTAATAAAATGCTGTTTAAATACTGGTCTTCATGACGGATGTAAAATCCTGCGCCACTCAGAAGGTTAAATTTAACCCGGGTTGTTTAACTATTGAATGAATTGCCAGTTTAATGTTTACCATAGTCAGTTTTGTTTTCATGGATCTTTACAATATTTGGAAACCAGTAACCACTTTCTTAAACCCAAAGTGCGCTGATATCGTTTTCTGTCACCAAGTCTGACAGAAGACAAGTACCATTTTATTATTATTATTATTATTATAATTAAATTTGTCATTATAATTATTATTAACTTTTGATAGTTTTATGCAATATAACAGAGAGACTTGAAAAAGAAAATGCCACATTCTCTCCTTATTATTTTTAGGTTTATAGTAAAGTTGGATGGAATTTTGCAAATAATCATATCAATTTTACCATTGGACGTCTTTCTGTGCAATTAGATCAACTTGAAAGTGCTTGTGCAGCATTTGAACCTCTTCTAGTGTCAAAATGTCAGCTTCCTGCTGCTGAACAAGCTAATTACCTCAGGGAATATCTATTCGTATTGAAAGTATGGACATTTCTTTTATAATATAGTTGAATGTAGAAGAGTTTAAAGTATTCCAGACATATGATATATACTATATACATGTGACTCCAGATATATGATATATATAGTTAGAATTTTGATTACTATTATTATTGCAAAGAGGTTGATTTATGTTGTGAAATAAATGTCTTTTAATATATTAAAAAACATTTGTTAAGTAGAAATTGAATTTGATTTGCTTTCATTCTAAAATTGTTTTGTATAATTTTTTTGGTTAGTTTATTAATATTTGTTAAATTTATTTTTTTGTAAAATTCACCTTCATAAACCAGTTACATATTTGCTTTTGCTTCCAAACTTATAATCTGTTAATATTTCTTCAGGCTGATGCTTATTTTTCTAAATAGGGTACATGTAAAGAAAATTACTTATGATAAGATATGAACTTAATGATGTATGTGTGATTGTATTATATGTGTATATTCATATAATAAATTATTAATTTCTTAAACCTAATAGGGTAAATGAATTTAGGAGATTAGAGTTTTGATTAATGCAAGCAAAATATTTGATTAATTCTGGAGGGAAAAAATATTTTATTCTTTAATCTAATTTAATATCTCACATTTCTAATTTCAAATTCTGTATTACGTAACATGGATTATGATAACTGAAATACTCTCTCATTTTATGGCATCACAAATTCAGGCATACACCAATTTAAAAATTAGGCCAAAATGGGGCAAACTATATTATTAAATGAATGGCAAATTGCATTTCTCGAGCACAATTGCAACCATAAATTATGAACATTCTAATGGTAGCACCAAAATTGTTTCTCAGAATAATTAGTAATACTGGATTGTCTTTTAGATTCCAATCAAGTTTCTAATTTGCTATACGTTATTTTTGAATGTGTGTTATATGAATTTCCTATTCTTGTGTTTGTATTTACTTTTCTCAGTATTGTCTTTCACTTATCAAATAAAATCAATTTAAAAAACAAACTCTAAGAAGTTTAAGCATTTTTTATTCAAAAAGCATCTAATGATAATATTGTTGCAAGCTATGGATTCATGGAGATTTCTTCAAACAGTTACTCCATCCAGATGAGCAGGAAGAAATTAACTTTTTGTTGTAATTAATAAGAGTACAGGACAAAAATAACAGTTGTAAATAACTCATGAATGCAGAGATAAGGCACATCCTCCTTAACAAATGAGAAATACTACAAATTACTGATATCACTTCCAGAGTAAACTCTAAAATGCAATTCATCTACTTTCTGAGCTACAGTATCATGAAAATAATTCAGAACCAAATAAACTACTGGCCATGAAAGCCATATTTATATAATGTCGTGCGGTCTTCTAGAAACTTTGGGAAAAACTGCTGCTACAGCTTCCAAAATGTGTGTTCTTGAAACTTCCAGAAAACTGCAAGTCAGCAAAGAATTGGCAAATGATGCTCTGTTTCTAAGTCTCATCAAGAGAGTTTCTGCTTATTTCTAAAGTTCTGCTTGAGGTATTTTTATAGTTTAAACATTGTTGGATTCAGAATCACAAAATCTATAATTCTAAACAAGAAATAAGCACTTATTTAAAAATTGCACTGAAATATATCTTAAAGTTATTACTCAAAGTGCAACAATTAAACAAGTTAAAAAAAAAACAATGTATAACATTTTTTTATTACACAAATGTAGACCTTAAAGACTGCATGGCCTGGACAGTCTTCAAGAGCAACTAATTATCATTAGCATAGTAAGGTGCAAGTCTGTCATAGTCTGTCATATCTACTTACAGTTTAGAAGAGGGAGTTCTTTGCAACTGACCAATACATTTTGCAATTTTTTGATGACCTTGAAGTCTACAGCTTGGTTGATATCCCTTTATGACTTCCTCAATCACAGTTGATCTCTTTCCTTGAATTTCTTCTTAGTTCTCTTGGCATCATATTTTGTCTTGATCCTGTTGGTATAGTGATTCTTCCTTTGACAAATCAATAAACATTTTCTAAACACTTCCATGCAGGTTTTCCAGTTACTGAGTAGGCAAAGAAGTCATAGCCAGAGCTTCCTCGAAGAGGTAAATTTTTTAGAATGCTCATTAATGAAGGTATGATTAATTTTATGAGGTAAAGTTTTGAGAATATTCCAAATGATCCTTTCCGAATGATGTTCCTACATTGTACAGTCTTCCTTGTGTGCATATTTTTGGGTTGTTCCAAAGCCCACATGCTTCACAGGATTTGGACTTTTTATTTGTTTGTTTGTTTGTTTTTGAAATCTGCTTTGATGTTGTCCTAGAAGAAATATTCATCAACTTTATGAAGTGTCTTCAAAAATGCCCAAAGAAGAATTTGGTAAGATGAGTTTCCATTTGAAACTCTTTCCCATGAGGTTTTCCTTTGATAATAGAGAGCTCTGTCTTGAAGTGAATCTTGTCAAATGCTGTTATACTAAAGGGAGCCATTTTTTGCCAGTTGAGATTTTCTTCCCATTTTCCAGTAATTTTATTAACTCTCTGAGTGGCAGAGCTTTTTGGATCTTCTCATGAAAACTTTTATTTAAATAGCTTCAATTAGCTAAATTTTTATAGCTATTATTTTTTAAAGAAACCAAAATGATTTTTAAAAAATTAAACAATTATTTTGTTAGAATAATTGCAGAATGAGGTATTTTATACTGAACATACTATCTAAACAGAAGATAAACATGTCAATTTAAAATATAAAATTAGGCAGGTGGATCACCTCAGATTAACATAATTATATTTAATTTGTCAATTTCAAAAGTCTCTCTTCTTCAGCAGCTAAATAATTTTGCATAAAAAAACTTATGCAAAATTTTGTTGCTGTTTTCTTATTTGTCTGTATCCATTCCCTAAAATAATTTTTAATTTGTAGTAAAATTATTCTATTGGTAATACCTTTATATTTCTTTCACTATTATTATGTACATAAAACAGGGTTGCTACGCTGCCTGGAAAACCAGAAAAAGTCAGAATTTCATACAATGATCCCTCCAAAAATAAGCGAGTTTTGTGCCAACGTTCGAAGAGATAACTGTTTTGGCGAATTGTGTATCGCATGAGTGTCATTCAGGCAGTTGGCATAGAGCAAGTTTTTGCAGCTCCAATTTGATTATCTTTTAAAAACGCAAAGCAAGTTTCCCGCAAGTTTTGGTTTCCAGTAACCTCGAGAATCGCATGTGCAGTGCATGTTGAACTACAGAAAGCACTTATTCTCGTATAAAACAAAATGGGTTTAATCCTAGTATACGCTACTATGGAGATTAGAATCAAAGAATATGTATTGTAAAGAAGTAAAACCTCTTTGCAACAGACGTGGCTTCATTCCATCATAGAGGGAAACAGCTGTGCATGCGCGATATATCTGTCGCCAAAGCTCGAAACCAGAGTAAAAGTTCGAAGGCCACGAGTTCATAAAATGAATATCGTTTAAAATTTCTTTAAACTCTAAAGGAAAAGAAAATATTTTTGACACAAGTAAATTAATTCATGGATTAGTTATTTTGAGGGGGGAACTGCCAAAATCCGTTTTTAAATTATTGCGAAAAATTCAAGAAAAAAACGTTTCTTTTTGGATTTTTCGAAATATTTGAAAAACAGATTTTCGTAGTTTTCTTTTTTGTCAAAGAATGTTTCTTCTTAACACGTGTTTCTCAATTTCCTGTACACATTGCGGAGAGGGAAATTCTGGCCGCCAGGTTTCGACGGCAAATCCCTAGGCAAATTTTCCCTCCACTTTCTAGCAGTGTAATAGCATTATGTGTATGGAACCTTTTCTTCTTTACATAAACGTTCTTTGGTTAGAATAACCTTCATGTATGGTACACACAGAATTTGGCGACATGATGATGAGCAGTAAATGGGTCATTTTGGTCTTGGCGACAATTTTCAAAATCGGTCCAAAGCCTTACCGTATACTAGGATTTTACCGCGAAATCTTTTTAAACCTTTTCTTTTTAATAAATACCTTGTGATTATTCTAATTAAATTTTTAAGTAATTATCTTTATTTTTATGTTATTCATATCATTTAATTAAATTATTTATTATAACAATTTTTCAAATTTCAGGAATTTTCTCTGGCATAATCCTGAAATTAATTCTAGCAGTATGATGACATATCATCACGAAATTTAATGCACATATTTTTTCCTTATGTATGCTGCGAAATTAATATAAAATACCTCAATTTGTTAAAAAAATATTATTAAATAGATTTCGTTCTTTCGTTTAGCTGCAGAGTGTCTGCAAAAAAAGGCCCTATTGTATTCCAGATTGGACAGATTCTAATCTCAATCTTCAGTGGAGAAAACAACTCCTGTTATAATATATTTGTGTTTTCAAGAGTTAAGATGCCTTTTAAGAAGACACCTCACACAAATTAAATTTTCCTAAAATCTAACCTAACTATTTAGCATTGCGTTGTGATATATAAGGACAAGATTAACTTCTTGTTGAACTGATGATAATCATGAGTAATAATTAAATAAACATACAATTGTTATCCAATGTATATATCTTAAATTTTATTAAGTTTCCTAAGTGGAAAAGTAAACAAAATTATTAAATAAAGTATACCAAGAATAATTAAGAACAAATGTCCCCTTGGATTTCGTGAATAATTAAATGAATTTGCTACACAACACAAGTAATACCATAATTAATGTACCTCTTAGCACAGCCAACGTACATTACGCCGATAGACTGGAATTTTCTTGAAACACACCTGGAAAAGTCAGGGAATTTCATTCTCCTGTTTGAGTGGCAACCCTGATAAAAATAAGAATTTCTGGTTTGTTTATAAATGAAATCTAATATTAGCTTATGAAATTGGATTATTTTTAATAGCGACTGATGAATCAGAAGCAAGGCAATGACCTTCCAATTCTACCTGTTCCATTAATAAATTCTGAAGCCACCAAGATTCTTTTAGCAGAAGATTCTGTGACTGTTAAAAGTTAGTACTCTATTTTGTTGATATTTTTAAATATTATATGTATATATATATATTTAAACAAATTTAAATTTAATTTTAACAAATACGTATAAAAGTAAAAATTGTTTCATAAGAATAAATTGAATTTAATTTAAAAAATTAAATTTAAATACAAATTTATGATTTATTGTAAAGTTGTGGTGAGAGAAGAAATTCATACATGTTTATTTTTTCACTTATGTAATTTGAAGTAATCTTGTATTAACAAAATAGCATTTTAAAACTATTTTTAAATAAAGTGATGCATTTAATTTTTTATTTATAGTTTATTATTTGAGTGATAATTATTTAATTGTTTCATTTGTTTACCATTGCATTTCATTTTGTAATAAAAATTTCTTGTTTTATATTTTTTACGCATTTCTGTAATTTGACTTGTGATAGTTTATTTTATTTTTTTATAAATTTTTATTTAGAAGGGGAACCTTTCAATGTGAGAGGCCGAGGTTTTGATCGAGGTGATATCAATAATCATATATGGTCCAAATTGGAAGAAATAGTTGTAACCCGAGCCCTTAATGTTGCTGCTTTTACTCCTCAACTTCAGTGCTTTACTGGAAAAACTGAAAATATGGTTAAACCAAATGCTATTGTTGGAGGTAAATGTATATAGTTTCTGTAGCTGTAAATAAGATATAAAATTCAGAGTTTTGTAAAAAATTGTTTTAAAATAATTGATCTATGTGATCATTCAAAACTTTTGGCTATGTAAGAAAATCACATGCTGTAATAGTTAGAGTATCTAAAATATGTAAAATATGTCTTCTAATCAAATTCTTGTAAATTTAATGCATTATTTACTTTCCAGAAACAATAAGTATAGAAGTAGTTATAAGAAATCCTTTGTCTGTTGCATTAACAATAGATAATGTTTATCCACTGTGGACATTTTCATCTCAGACTGATCCTGCGAGTGGTAAGGAACCGATTACAGTTTCAAACGAAGTGGATTTTAGTAAGGTATGTCATTTGTAGTTTTCAGAATATAGTCTTGCATGATATAATGTACAATAAATTATCTACATCGTAAATATAGTAAATGATCTACATCAATGTCACAAGCTTTTATGAGAAAACGCATGTGCCAGCTGGAGCACTGCTTGGGCCTGCCAGTCCTTTTTACTCTTTAAATATGGTTCATGTGATTCATATTGATGTTCATTACCTCCCTTCATAGTTTGTATGTATGATTTGGATGTGCACTGTATTTCATATTTATAAACAAAATCAACATGTATAGTTTATTTGCACTGAGCAAGTGATTCTTTATTCTTTCTGTGATTAAGAAGTGATACTTTTCTATACAAGTTTATGTTTCATTAAATATATATATGCGTGAAATTGTTATAAATTATGTGATCACTGATAGTACTACTGAATGCTTTTTAACATTTTAGTTCCATTACTTTAGGCAATGGTATTAAATGCTGTTGTTGAAACTAGAGTTCTTCCCCGTGTCACATTTGAACCACATCAAGAGAAAAAGGTAAATTCTTGATGGATTTTTTTTACAAAGATTATTATGTCTATTTGTTTATATTTGTCAAGTGAAATTGTAATTCTAATGCAAAAAATTGCCTCCTCCCTTGAAATTTTGGGATAAACAGTGATTTTAAAATGTAGTTTTGATCTTAAGAAGTGACCATGTGTAATAGTGTAATGTGTTTGTCCTCTTCCAATCAAATGACAGGCATCTGTGATAAGTATACTGCCTGAAAGTGGTGTTTCATATGCAAATCTTCAGTAAATGGGAACAGGCCCATTATATACTTTTTATCATAAATCTGATGCCATAGCAAATGCTGTAGGCCAGTGGTATTCAATCTACGAGTCGTGACCCCTGAGTTATATTGAAGTTATAGGTGGATGAAGAAATTATAAATAAATTTAATTAGATACAAAGACACCATTTGCAAACTTCTTTGAGCAAAAATTTTGGTTTTTAAAATGTGAAATTATAAAGAGATAACTTTAGAACATCATCATAAGATAGACTGTCTCTTTGAAATTGTTACACTAAATTCTAGTTTGGTTTGGATATGCCTTAGACAACATTTGTGCACTAGCTGTCTGTCACAAGCTAGTTTGATCTGCATATGCCTCAGACGACGTTGTGTACTAGCTATCTATCACAAGCTAGTTGGGTCTGTATATGCCTCAGACGATGTTATGTCATCTGAAGCACAACGTTATATACTTTAGAACAATAGAACAGGTCTCAGTAGATAGTCTGCAGCTGTCTCTTGTTATAGAAATAGTATTTAACTTATTTTCATGGAAATGTCTAAACAAATAAAAGTTTATAAAGTATGGTTTTATGTGTATTGAAGATGATGAACCAAGGGCTAGGTGTGTTCTATGCCTGGTAGTCGTGTCAAGTGAGTCACAGAAACCAAATAAATTGCAGCCACACCAAACACCCACAATCCAAAGATATTTTGATCCAAAGATCCATTGAATTTTTTCAGAAAAAATAGGACATTTGAAATATTAATAATTGTATAATAACAAAAAGGCATTGGAGGCTTCTTACTGAATGAATTATCATATTTCTGAAAGTGGCAAGCTGTACACAATTGCTGAAGAATTAATTGTAGCAGCTCAGGATTTAGTAAGCGGTTAATGTGGCAAAAAGGAAAAGCAGCAGATATCTTAAATACCACTCTGTATCACACAACAGTTGGTTGCAGAATATGCAGAATGGCAAATGTTCTGGAAAGCAAACTTATAATTAGAATTCAATAAAAATAAATTTTTCAGCCTTCATTTGGATGAATCTGCCAATTGCCAAAATGTTGCACAATAAATTTGTTTTGCAAAATGTGAATACAAAAATGAAGTAGGCAAAAACTTTTTTTGCAAGGAACTGCAAAGGATATGGGAAAAGAAATGTTTATGGTAAAGTTTTACATCACCGTAAATAATATTTCCTGGGAAAATTGTGTAGGAGTGTGCAGTCATGGACTAGGGCCATGCTATAAAACACAGCATACTCCTAGCCCAATCCAAGTCTTTCCAATGTAACATGATTTCACTAATAATAGTCTTTCCAATGTAACATGATTTCACTGTATGATTCATACAGAAGTGCTTGTATTGAAAAACGTGCCACTAAAATGACGTTAAAATAATAAATTTATATTTATTTATACAAATGTCAGACATTTGGCCAATAAGCTTAGCCTTGATCTTGCTTCCCAGTACTTAAGAACAATAGAATTTACTTAAGAATAATAAATTGTATAAAGTCACACCTTCTGAACCACCTTAATTTCACATTTAGTCACACCACCTTAATTTTGCACCTTCTCCTACTTGAGAAAGCTAGTTATAGAGAACAAACTGAAAATTGTTCAGTCAATTATTAAAGATATAACAACTTCATTACAGATCTTAAATATCATTTTAGTAATTATTTTCCAAAAGATTTTTCTGACTGAATAGATTTGAAATCCTTTTCATTGTGTGCTATCACAAAATTTATATTTTATTTAAGTGAAAAACTGAGTTATTACCTGATGAAGAATTAAAATTTGCTTTCAAAGACCTTGAATTAAGCAGTTTTTAGCTTACAGTTTGAAATGAATATGCAGATTACCATGTGCCTCATCTTTTGTGTACAAGATAAGATTTGCCTCTGAAACTGGGAAATCTAAAATCTAAATTTCAAAACATAGTAGCAGTAGTAGAGCTATTTTTAAAACTTAAACTGAACAAAATAGAGCCAGAAATACCACTAGCAAACAAGAAACAGACTCATAGGTTTCATTTAATTTTATTTTTTTCCATTTTAAACTGAATTTTGAGTTGTACATGTTATATGCCACGTTTTAATTTTAATATATTCATGATTAATGAATGCTAAATATTTGATAGTTACAGAACTTATTTTCAGCTTATTGTATTTGATTTGAAATGGATGTTTTTTTTTTGTATGAATTAAAACAGGGTTGCCACGCTACCTGGAAAACCTGGAGAACCGGGAAAAGTCAGGGAATTCGAAAATTGACCAAAATATTCAGGGAAAAGTCAGGGAATTTAAGTATTTTTGTCAAAATCTGGAAAAGTCAGGGAAGTTCATACAACGATCCCGCCAAAAAAAGCGATTTTTGCGCCGACATCGGAAGAGGTAACTTTTTTGGCGAATTATGTATCACGTAGTGTCATTCGGGCAGCTGGCATAGAGCCAATTTTCGCATCTCCAATGTGATTGTCTTTTAGAAAGGCAAATCAAGTTTCCCGCAACTTTTGGTTTCCTCGAGAATCGCATGTGCAGTGCATGAACTAAAGAAAGTACCTGTTCTCGTATAAAACAAAATGGGTTTAATCCTAGTATACGGTACCATGGAGGTTAGAATCAAAGAATATGTTATTGTAAAGAAGGAAAACCTCTCTGCAACAGACGTGGCTGTGGCTCCGTTCCATCATAGAGGGAAAACAGCTGTGCATGTCTGAGATATCTGTTGCCAAAGCTCGAAAACCGGTGTCGAAGTTCGAAGGTCACGTTATCAAGAGTTCATAAAATGAATATCGTTTAAAAATTTCTTTAACCACTTGCACTAAAAAGACGTGCCACGCACGTCAAGATGCTTTTGTCTCAAACCGCGAGCGACGTGAACACCACGTCGATAAGCATTTATCGCACAAAATGAAAATAACGTGGTGCACACGTCGCCTAACAACGAGATTGTGTATTTCTCGAGTTACAGCTCTGGATTGCACTCGCAGATGCGGAGCGGCGTAAATGAGACACTTTACGGCTTGTTATATTGTAGCGCACGGCACCGCAACCGTGAAGTTTAGTCTTAGCGCAAGTGGTTAAACTCTAAAGGAAAAGAAAATATTTTTTGGCGCAAGTAAATTAATTCATGGATTAGTTATTTTCAGGGGGAAAAAAAACTACGAAAATCCGTTTTTAAAATTATTGCGAAAAATCCAAGAAGAAACGTCCTTTGATAAAACGTTTCTTCTTGGATTTTCGCATAATTTAAAAACGGATTTTCGTAGTTTTCTTTTTGTCAAAGAAGCGTTTCTTCTTAACACGTGTTTCTCAATTTCCTGTACACATCGCGGAGAGGGAAATTCTGGCCGCCAGGTTCCGTCGCCAAATCCCTTGGCAAATTTTCCCTCCGCATTCTAGCGCGTAATAGCAGTTTTACTTGTATGGAACCTTTTCTTCTTTACATAGACGTTCTTTTGGTTAGATAATAATGGGATTTGGCGACATCTTGATGCGCAGCAGTAAACGGGTCATTTTGGTCTTGGCGACAATTTTCAAAATCGTGCCAAAGCCTTACCGTATACTAGAATTTTACCGCAAAATCTTTTTAAACCTTTTTTTTTTTTTTTTCTTTTAATAAATACCTTGCCATTTGCAGTAAAATAAAAAATAGTAATCAGTCATCTAGGCTAGCCATGTAATATAACTATATTCGCCTAAAATATCGTTGATTATTCTAATTCAATTTTTAAGTATTATTTTTTATGTTATTCATATAATTTAATGTTGCTTCTTCCCTCTAAAATTTATTTATCATTAGTAAATAATATTTCCAAATTTCAGGAAATTTTCTCTGGCATAATCCTGAAATTAATTCTAGCAGTATGATGACTACCATCACGAAATTTAATGCACATATTTTTTTCCTTATGTATGCTGCAAAATAAATATAAAATACCTCAATTTATTAAAATAGATTTCTTTCTTTCGTTTAGCTGCAGAATGTCTGCAAAAAAAGCCTTATTTTATTCCAGATTGGGAAGATTCTAATCTCAATCTTCAGTGGAGAAAACAACAACTGTTATAATTATATTTGTGTTTTCAAGTGTTAAGGTGCCTTTTAAGAACATACCTCACGCAAATTAAATTTACCTAAAATCTAACTTAACTATTTAGCATTGCATTGTGATTTATAAGGACCGGATTAGCCTCGTGTTAAACTGGTGATGATCATGAGTAATAATTAAATAAAACATACATTTGTTATCCAATTATATATATCTTAAATTTTATTAAGTTTCTTAAGTGGAAAACTAAACAAAATTATCAAACAAAGTATACCAAGAATAATTAAGAATAAATGTCCTCTGGGATTTACTGAATAATTAAGTGAATTTGCTACACAATACAAGTAATACCATAATTAATTTACCTCTTAGCACAGCCAACGTACATTATGTGGATAGACTGGAATTTTCTTGAAACACACCTGGAAAACCTGGAAAAGTCAGGGAATTTCATTCTCCTGTTTGAGTGGCAACCCTGTTAAAATTTTTTTAAAAAAAGGTCTTTCTGATTTTTAATATTATCTAGTACTAGTTTTTGAGCAATTTAAATTGGATTATTGATTGTTTTAACTTTTGGTCAGCATGTTACCTCAATGTCAGAAGTAAGGTTGCTTTACCAAAAAATTTGAAGACCACTGCTGTAGGGCATAGTCCATTTGAAAGCTTTATAATGTATCTAATAACAAACATTAACATCATGCACACATTTTCCTGAATCTCAGCATCTCGTACATACTAGCTATATTGTGTCAAGAGTCATATTGAATCCAGGTCTGGCCAAATATTTGCATCATCCATCAGATTTTTATTTTAAATGTAAATTCCGCTTATAAACATTCTTTTATAAAGCACAATTTTCTGTAAATGTTGTGACTTATCTTCTTTTTGCTTATGGCCATAAGAAGGTCAAATGTTTACTTGCCAAAGAATTTTGGAGTTGGAAAAGCTAGATTAAAGACAGCTGTCATCTAACTGGTGACCTGCTGTACACTATCCTAGTGTGCATGATCATTCCTTGCTATGAGATATCACAAACATATTTCTGTCCTATAATATCTGATAATATCAGTAATTTTTGTCTCATAATATCTGCATTTGAAAATCATTGTTTCTTTCATATGCTGATATGTGATATTTAGACATTTGTTTTGTTTGATTAAATATATAACAAAAAAGTAAATGTATGCATATAAAGTAAATGTTTCATATCACTCTGAAAAGTATTTCTTGTGGAATATATACAGTCAAAAGTCGTTAATCCAGACTCATCGGGACTTCGGCGATTCCGGATTATCGATTTTTCCGTATTATAGATCATCAGTTTAAATCTGGTAAGATGGCATGCAGAAATTATAAAATTAAAAATATGAAACTGTAATTTATGAAATAAAGAACAATTATGATCTGAAAGGGTATCAAAAAAAAAAAAAAAAAAAAAAAAAAAAAAAAAGCTTAATATTATTTGTTTACTTTATTAAACATTTCTTTCAATGTAAGTTGTTTAAGTTGCTTCGTTTTTTATGTGATAATACTTTCTCTTTAATTCTATAAACAGACATAATTTCTTGTTCAGTTACAAAGCTGTTCAGGTCCAATAATTGCTGTGTCGAGAATACCCACTAATTTGTCAATCAAAATTTTTTCGTTTTCAATAGCCTCAGTGTCACTTTCTTGGCTATCGGAAGCGAATTATAATGACGAGGAATTTGATTTAAATCATATCAAAGATGGAGTACATCGAGATGAAATACTACATTTAGTAAGGAATTATAAGCTAAATTAAATAAAAAACATCTGCCCTGAAGATAAGGATAGTGCTGACAGATCAACTTCCAGTTCATTGCACGCCGCAATGCCCCCCCCCACACACACACGCAGAGCAGCGTGAAATTGATAAACAGATTTTGGAATGGTTAGATAAACAAAGGACATGCCTTTATCCATTTTTTGCAGCAATTCCACTTTTTGTTTAATGGACTTCGAAACATACTTTCGCTTTGTAGATCCTTTACATATTAGTAAATATATATCAGAAATTCTATATGACATAATCGAAAGTTCAAGCTTATTTTTATAAAATTGCTCTAACAGTCTGCAAAAAATAATAAGCCGGATCCAATTCGAAGATTAAGTAACAACGCAATCTGCAACATTAACTGAATTAGATAATTTTAGCTTAGCTTATACCGTCCGTTATACATTAAATGCACATTTGTAAACATATTTTGTGCATGCACACATGCATATTCACAGCCCTAAAGGTCTTACGCGCGTGCGTCAACGCAACGCATGTGCAGAAAGTTTGTAGCTTTGAGGTCCAGATTATGGGTGTCCGAATTAATGACTTTTGACTGTACTGTATTCATAATAAAATATGCATTCATGATAAACATACATTTTATTATTCTCAAAATAAAATTTTATAATTTTAAGTGAAATCTGTTTATGAATATTTGAAATTTTATGTAGGTTCATCTTCTACTAATTCCCCAGCAAATTGGTGAACTATGTATTAAAGGTTTAGCATATAGTCTATTGGCTGTCAAGACTCAAGATTTAGAGCCATCTTCTGATGCCACAAATCAGATTTCAAGTGCCATTATATCACTTCAAGGAAAGCAGTGCTTTAGCATAAAAGGTCCACGCCTAAATAAGCATGCAAAGGAACGTGTGGCAAAATTTTATGCCGAAGATAATAGACTGAATGTAAATGTATTGAGCCCAATGGCAAAACTTCAGGTAAGCTTATTACTTTCAGTGTTATGTCAAATTTTTGTATGAAAAATGTTTGGTCATCCATTTTTTTAATTAATAATAAATACAAATGAAGCAGTGGAAAAACATAAACTTTCATTGAATTGCATAAGCACCCTTTTATTCTATGGCTTTCTGCCATCTCTTAGGTAGCAGAAAATCCCCCCTTTTTTTGAAAAATCATTAGGTAATTCATAAAAAAAATACTGATGTTTTGTTTTTGTTTGACCATCTCCAAAGAAGTGAATTCCAAGTCATTGGAGTGTTCCAAAGAGATGAAAATCTGAGAGGGCAAGTTCTAGTGAATATGGAAGGTGACACAGCATCTCAGTCAAATTCAGTGTTTGTCTTGAGATTCATCAAAATGGGAGACTAAACATTGTCATGATGGAAGACACTACCATAAAGATTGGTCAGTTCTGGGCACTTTCCTTTGATTTCTGCTTTTAAAACTGCCATTTGGGAACAACAGTTTTCAGAATTTATTATGCAATTTTGTTTCAATAATTCATAATATACAATTCCTTTGTAGTCTGTCCAAAATGCAGCATAATTTTTTTTTTTTTTTTTTTTTTTTTACATGCAGCCCCGCATTGTGATTTTACTAAGGGAGGTTCTTTTGACTTACCTTGTAATCTTTTCTTTGTAATACCATAATATTTATCCATGTCTCTTCTTCAATAATGAGCTGTTTCAAAAAAGGAGCAAAAAGATTTTTTTTTTTTTTTTCCCTAGCAAAGAATCACATGCTTAAACTCAAGCAAGCATATTCACTTTGTTAAAAATATGGGGTACCTATGCATCATAGCAGCCTATTTGCCAAATCTTCTTCAAATGATCATCTGCTGTTACATGTTTAATCATAGTCATTGAACTGTATAACAAGGATTTTCAGTGATGCTTATTTTGATAGGTCAGTGTTTACAAAGGAGGGTCATCGAGACTGGGCATCATGTTTGAGGCTTAAATTTCCATGCTTAAACTTCTCAAACCACTTTCAGAATATGTCACCAGAAACAGCACTTTTTGTGTATATAGCAGTGTAAATTTTACAAGCACAAGTAATCTAACTGGCATTTTTTCTTTTCTTCTTTTACACATAAAAGAGCGTAATATGATAAAAATGAGGTTTTGGGTTATTCATTCGTAGCACAGCATTGAAACAAAAACTGTGCCCAACACATAGTAAAATTATGCAACATGAGCAGAAAAGACCATATTTAAATATAAACTTCGATCTAAATAATTAGAAGAAAATGTTCTTCGATTTGAAAAACTGCAGAACATTTCAGATAACCCAATATTTAGCTTTTTCATGCATTTAGTGAAGTACAGATTTTTAACTGCTAAGTGCTTCAAGCTTTTCAAATGCAATTACATAGATAAAGAATTTAGTGGTATGTTATGAGAACTTTTATTCATTGTTCTTTTTTGTGTAAACCTTAATAAGACATGCAACTAATTAGCATTGCAGCACATATACAAATCACATGCACCAGTTATGCTACCTAGAATCACTATAAAAAGGTAAAACAGTAAGCATTGATTATTATTATTATTATTATTATTTGCTCTTCCTTTGCATTGAAATGTCAATACACCTTATTTTAGAAAATGGTAGTTATTCTTGAAAATTTCTAACCTTGCTAGAATAATCTTGGCTTATGGAGACTGCAAATTATCTTTCCAAGATACCAGTATGTGTGTTGAAAATATCCAGTAACAGTGATACAAATATTTAATTGATGAGTGCAGGAGGCACAGACTGATAGGCAAGGAAATTTACATCAGCCTTGTAACATCACCAAATGAGAGGGCGAGGCTACATTGTGCATAGGAGTAACAAATCATACAAAAAATGAAGCATGAGAATTATATAACAATTTGTGTTATGTAGTATTTCACATTGTCTGCAGTAGGAGGAAATTCTTGTAAGGTGTCTGTTGCTGTGTTTACCATTGATTCTACACCATAGACATATGTGACTGCAGTGGTATATTGGGCACAAAACATGAACAAAGAATTACAGAATTGTCTTTTCAGGTTAATCGTCATTCTGCCTGTTGCACCACAATGGTTATATCCAAGTTTAGCAGAATTGCAGAGACAGAAATCATAATTCTTTTTTGGCAGTATTGGTCTGCCAGCTAGAGTTAAGTTTCAGGGTGTTCTTGAATTTCAACCCCTCACTTCCTAATACACATTGCTAGCACACTCTATATATCTCTAAAGTTGTAGAGCCTGTTGTCCTTCCGTACCTTCAAGGTTTGCTTATGCGCGAAATTTACAAGATAAAATGCAACTGCACATGGCATGGTATGATCAGCAATTTTTTGTTTCACAGCAGGTCACACTGCTGCGTTAGCCCATCCATTCTCCTCATATGACCTGATATCCACTGAATGTGACTACTTCATAATTTGAAAATTAATGGCCCAGTATATACTGTTTATTACTATGCGTGATAAACTTTGGGAGCACGTGGAAACGGCATGGGCTGACACTCTCCAAGCACAATCAAAATTTTCTTTCTTTCATTGCAAAGCTGTGTCACAGTCATGGTTGCTATACAAAATGCTGATTTTTTCATGTTCTAAAAGTCCAACAAAGTGGTAATTTTAATCACTTCAGTTATATACCCGCGAACGGGCTGGTTGCATGGGCGTTTTTGTGGTTTTCCCCATATGTAACATGTATACGAGCCAGTTTCCCTTAGAAAGTCCTCCACGAAGGTATCCCTCCCCTTATGCAGATAGCTCTAGTGTGCTTTGCCGTAATCTCAATAAACCAATCAGTCATTTACCTCATATAAGAGTAGCTTGGAAAGTATCCGCTGTATGGTTGTAAGTAAAAAAAGAATGGAGAGATAATACATTTTTTATTTACATTCGAAAAGTACAGCTATAGTCTTATTTTTCAACTTAATCACCATGTAAAGCAACCAAGCACTTGTGATAGCATTTCACCAATTTACAAATCCCTTCTGCATAAAATCTTTGCCGGCTGGGATTTCAATCTATCACAGATCCTGATTGTCAGCAAAGTGCTGCCCCCCAAGCCATTTCTGCAAATGAATGGACAGAGGAAAATCAGAAGGAGCCAAGTTTGGATTGAATGGAGGATGCTCCAAACTTCCAATTTAAATTGGCATTTGTAATTAAGATAAAATAACACGCCGAACAAGTACTAATCCAGAAATCAAACAACAAAAATCAGCTTTATATTTGCAAATTTTCACGGGACTAATTTCGATGGTTTTACAAAACCATCATCCTCAGCTTATCTTTTTCATTTGCGCTTTGGCAGCTGAGGGTGATGGTTCGTCAGAATTAGTTCTGTGAAAATTTGCAAGCATAACGCTGATTTTTGTTGTTTTACTTCTGGTTTGGCATTTATGGTTGTTAAATAGTGTGAGGGCAAGTGTTATCATGCAATAACACAAATCCTGATGTACTACACGGACTGTGAAGCTTGTTCTTAGTTGTTGACTTATTGTTGGTTGTACTGCCAAATGAGCTACTGTGTTGGTGAAAATGTCATGGTAGATGAAATCATGGATTCCTGCTTTCTGTAGTAATATCTGGTTGTCTGCTTTCTGTAATAATTGTCCTTTCAGGAAATATATCCCATTTAAACCCATTTAAGTGTGGAATCAAAATTTTCTCCCCTGTAAATGCCAAAATATTCTACTCTTTCAATTTGGAAATTTATGTGGGAAAACAAATTGAAAGACCTTTCTGTGTAAGCAACAAAGCACTTGATGTGGTGAAAAGGTTAGCAGAACCTTCGCTTGATTCTGGATGAAACATAATGGGTGACAACTGGTTTACACAGGTGAGTCTTTTGAATGAACTGAAACAGGAAAAGCTATTGTATGTTGGCACAATTAGAAAAAAATGAACAGAGCTACCAAAGCCAGACCGCAATTCTGGCTTCAGTAGTGATGTTCAGTTTTAGTATCCTATGCCCCCCTTTGCCCCCCCCCAAAAAGTTTTCTTTTTATATCACCATTGCATGATGACTAAGCTATTGATCTTTCAACTGGCAAAAAACAGAAACCAGAAATAATCAGTTTCTACAATGAAACCAAGTTAGGAGTAGATATTTTAGGTAAAATGTGGGTTCATATAATGTATCTTGGATGTAAAACGGTGGCCATGGTAATCTTTTTCACAATGTTAAACATTAAACATTGCTTCAGTTGAAATATCTTAGATCATACATGTATGTAATGGGTATGCAGCTCTGAAAAGAAGATTGTTCATAAAACAACTGTCTAATGAGCTTGTGCTTGAACAATTTTCTCAACGAAGTCTATTGTAATGCTAGTACATTTACAACAAAAACTAAAGAGATATGCTCCCAATCATAAACAACAGTCTGAAAATTATGATGAGCCACAAATACCTCTGAAAAGATGCAAATGTAAAACATGGTGTTTGGAGACTAGAGAAGATTAAGCCAATATGAGTGCAAAAAGTGTAACACTGCTACCTGCTTTTCACATGCTGTTTTCTTGTGTCCTCCATGCTATAGAAGAGAAGTAGAAGGACAGATATCTTCTAATGTATCAGATGAATGAGAGAACATACTTATGTTCTAGTTTTAATTAAGTTTGAATTTATAATTAGTCCTTGTACAACAACTTTATAAAAGTTATTTTACAAAATTTGTTTAATATAAATATGTTTCCTTTTAAGACTATATAAACTGTTTTATTGTCCCTTAGATATTTTTATAGCTTGTGGAATTTTAATAATAATGGATAGCATTTGATTTTTATCAGAAAACACTTTTTATATATAAAGTTTAATAAATCAGGAAGTACCTCTTAGGCTCAATGTGCCTAAATGTGTTCTGAAATATATTGGGCCTGACAGAGTGTAGAACAGAACGTAAGAATGCATCCAAAATCGAAGATAAAGTCCGAGCAATAGTTCATTTGCAAGTATGTATATTTAGGGGGCATGAAATCGAAGAGGGAATTGACATTCCAGAACATCTGTTTCCTCATCTGTCTAAAAACTTGCATTACCAAAGTAAACATTCATTATGGACACTCTTATTTCATGAAACTGTATGAATGACGCATTTAATTGAAACATTAAAGGGTTTAATATGAATCACATCAGTATGAATGAACAGGTTATATTAAGTATTAAACAGAAGGTCTTAGTTTGGAAGACATGTAATTTTAAAATATGCATCACAGATGTAGTGCTCCAGATAAGACATGCATACAGAACAATTGGTCATATGATTAATTTATAAAGGAGAGCTTTGTTATGAATTGACAGGGGGTGCTTTTGACTTAATAAAGGAGATAATTAGGACCTCACTATTGCTTTTTTGGGGGAACAGATTCAGTGTAAAGATGCCAGATTAATTTTGAATCTAGGATTACTCTATAGTATACTTTCAGTACAAAGTCTGAGATCTGGACTCGTTGGGACTTTCCTGATTCTGGATTTAGAATTTTTTGGGTATTATTAGATTATCAGTTTAAATCTGGTAACATGTCTTGTAGAATTATAAAATTGAAACTATAAAATAACGGTTATTGAAGTAATGAAGCATTTATGATCTTAAGGGAATCAAAATTTATAAACAACAAATATATTTATAACAACAAATATTATAATAATAAATATAAAAAATATTTTTTTGCTTTATTAAACTTTTTTTTTTTCAGTGTAAGCTGTTTAAGGCTTACAATCACCACAGATCGCTTTGAGGTTAACACAGGGGAAACCGGTTCTCCATTACAAACAAGCTGATAGCTGATTGCTTGAAAACAATTTGCAATGTTTTTCGAAAGGAAGGAAAAAATTGTGCGTCTTTTGGTCAATAGTTAAACAGACAGAAAAATTGTCCGAAACAGTTGGTTGTGTGATATGGGCCTTAGTTGCTTTCTTTTTTGGGCTAATATTTTCTTTTTATTTCTATAGATAGATGTAATTTCTTGTTCAGTTACAAAGTTTCAATGTTCAAATCCTCTAATTGTCATCTCGAGAATTCCCATTAAAATCGTGCATCGAAATTTTTTCATGCTCAGCAATTTCTGTGTTACTTTCTTCGCTATTGGTAGTGATGTTTTATGAATTTAGAACCTTATGTTTGGGACATTATCATCACAATGAAAAACTGTTATATCATCATTTATTACTACTTCTCAACATTTCTTTGCAAATGCCATTAATTCAAAAATTTTGCTTTTTTGCAAATTGTTTGAAAACTTTCAAATTCATACCTATGATCATATATCTTAAAGAGTTTCCCTTATACACACCATGAGATTGGCAACTAAAAGATATGTTGTTCCACTAAACTTTCTTATGTCACACACCGATGAAGCTAATTTTGAATTATATTTAGTGTAGTTATTTATTATACTTACGCCCATTTCCCACACCTGCTTAAAGCTTATCCGAGTTTCAAGTAAATAAATTCCCACATATACTTAAGGTTTATCTAGAGTCAGTGGTAGACACTTTATGGTCTCATACAGTCTCTACAATTAGATCCCGCTAGACACTTTATGGCCGAGTGCAGTCTCTACTTTGCTTGACAGCTTGCTGCCAAGCACAGCCTTAAATTCTAAAAATTTTGCCATCCCTAAATTTTATATCTCGTAAATTCTAAAGATTTTGTTATTCCTTAATTTTGTTGCTCAGTGCTTTTCTAAAAATTTTGCCTTTCCTAAATTCTGGCGTCAGTCTTTGGCTTATCTGAATAACAAATGAGTTATTCTCTATTTAAACAGCACTAAATGTAGTCTTTTCACTTATCAGTATCAGTACTCTCCATGTGTTTTATTAGGGAAAAAATATCAAATATGCATGTGCAAGCATAAATTTTTTTTTTTTTTTTTAATGCTATTGATGGTTTGGAGGACCGGACTTTCGATAATTCCAGATATTGTATGTCTGAATTTGGGGCTTTGTACTGTTTTAGACCAGGTACTGTAGTCATAAAGAACCTTTAAATTAGTGTAGGGTCTGGGAGATATTGAAAAGATTATGGCAGCTCATTTAGCGACGTTAATTTTAATTTCCTAAGAAATGAGCCAAGCTAGAGGTTTTAGAGGTAATTGAAGTGTCGGGACTTCAGAGTTTTATTTGCAAATAAAGCAATGGTATTCGTACTTTAGTTTTGAATTTTGTCTGCTGAGATATTTTATGTGCAGAAAAACCATTTACTTCAATAGCGATTTGAAGTGTATTATTTAGTGTTACTGAAGAAAACTCTGTGATAATGATCTTTATGTGTAATATTATTTGGTTGGTACTGTTCTGTTATCAGGACCAGATCCAGAAATAAATGTATGTATGCATGCATGGATATGTTTGTTTATGCATGTATTATATACATATGCATGCGCATAAATTCATACATTTCTGAATCTGGTCCTGATAACAAAACAGTACCATTTGGTTAATGTGATTAATTTTGCTTTTATAATTGATACAATTTTACTTCAGTTTGTATTGTTTTGAAATAAATGCCATTAAAATGAGTTTTTTATTAGTTTATATTTATATATTTTAGGTAGAATTTCAAACATTTCCTTATTCTCTCTATTGTGGAGAAATTCAAAAGGTAATTGCAAAATTTACAAATATTGGTAAACATATACTGCACAGGATAATTATTGCTTCACCAACACCGGGAATATTTGCTATTGGAATCCCAGGTGAATGCATTGATTCACCTAATATGTTTAAAGAACTGACGTCTTCCAGACAGCAGTCTCCAGTGATAGCAAAATGGGAGTCAGATTGGATGACGGAAGTGTTGATGCCTGACGGAGAACCTTGTGTGCTAGATTCAGGAGCATCTATAGAAATTCCATTTTGGTTCAAAGGTCCTGAAACTCCTGGAGATTATGACCTTGATCTTTTATTTTATTATGAAAATGAACCATCCAATCATAAACTGAGGTAATTTTTTTAAAAAAATTATGTGAATTTTTAATTTGCTAATTAATAATTTAAAATATTAAGGACTGAATACTTACATAAAAAGATTTGAACAAATTGTTGATTTACATAAATGATTTTTAAAATCTTTTGGGGGAAATAACCAGAGTTAATTGTGTCAAAGAAAAGAACACTTGACTAAAATTCTGTTCCTTTAAATGGTACTATGATTATCTGCACTTCCACAAATAGTCACCATTTATTTGGCAGTTTTGTGAATAAGTGAAAAAAATTTGTTCATATATCTTTATAGCTCATAGTTATTATTCTGCTCATAAATAATAATAAAAAGTATTATTTTATTTTAAATAAGAAGTTTCATGAGGAGCAAAAGTCTATTTGGCAGATAAAAAAAACACTAATCAGCAGAATGATAATAAATATAAAACATGTAAATTCATATTTACTCAAATACTTGTACTTTGTGTGCATGTTTAGGTAGAGATCTATTACCACGTGTACACCAAAAATGCAGAAATTCTTTTGATTGTTGAAACGAGGGTGCAGATAATCAAAGTTACTGATTAAACTGCCCATTATTAAATATGCAAAAGTTTTTGGATTTTTTCATTTTATTATTATTATTATTATAAACTACTATGGTTTAATTTTGGTTTTTTGCTCATGAAAAAAGTTTAACTTATTAAGCAGAACTTTTTACAAGCCTTTTATTTTAAAATTTTTTAATTCAAATATTTAAATATTTATAATATAATATGTATGCAAAATATTAGAACAGAATACTGTTGTTCATGGGGAGTCACTGTTATATATATTTATAAAATAATAAGAATTATTTTTGAAATTCTTGAATTGTACTTATTTACTTATTTTAGATATCGCCTTCTTCAGCTTTCCAGTGTTCTTGTCACACTTCCATCTGTGTATGTTCAATCCAAAGCTATGAGGAGCTTTTGCTCGGAAGATAAGTTATCAAGTTTCCATCCTGCTGCTGTACCTACTAGTTTGATACTCTCTGTAGAAATTAGTAACATCAGCCAAGTAAGTTACATGTTGAGTTTATTTATAAAATTTGAGGGGTGTTTTTCATTTTGTTTCCATCTAGTATTTGTTACCAATTTTAGTTGTTACTAAACATTTAACAATAAGTGTATTATTTATAATTTTTGTATTTTCGATAAGTAGAAATTGCCAAATTTCAAAATATGCTGAACTCTGGTATCCATGTGTGTTGTGTGTAAACATTCTTCTGGCAAATAGGCTCCAGGTGGTTCTTCAGTCAGTCAACACCGTCATTTTCACATGCTTTTTATTGTTGTTGTTTTATCATAGGTTCCATTGGTTTTCATGGGCATGATATTTTTTGTGTGCAACTCAATTTTAAAATATTGCTTGTGGAATTTGCCAGCAATGGAAGAAATGGCAGCAAGGGAAAAAACTGCCAATAATGAAGTTTTGGCAAGAATACAGTATTTTGCCACAAAAGGAAAGAATGATGAGATGCATTTGGTAGATAGCTGGCTCATAATGCTGAGTTTCTGCAGTTCCATTATATTTTTTAAAGAATTAATTTCTGTTCTTTGGGGGGGAGAAGAAGAAAGAGAGGAAATGAGTACATGACTGGGTAGCCTTCCGCAATGAATTAGGAGCATCAAATCAACTATTAAATTAATTTCAGGATGAGGATGTCCAAAGTTACAAAAACTTTATTGTATTTCAGATACAAAAACTAAAAATATATTCTGTGAACATAACTGAAATTTATTTACTTTCAAAATATATTTATTAATCGATTTAAAAGAAATTCAGTTTATTGAGGGAAGTTATTTCGTCAAATGGGGTTATTGAAATTCAAGTTAACAAAATTTTTCTACTATATATAACTATTTATTTACACGTAATTAATCATTTACAAAATAATGCAAAAGTAATAATATGTTTTATAATTTATTAATAGAAAGAATGTATTTATTCATCCAGAATCAGTAGCTCTCTGTGCATAGTTTTGACTGAAACTGTATTATTTCTAGAGCAGAATACAAAATTAACACATGGAATTATTCACATTGTTTAAAGTTGCCATTAACACAACAGAAATATACTGAATAATATCTACCTAATTATTCAGAAAATCTTAAATAAATAAGTAGCAAAAAACTTAAGAGCATTACTTATATTATCACAGATAAAAGAGTATATATATTATGACATAGTTCCGACAAATTGTGTTTCTGGACAACACTCAAATATTATATAAAGTGATATCTACAAATATTAATAATGATTAAATATAGTGATTATACTTTAATTTTAAAATGCTGAAACGAATAGTTTAAGAAAATTAGAATTCATCTAGCATAATTTGTATAAAACTTAATACACCTGAAGTACTTGTACTCAGTGTTTCACATCAAAGCTGAATTGTAACAAATAATGCATCAGAATGTTTTTATACAAAGCAACAAAAATGAATATAAGCTCACATAATTATAGAAGTATGCAACTTATTAATAAAGCAGTGAAGTGTTGAGATGCGTATGCATTAAAAAATGCCAAGGTTTGGCTATCACTTCATCTCGGCATTTTCGACATTATAAAACTCACTGTCACAATATCTCTGTGAGCACTGCTCGGAGTAACTGCCTGGATAGATTTTTCAACATGTTCAAAGTAGAAACGGAAGCACTAACTCATCGTCCCTATGTTTGTACTCGGTTGAAGAGAACGTTCACATTGTCAAAGTAGTCGTAACAAGTGGCTCGCTACGAGCTGCTTGGACAGGTGTAAACTGGCCTTAAGAAAGGAAGCCATTATGATTCCAGACTTTTGTGTCTGTTTATTCGGATAAAGAAATAACAAAAATGAAATAAATATGTTGTAGTACTGTATCTTGTTTGGATAAGAATAAGTGGACAGGGGTACCTGCTTTGTGTCATTTGGTTATCGGGGCAGGGTCAACTCAGCAGCTGCCTGGAATTTATTGTAAATTTAAATTTTTATTACAGAAGAAAATTTCATGTTCCAAATGTGTAAAAATATAACTTGTACGTAAAATAACAATGATAATAAATGTTGTGCTGGATAAAAATTAAAAAATAATTAGTCAATTAATATTTGCATTAAAGTTCAATAAAAAAATTCTTTTTTTTTTTCAAATTATATCAGAAATTCAAATCATATCATAATTTTAATCCAGAAAGCTATTGCATATTAATGTGGTAAAAGAGAGTCATATGAAAGCTCATTGGTCACTGACATACATTGGTCAGCCAGTGGCCAGTGAACTGCATATGCCCTGTGAATTTTTACTTGCGGTCTGCAGCTATGTTAATAAATTTTTTCTAAAAAACTTAATTTGTGTATATTTTTGTACTTTTAACCATCTTAAGGTCATATTCATTGAAAGTTAAGATGAATACCAGAAGAACCTTGAATAGCCATTGTTTCATATTGCAGATTCTACAGTCCCAACACATAAATTAAATCTTAAAGGCTTAGAAGTTGGCCACTACTGCCACATAATACACTAGTTGTACATGGACACAGATTATAGTTTTCCATATTATTTTAACTTGTGGCATAGACACATGGTATTTTAAAGTACAATATATCCTTTGATTCTTTGGCTAGCCATTTCATCGATGTTTCTGAAATTTAAGCTATATCCCGTCCTGTCTCAGTAAGCTTATCATAGAGTGATCAGGCATTTCATAAGCCCAAAAAAGTGTATTAACATTATAGAAACAATCTTAAGAGACCCATATCATGTGTAATTAGACATTATTTTATTGAGAAATGTCTTGAAAATGCGTGGCTAAAATGTTGAGTTAATAAATTGCTGAATGTTGTTGATTTACTGTGCTGGCATCAAAGTAGAATAAAGAATTGCCAAAAACTTTAGGCTTTTGTAGAACATGGCTACTTTTGGGATGGGAGCTGTATGGTGTTTTATAGTAAAGGCAGAATCCTTGAAGTAGCTAACCCATATTTAAACGCATACTCATTGTTGACAACTATACTCATATATGCATATTCATTCAATCAACACTCTGTGCTTTTAAAATACACATTTTGATTATTCACAGAAAAGCTGTTATAAATTGCAAGTAACTTTACTTGGTGTTGTTTAAAAATCTGAATTGTAAATTTATTTTTGAAATGATTTGACATGCCTTTAAATGTAATCATTTGAATTTGTCAAAATTTCTTACGAGGGATTTATTTGATAAGTCCACTTCTATTTCTGATTCCATTTCTGAGAATACGTGACAGTATTGCATATATTAATGTTTCTTTATTTTGATTTGATAATCTTATGGCAGAAAAAGTTGTTTTCTAAATTATTTCCAAATGCGAAGCATTGCATAAATTCTCTCTTTTTTTTTCCTGTGAATGTTGTTATTGGGAATAAGCATGTGGAAATTAGCCTCTCATTATACTTACAATCATATTTTGTAGTGATTTCTTGCTTGGGATGCATACAGTTTATTGACTATTACAATTTTTTGCTTTGTAGAATATATATATTAAAGTGTGGCTGGTAAATGAAAATTTCTGTGGCAGCAGCTGCCTTCATTTCTTGTATTACACTTATTATCATGCTTTACCTCGTATTATTTTTCATATTTATGCAGTGTCCTGCATATTTTTAGTTTTGTTCTCCTTCATACTATCTATATTTGTATCTGCATATTGGTAAAATTTAGCAGTTCATCTTTGGATGCCAAATTATTCTATAATCTATCATAATTCCATTTTTCCATCACAAAAGTAGGAAAGGTAGGTATTGGGGATTCATTGAAAGAAGCCTATGCCTATGCCTAGGCAAAAGCGTCTTCTTAGTCAAGTACAGGTTATAATGAAGTTTGACAGTATATGTATGTTTGGATTCTAAGTATTAGTATATTAAGTTTACTAATACTTAGAATAATTAGTAATCTAAGTATTAGTAAAATCTGTATTAATTCTGAATGTGCGATGCTTTTTTGATTATCAAAAAATTAATTTATACATATTGATGTATCAAGTCATATTAAAAGCTATTTGCAAAATTCTGTATTTTAAAAATTAATTTTATTAATACAACATAGGTTGAATTTTTTGTAAATATTATGGAAATTTTTAATAAATGACAATTTAATTATTTGTGTAATGATAACAGGAAAATAAATAATGTGATTGATAAAATACATGAATATAATAATATTTGAAAATTGGAAGTTTTGGTGCTTCTTTTGATTCTATTGTGCCCATTCTAGGAACTCAATCAAGTCAGCCTTATACAAATATCCTGCATTAGTAAAGATTGGTGTTTTTTGCCATATGAAGATAATTGCCGTAGAGGTAAGGATTCTATTATGTTTAGCAGCACATTAGAATTTGTTATCAGTGCATATATTTTGATTCATGTGATTGAAAAATAGTGCAGAATAAAATTTAGAAATCGGGAGAACTGCATGAAAAGAATATATTTTCCAGTTGATTGATATTTGTTCAAAAGATATAAGTACAGTACCAGCCAAAAGTTTTAAAACTAAAAGAAATAGAAACTGAAGTATTTATTTTATCTGAAAAATTTATTGAGTTGTCCTGGAAGTAATTTTTTTTCCTTACCACCAAAGTAATTAGTTGTATTTTTAAACCAGCCAACTTCATTCTTACCTGTCATTGTCTATTTTAACAGCTGACATTTTGAGACTTATTTTAAAATAATTTTGTCCCATCAAAATTAAAACCAATATTTTTGTCATATTTTGCTTTTTTATTACCAGAGAGATAAGAATGCTGTTCAAGCAAGAAAAAAATGATATGACGTGTGTAGGGAAGATATGTTCTCAGAACAGCAGTTTCGAAACTAGTTTGCAGATTCTCATTCTAGCAGTTTTGTTACTGAAAATGCATCATGTTCTGAAAGACCACTTAAAATCTGAAGAAAAGAAAATCTAGGTATTAACTCAGGCAAACAACCGAATAACAACACAAGAAATTATTAAGAGATTATATTTGTCGAATTCAATTGTTAATGATCCCTTGAAATGACTCGGTTTCATTACAAAGCTTGTAGAGCCATTAGGTTATATCGATGCTGGAAACATGAAAAATGTACATAGCCCTCGCCGGGGTTCAAACTTTGGACCTCCCAAATATGCTTCCAGTTAACCATGAAAGCATGTGGAAAGGAGGAAGTACCTTATATACTGCCTCTATTATAATGCAGCTGGGGAATCTGCAAATCCTGGTGATAGTGAATTATCATCCATTATCTTTCAGTTCAGGTGCCACTTATAGAGTCATTAGAGTTTTTCCATTTCAGGAAACTGAAGAAATCCAAGGTGCCCTCGCCAGGATTCGAACTTCGTACCTTCCAAGTACACATTGAGCGTGCTTCCAGTCACACCACAGAGGCATGCAGAAAAGGCATGCACATATCGAGCTTACTAGCTCGATATGTGCATTCTGCATGTTAAAAAAAAAAAAAAAATTACTTTTCAACTATCAAGAAATTAATCCTTTTTGAAGTGAATCAAGACTGGCATTAAAAAATGGATTGTTTACAACAGTGTTAAGTCCAAATGATTATGGAGAATATATTATAAGAAGATACAAGCCAGCTCAAAGCATTTTGAAAGTCAATATTAATTAAAAAAAGTGATACTCTGTATTTAATGTGATTTTTAGATATATATATGTATTTTTAACAATGTAAGAGACAATTCCGCAATTGATTTGAAAGTATACTGCCATCAACTGGACAAACTGAAAAGTGTATCTTAAAGAATGGATTTATAATTATTTTTATGTAATGCCAGACCTTACACAAGTCTGATAATTCGTTAGAAGCTATTTCAGTTTGGATTTGATGTGCTGCCACACACACTGTATTCACCAGAATTTTTGTAAGGAAGGATTAGCAATTTTATGAGCTTGTAATCATGCTACTATCAGAAATATGATAAAAAGCATTGGGCCAAAATAGTTAATATATAATTCAATAAAATTTGTGTATATTATTAGAAAAATTTCTTTTATAAGATGGGATTACTTTCTCACTAACCCAATATATATAGTGTTCTGCTTTTTTATTAATGAAAAATATATCATGAATTTATTGTTTTTCAGTATATTATTTTTAAAATATACAAAATGATAGTAAATTTATGTTATATTTTTGTTAACAAATATGCTTAAAATGGGAATGTGCATTGAAAGAAAACCAATATTTTGTCTGGAATCTATATTTTTAAAATCGTCATTATAGTAATTATAGATTATTGATCCCATTACTTTTTAAAAATTTAGATAGTTTTAAATATATTGGTACTTTGACTACCTGCATCTACACTGAAAATTCATTAAAAAGTATTTGAGGCAAAGCAATGTGTTGCCAGAATACTCATGTGACAACCCAGGTATGTGCGTAGCACATGTCTGTTTTGGCCATTGCTCAATGATGATGTTATATGATGCCAAATTTATGCTAATTAGATATTTTTTAAACGAAAACACTTAGCTGCATAGAAGAGAACAACAGCTAAAAAAAAGGAATTTCTTAGAAAGGTAATGTTGACCAGTGTTTTGATCTTTCTAATTTTATTGGTTCACCGCTCCTGTACGAAATTCTTAGTGTGGAACTATTTTCGAAATGGTTGCCCTTCATGCATTAGCTTAGTGAAAAATTAGTTAACAATGAGATTGTGAATGCTTTCCAAAGTCACCAAAGAATTCACGACTCTTCAGTGGGAATGCAGATAATCAGAAAGTACTAAAGTATTTAATTAAAGAATTTGATTTAAATAATACAAAGACGGAGTACATCGAGATGAAATACTACATTTAGTAAGGAATTATAAGCCAAATAAAATAAAAACATCTGCCCTGAAGATAAGGATAGTGCTGACAGATCAACTTCCAATTCATTGCGCGCCACGGAGCAGTGTGAAATTGATAAACAGATTTCGGAATGGTTAGATAAACAAAGGATATGTCTTTATCCATTTTTTGAATCAATTCCACTTTTTGTTTAATGGACTTCGAAACATACTTTCGCTTTGTAGATCCTTTACATATTAGTAAATATATATCGGAAATTCTTTTTGACATAATCGAAAAAGTTCAAGCCTTACTTTATAAAATTGCTCTAACAGTCTGCAAAAAAAATAATAAGCCGGATCCAATTCGAAGATTTAAGGAACAACGCAATCTGCAACATTAACTGAATTAGATAATTTTAGCTTAGCTTATACCGTCCGTTATACATTAAACGCGCATGCGTAAACGTATTTTGGGCATGCGCACACGCATATTCGCAGCCGTAAAGGTCTTACGCGCAGACGCATGCGCAGAAAGTTCGTAGCTTTGAGGTCCGGATTATGGGTGTCTGAATTAACGACTTTTGAGTGTATTATACTAAAATGAAACTATGTACATAATGTTTTAAGAGTAAAAATGAAAAAAACTGCAAACAGGTAAATTAAGTGATAGACAAAATTTTAAAAAGAAGGTTTTTAGAAATACAATTTTTTTTCATGGTTATATAATTTGAAATCAAGCATTGTATTTTATCTGTTCTGCTTTAAAATATGTATTAAATGCAATATAAAGTTTCACCTTAGAAGGAGAAAAATTCAAAGACATTTTGATTTAAATTTCATGGGTATGGTCTTCATTACTTTATGTTATCTAGTAAAATATGTAGTATGTCGTTTCATCATTTTTTTTGCACCAAATTTTATAGCAAGGAAAACCTTTTATGTATTTTAGGTTTGTCTGTGATACACCCTGAAGAAACACTTCTGTTGACATTAAAAGCCATTGGCTTTGATCCTAAATTAACAGGTATATATACTGTAGAATCTTAACAAAATTTATGGACTATATTTATTTGAAGGAGTAAACTATTTAAATATTGAGTTTCCTTAATATAATGAGGCTGTAATTTAAAATTTATTTTTAGTGTCTAGTCAAAAAGTGAAAGTGTTTTCACACGTTCCTGTGGGCAGAGTTGAGGTAAGTAAATGTAAAGTCATTATACTTTTTAATTTTTTCAAACCATTGCCATTTTTTATTTCATTTATGGGCTCTAAGATTAAATATCTGGTTGTAATGAAAGTTTTCTGCGAAAAAACATTCTTAATAAAGTTAGGGGAAAAAAAATATGAAACCAGTACCTTTAGTGCGAGTAGTAATCACCACCCAAATTTATTATTTTCTGCCAATGTTTTGGTAGTTTTGCAAAGCCGTAGGCCCAGAAACTTGGTGGCTGCAAGTCAAAAAACAGATCATCCTCATTTCGGACATCTTGTGCAGAATGGAAGATAGCACCAGCATCATTTTGCACTAAGATAATTTTAAGATCTTTTTGTTTAAATATTTGTACTATATATAATATATATAAACTACATTTATATTAAATAAATTATACATATATGTACATATAACTGTAATAATTTTTAAAAAATTCTTTTCTTTCTTTTTTCTTCGCCGCACATGATAGAAACGGAGAATACGATATTTATCATGAGCAAATGTGTAGTCAATTTTTGTTCTAATTTGCCAAGATATTTATTTAGCTAACAAAAAATCATCATCCACTATAGTACCGAATAATTTTGCATGATGTTTTACCTTCTGGCGAACAAATTGTGTTTTCATTTTCAGCTCTTGAGGCGGTTTTATATGTGGAAAGGAGGTATTCATCATTTTTATATCTTATTAGCTTATTAACCAGTAAGTAAAACCACAGTAAGATCTTTTGCTGCCATAACAGAGAAGGGAGCAAGAATTAGATCGTGATTAACCCAAGTTCAGCTGCCATGGAAAATTGGATTGTTTCTGATTTTATCCTGTGATGGTGTGTAATTAGTACAAAAGAAAATATGCTCTAGATCCAGGAAACCAGTTGCATGTGCCCAGTAACTGCTGGCCCTACACTGAAATAAGTACATTGCTTTAATATCTTAGAAAAAGAAATGAAAAAAATACTTCACTTACTTCTTTCTGGTTAGTGCTTTTAAAATAAATACATATACTTTATCTAATTAAATTAGTTTATTAAATACTCATCGGTAGAATTTGCAGCACCCTTGATTAATATAGATGGGTAAGAACATTATATGTGCGACCAAATGTTGCTATAGTGACTCTATTAGTTAGCTGCGCAGCCACATGATCGAAAATGTTCCAGAGTTAAACTGTCATAATCCTTCGTTATTTATTTTTGGAAACATCTAAAACTTCACACTCAAACTCTTGATATCACTCAGTCCACAATTTGTCGCTAATTTTTGGAAAATGGACACATAGTAATGAATTTCCACACCGTCTATTGTATTTTAGCTATGGGTGGATCGCAGGTACTTGAACTCCTCTTAGATGCACGTAATGTGCTTCACTTTACTATGCTAGGCTTGCAGAAGAATAATCTCATCAAAATCCATGAATCCATGAACTTCTTTTTATTCGTCCTGTGCACTTCATCTCTTTTTTTTTTTTTTTTTTTCCCCAAGCATCAGTTGTGAAACACACCTTTTTACTTAACTCCATCACGGGAAGAGCGGGGCCGAAACCCTGCTCTCCTATCTGCAGTTTTCATCGAAAAGAGGGAGACAAACCAGTTCTGCGAGAATTTATTCCAGCGTGTGACTATTCGATGGTGATTAAATTTGCAATTAAATGAATGATGATTAAATCCATTAGTGAGAAAACTGTGTTCCCACACATCCGAATATATATATATATTATTTTCAATCTATTACCACTGCTGTCATCTTGTCAGAATTAAAGTAAGAGATAACATTTCCATTTTGCTCTTTTGTCAAAAACATCATCTGTTAATCAGCCGTAGAGTATCATCATTTCAACATCTAATCACATTTTACTTTCATGAGGTGGTTATGCAAGCAGAGTTATGTTTAAACTGCATACCTCTTGCTTGAAGAAATAAAATAGCTACTTTTTTATCTCTTGGCAAATCACAAAAATCTATTTCAATTAAAAAAGTGTACTTGAAAAACATGAAAGGAAGGAAGTCAAACCAAACAGGAGAAGCTTAGTGCTGAGAAAATATGGGGGGGGGATACAAGTAGCTGTGACAGAAGAGAACTGCAAAATTTTCTTATTAATGGAATATGTTAAGAAATGGAAATAAAAATGTTAAATTAAGATGAAGTAACTGAAGTCTTTAATTAGGATGACAATGTCCCAGTCATCAATCAATCAGCTGATAATGAAATCTGTCATATGGTTTTAAATCCATCAGACATTGCGATCAGTTATGAAGAAAGTGAGAAAGAGGTTGTTGGAAAGGAAAAGATTTCAGTTGACTGTTTTGGTGAGAATTCTTGACCCAGCAATTTGCAAGATTTAAAAACAATGTAACTTTGTAAATATACAAGAAATTATGTTTCTGTATAAAATTAAAGAGAGAGAGAGACACATATAAAATTAAATTGCTTAAACAACTTAGGTTCAAAATAAGGTTTAATAAATTAATGGGAAAAAAATGTGAACAGTAAGATTTTTGTTGTAAATTTAAGTTCTCTTTATGTCATAAATGCTTTAGTATTTCATATTTTTTATTGTACAATTTCTATATGTCATCTTACTAGATTTTAATGACGTATAACCCAGAAATGCCAACTTCCTGACAATTCCAGATCTCGGACTTGTGCTGTATTTTAATAACATTTTCTGATTCTGGATTTTATCTCAGTTTGCTTTCACATGTAGTGTTAAATATCTGTTTTGTTCTCACCTTGGTTCTGGTGCATTATATAAGTGGCATAAAAAGCAACAACAATAACTAGAGCCTGTTTCTGGTGTAGTGTATCTTTTCAATGATTCCAGTGCATTGTGGAATTTGTTCCTTGTTGAATAGTCACTATTATTTGGAAGCATACAGGATGCCTCAAAACTCTACATACAAACTTTATTGGGAGATGAAGAACATCTGTGTGGATAATATATACACAAGGAAAGTATTGCAGGATATAGAAGAAGCACAGCGATGCAACAAGAACACAACACAGAAAGCAGAGTTAAATTCTGTATTAGGAAAAATTTAGTAATACAACATCAGATAGATGCAGATATTATTTCTCAAGATGTATTCAATAAAATTTGTAACAGATCTGTTGCAATCAAAGTTTCTTAAGAGATCCTTAATTTCTTTATAATTTTAAGCACCTTATTGATGATTATATATGTAATTTACAAGCGATAGGGGGAACAATATGTGTGTGGGGGGGAATGCTTGAGAGAGTAAATAATTCTGCAAGAAGGGTGAGTTATAGTCAATGCAGGTGTGCAGAATGTTATTCTAGAGTTTCGAGAAAAGGGGAATATAATTTGTGGCATGACCCGAATGAATTATCAGAATTAGAAGTCCAGATGTTTTCACTTTCTGTACTCATTTGAAGCCATCATTTTGAAGTGAACAACAAAGACTTGAGTAAATAACATTTGGTTTAGTTGAAGTACAGTTGATTTAATGTTAATTTTAGTAGTAAATATGGCTTCTGGTTAACAAAACAAACATAGTGTTGGTTTCAAATGCTAAGTTGTTTAATTTTTGAAAGAAAATGAAAACCGTACTTCTCAAGGATGTTTTGTGTTGATGAAAGGTGCATGCATAAGTGGAAAAAAAATGAAATTATAATAATTGATATGCCCCAAAAAAAGGGGGTTTTGCATAAAGGAATAGCGAAATAGTCTATAAGTTTCTAAGATAAGTGTTGCAATCTGGGTGCTAGGAAATTGTTAAAATGAAACTAGAAACATTGTAACAACATAAGTTTATTTTCATTAGAGGAGAAGCAAATGAAAGTGAAAACTTTAAAGCAACTTTGAGTTGGTGTAGTCAATTTATGGCATGGAATTATTTAGCTCTACAAGAAAAAACAAAAGCTTTTCAAAGGCTTCCAAAAGATTTGGACAACAAATTTATGTTTCCAGAAGTTATTGACATACAAAGGAAAAAAAAAAAAATGCTCTCACATATTGGAAATATGGCTGAAACTCCAGTAATGTTTAATATGACAGGAAATAGAACAATTGATGTAAAAGGAACAAAAACCATTCACATGAAAACAATAGATCATAAAATATCTCACCTCATCGCAGTGCTTTCCTGCTTAGCAGATGGTACAAAATTAAAACACATGGTTAATCTTTAAAAGACGGTGCCAAAATGCAGTTTCTAAAATGATGTTTTTATTCATGTTGAGGAGAAATTATGATAGACAAAAACGGCAGGAAATTAATGAATAAGAAATGTTTGGCAATAGCCTCTTCTTGCCTTAAAGAATGCTTGCTTTAATGAAGAAAGTCTTTTAGTTTGGGGCATGTTTAGATCCCATCTAACGGATAATATCAAGAAATTGTCAAAAGAGTGCAATACAGACATGACACTTATTCCAGGCGAATTAATGCCATTCTTTCTCCCTTTAGATTGGGTGTCAATAAACCATTCAAAGAAACTTTAAAACAACAGTGGAATATATGGATATTTGAAAATGAAAAAAACATTTACAGAAGAAGGTGAAATGCATCATGCCAGTGTAGAAGTAGTGTGTGAGTGGGTAATAAAAGTATGAAATGAAACTGAAGTTGACATAATTAAAAAAAATTGAAAAAATGTAGTATATCTAACAATCTAGATGGAACAGATGATGATTATTTATTTATGGATTAGAGTAACAATGGTGATGAAGATGAAATAGAATTTGATGATGTGTCTGAAGATAATGGAAGACAAATATGACAAACATTTCATGCTATCTGACAATGAAAATTTTGAAGTTTATAAGGTATGTCATTTCTTTTAAATAAACAGCGTTTAGGTACATGTAGAAATCTAAATTGTGTATGCTTACCTTTTCCTTGTTTTTAAATGTGTCATTTTAAAATCTGGCATGTTAGTTAGGTGACGTAGTCGCGCTTTCAGTCACCTGGATGACTACCCTATCCTGTATGTAACTTATCAGGGGTGTACATATCATTTGATGAGCATAGCATACAGTGTGGTAAGAAAAGTTCAAATGGAAGTAGAAGGTAATACTAGGCATTATGGAGTAGCGAACAGAGTTCGGTGAACAGGAAACAATCTAGCGATGAGGTTGGCAACAGGATGATAACTGCAAAAATTTTCAGAGCCATAGGATTTTGATTGGTTGAGCCGGAAAGGGGGAGAGGACGTGTGGCATGTAATGTTTGTAGAGACGTTAGGTATTTTTTTAAAGCGGGAGAGGTGATGAGCAAGGCCCTTGCCAGGACTCAAACCACAGTACTCTTGAATACATGCCAAGTGTGCTGGCCATTACACCAAAAACCTTATATACTTTATATACTTCCCATTTCAAAGGACAACTAGGGATTAGGAGACCCAGTCGCCAAATCCTGGCGGTTAAGAATCATCATTCAACACCTTTTAGTTTGGGTGCCACTGTAGAGACATTAGGTATTTTTTGAAAGCAAGAGAGATGAAAAATGAGTAATGCCCTTGCCGGGACTCGAACCACGGACCTCTTGAATACACGCCGAGTGTGCTGGCAATTACACCATGAAGGCATGCTAAGAAAGCGGGAGAAATACCTTATATATGCACCCATAATCTAGATCTTATTTTTTGTTTTGAAAGGACATATTATATGCCAGAATATAATGTGCACTTATAAAAGATTTTAAGAATGAGAAAAAGTCTCTTTTTTTCCCTCATTCTTAAAATCTTTCTCTGAGCCTCTAGAGCTCAAAGTTTGTATAATTTAGAGGTTTAAACTGCCACATAGTAACAGTCAGTTTATTACAATTATAAATTTAGTGATTATAAAAAAAAAAAAAAAAAAAACATTAATTGTTAAAAAAGTATTAATTGTAAAATATTATATATATAAAATTGTAAAAATTGTGGAAGTGGCTAAATATAATGCTTCGTTTCACATTAAAAGCACTAAATGTGTTTCACAGTCGTATATTAGAATTTATTACAGCAAATTGTTTTTGTATTTTTCAATATTTATATGTAAGGTTTAAAAATTTAGGTATACGTTATTTTGCATTATAGGTTGATAGCAGTTCTACACCATGCTCTGATTTCAGTCAAAAGTCCGGACTTGATCTTCAAGCAATACTTTCTTGTGATACTGCAGTGTCAGTCAAAGAATGCAATAAGTTGAAAGCTGAAACTGATACAGTTCTTCTTCTAGTGGTGATATGGAAGGTTTGATTTTATTTGTTCATATTATATTATATTTAATAGTTTTTGTTCTTTTTTATGTTTTTTTATGTTTTGGTTTCTAATTTAAATCATTAATAATTTTTCTTTGTGAAAACATAGTTTGTACAGTCCTTAAGAGTCCTTAAACCATGTTCTTAAACCTTAGGTTTTTTGGAATCGATTTTTGGCTCTTAAGAGCCCTTAATTTTGGCCAAAATTAGCAGAAGGCCCTTAATTTTAATCATCTGAAATTTCTGTCTCTTTTTATGACTGCCATTTTGAGTGTGAATTAACATTTTGAAGGAATATTTTTGGCGATTAACTGACATATATGGTTACCTTTTGAATGGGTTATAATTTTTTCCTATTTCTAATATAAATGGGTGGTATACTCGATTTTTTAAGCAAGAAGTGAAACATAAGCATTTCGAAATTCATTTTTCCTAATAAAGAGCTCTTAAACAACTTTTCACTTTTGGAGATGTGAAGTCTTTTATTAAACAGTTCTAAATTTGGCGACTTATCAACATTTTGGGGATTTTAAGATCAGTTTCTAAAGAAAATTTTTAATTCTGAGATCTGGAAATTTTTTGATGATTTTTTTTAAACATTGTAACATTGATAAATTTCAAATAAATAATGGTAATATATTAAAATTATATTAAAAAAATAACACTAAAATAAAACATTTTTATTTTTCTCTGTTGTAAAGTTTTATTTTGGCAACTTATACAGTATTTTGAATCTGAAAAATAAACAAGGTAGAATGCTATAAAGTACTGTTTACCAAACAGTTCTTAGCAAAAGCAAAATTATTTATGTAATTAATTAAAAATGTCTTCTTCCTAATTTTTTTCATAAGCAGAGTTTTTCTCAGGCAATTTTCTCAAAATGTTCAGAGTTCTCAGATTATGCATTAGTTTTCTCTATAAAATTAATTTTACACTTTTTCCCTCATCCCCCCCCCCCCCCCCGCGAAATATTTTTGTTGCTGTTACAGAATTGGTAGGAATAATTTTTCTTTAGGACTTTAGACATTGAAGCCAGGAAAGTTTAGGAGGATTTGTATGTTAGATTTATAGACCCACAATTCTAGAAAATTAAAGAAATATGTGACAAAAATGTCTCCATGGTATTAACACATAATAGATGTATTTTACAGAAAGTTTGTCATGAATTTCTTACTTTTTGGAGAATGTCTGGAAGAACAATGAAAACATGATATTTGAATGTTTTATTTTTAATACTAGAATTTTTATCTTAACATGTTTATCTTCCCTTTTATTTTCTCTACTTTTCATTAGACACAAGCATGGAAAATATCAAAAAATGCTTCTAATCTTATCACATGAATAGGTATGGAATAAAAGGAATAAAATTACAGTCAAAAGTCGTTAATCCGGACTCGTCGGGACTTCGGCGATTCCGGATTATAGATCATCAGTTTAAATCTGGTAAGATGGTATGCAGAAATTATAAAATTAAAAATATGAAACCGTAATTTATGAAATAAAGAACAATTATGATCTAAAGGGTATCAAAATTACAAGAAAAAAAGCTTAATATTTATTTGTTTACTTTATTAAACATTTCTTTCAATGTAAGTTTGCTTAAGTTGCTTTCCCCCCTGTTTTATGTGATAATACTTTTCTCTTTAATTCTACAGAAACAGACATAATTTCTTGTTCAGTTACAAAGTTCCGCTGTTTCAAGTCCTAATTGCTGTGTCGAGAATGCCGACTAATTTGTCAATCGAAATTTTTTCGTTTTCAATAACCTCTGTCACTTTCTTCGCTCTCGGAAGCGAATTATAATGACGAGGAATTTGATTTAAATCATATCAAAGACGGAGTACATCGAGATGAAATAATACATTTAGTAAAGAATTATAAGCCAAATAAAATAAAAACATCTGCCCTGAAGATAAGGATAGTGCAGACATATCAACTTCCAATTCATTGCTCGGCGCCACGGCGTTAAAGATAAACAAACGTTAAAGTTTAGATAATCAAAGGATATGCCTTTATCCATTTTTTGCAGCAATTCCACTTTCTGTTTAATGGACTTCGAAACATACTTTCGCTTTGTAGATCCGTTTCATATTAGTAAATATATATCGGAAATTCTATTTGACATAATCGAAAGTTCAAGCTTACTTTTATAAAATTGCTCTAACAGTCTGCAAAAAATAATAAGCCAAATCCAATTCGAAGATTAAGGAACAACGCAATCTGCAACATTAACTGAATTAGATAATTTTAGCTCAGCTTATACCGTCCGTTATACATTAAACGCGCATTCGTAAACGTATTTTGCGCATGCGCACACGCATATTCGCAGCCGTAAAGGTCTTACGCCCATGCGTCAATGCGACGCATGCGCAGAAAGTTTGTAGCTTAGAGGTCCGGATTATAGATCATTCCAGATTATGGGTGTCCGAATTAACGACTTTTGACTGTAATTGAAAACTTACAATTTAAAAGATTCATCTAATATGTTTTGATGCATCATACACAGAGCTAGATCTAGGGATTTTCCTACCAGATGCAATCTCTGTGGATCCTAGATTCTGCTGCCTAGTGCCTTTCTAAAATCTGCTTCCAATGCCTGCTCTAAATTCTAAACGTTTCGCCATTTCTAGATTTTGTTGCTCGGTATGTCACTAAATTCTAAAAATTCTACCGCATCAGCTCTTTAACCGACCCTTTCATGTTGAAGAAAGAAACTGAATGCATAAAGAAAATTATTGTTCAAAGATATATACAGTTATTATTATGTAAATTACCCTGTTGTTTATGATTTCAGTTGTTACTATAATTTCCTTTATCTATTTCCTCGTATGATAGAGTTATTGAGCCAGCTTAAATTAAAATTAAATTGCGTAGTCTTTGACCAGTAATTCCACATGCATCATGATGATCTCTTTCTATATGCAATGAATGACTATCCACATTTTTAGTTTGAATTTGACTGTTCTTGTTTAATTTTATCACTATGAGCTGTAATTGATTTTGTTAGCATCAGAACATGCCTTTATGTTTAAGTTCTTTTTAAATAAGAGGCTTATTTAAACCTTCATCTGAGATTGTAGTTACTTTCAGACACAATTTGCTTCACGTCTGTCAGGGGGTTTGGGACTATTTAACTTTTACTAGATCAAGTAAACCCTCATAGGTACATTGTGGTGAGGTTGACAAGTTACGAGATAAAGTACCCCAAAACTAGTGAGAACACTAGGTTTGCGTATTGAGACAAATTTCTGATTGCTAGAAAAGATGCTTAAGAGAAGTAAATCAATATAAACTAGCCAAAATGTCTGGGAAGACTTCAAATTAAAAAGACACATAAATATTTTGCTGAGAGTATTCTTGTTACAAAACACTTATGTTTTGTACCATTTAATGTGTAATTATCCTAATATCATTTAAGAATCAATTACATGCATTTTAAACTGTGAAATTTTATTAGATTGTGTAATTTAACAAATATTGTTAAAAAATAAATAAAATTTAATAGTGGCCATGTAAGTCCATAATATTAAGGTTATCTAACCCAATTTAATTATTTATAGCTAACTGCTTATCCTTAAAAATTATCTTTGTAGTTTGTATTTTATAAAAGAACTACTAGAACTTGTGCATCAGTTATTCGACTACTCAAAAGGACTACCACCAACTACTTTCAGCTTGTCATATATTTTGAGTGCCTTCTTACCATGCAGATAGACTTGAATGTGGGCCTGTCAGTATGGCAGTCAGCATCACTGTAGACTATACCATCTGTGCAGTAAATGGTATTTACAGATGGATCATACCTAAAAAATAACCTTCATATTTTACCTCTTTAGCCTGAAAAAGAACTTGGTTGGCATCCTAAATGGCCACCTGTGTTGCCTGTTTCTGGAGCTGGGTCTAATCATAATTATTCATTTCTTAAACATTATATATTTTATAAATATTTTTTTCGTATTTAGTTTTCTAATTCCCCTTCTTCTTCTAGGCTAAAGTTAAAAGAGATGACATTGATATAATTATCACTGGGCAGCATCATGTACCTATATACACACTTGAACCTTCAAATATTACAGCCAAAACTCCATCAATTGAAGTAAGTATAAACAATCTTATATGAATTAAACTATTTTTAATTAAGTAATTAAGTAACTAGTTCATAACACATCTACAGCAGTGTATCCATATGTGTAATATCTATTGCTATTAAATAAAATAATTCCTTTGTTGATAAAATACTAATTTTCTCTAAATTGATGGAAACCTGAAAGTTTATATGTTCCATAGTAATAGTTAAATATGATACATAATCTTTAATAGAATTTAATACAAATTTTAAAAATATAATTATTCCTGTGAAATGTAGCTGTATAAAGCAATAAATAGTACTGTTACTTTTTTGGACTAAGCATCCTTACCAAAATTGCGAAAGCTTGGTAGTTTTAACTTAAATAAGGAGAAGAAATGAGATTTTATATAAAATTGCAAAAGGAATTGGAAATGTTTAGTTTTTGAAAATTGAATTATGCTTTGAGGTGTATGTTGTGCTTTGAAACCATAATAAGTTTATTGATATTATATAGTGTCGCTACAAACATAATGATATTTTAAGATGAAATTTGAAATCATCATCACAAGAACTTAAACCTGCAAAATAAGCTGAATTCTATCAAGGCAGTGACCTTGAGATTGTTCCTGTGACTGTGCAACTTTAGCTTCTGTTAAGTATCTTTGAAATATTCAGAATGTCTCTTCAGTATCCAGTTTTAAATCCTATCAACTTGTGCAGCCAGAATTAAGATATAAATTCAAAAACAAACCATTTCTTTAAAATAAATGAAATCAATAATGCAAAATTAGTGGAGGAAAATAGACTAAAAATAATGAACAATCTACTTAAATTCATGCCAGGAAAATTAAGCAAGGATTTCGAAAGCTAATAGTAATCCAATAAAATATTAGAAAACATTTTATTTTCATTGATTTGATAGAATAACAATATGTAATTAGTTTTGTTTTATGATTTTCCTGCCTCCAAAAGAAAATACCTATGTTTATTTTATTTAATATATATTTTATGTAATATTTTATTTTTGTGAAATGTATTTAATTGAGAGGGCCACTAAATAAACATTTAATTTAAAATATTAAACTGAAATTGTAAGTTAATTTCAGTGCATTTTAAAAATGTTTACATTATTATTATTATTATTATATTATTATATTATTATTTTGTGTGTGTGTGTGTGTGAAATATTGTGTGTATAATTAATTTATTTGCAGTATGTTTGAGATTAAGTGTAGATAAGTTTTTAACTAAGCTTTAGAATTACTTAGATATTTTCTGACTGATTAAAATTTAAAACTTTTGATGTTATTTTCAATTTGCCCTGAGGAATTGGGCAAACAAGTTAAAATTATTCAACGAAATAAGTTTAGTGCAACAGAAAATGTTAATAATTTGCTAGGCTGTACAAGGAACTCATGTGGTATCCACATCAGATTCTTTTAGTAATGGATATCATGAAGGAATTAGGCTGTTGGAATTAGGCTGCATCAAATAATGGAAAATAATCCTCATTGCTTTCTCTTGTTGTTGATGAATATAATTAACTGTATTAATAAGCAAGATTTGTGACTTTTCTCACCTTTTTGTTTGCATCTGTTTTAATTATTTTGAATAAATAGTAAATTTGATTCACCAAAGAACTAGAATGCAGTATAAGTAAACAGAAAACATATATATTTGTATATAACATGCATATATTTGTAGATATTATTGCTGTTAAAATTCTTCATGGGTATTTTGTTATGTTTTGTTATGAATACTTGTAAATATTTTGCTGTTTTTTTTTTTTTTTTTTTTTTTTTTTTTTTTAATTTGCATTTCTTTTCGTAGCAAGTTGAGGACATTCCACCTCTAAGCCAAGAGTCAGAAGTTGTTCAATTACAGAGTAATGTGCCTTCGGATTTAACAATAAATTCAATGTTAAAATGCTCTTTAATTCACCCTTTCCATGTGCAGCACAATTTCAAAGTTAAAAGGTAAAATGTTTTATCATCTTTTTTTAATATAAATGCATCCTTCCATAGGCAAATAGTTTTAAATGGAAGTATAACACACTTTATTTGCTTTTGTGAGGTATTAAAAAAATGTTGCTACTGGTTTTATTTTCTTAAATAAACTTATCTTCTATGTACTTCCGAATTATAAAATTTTTAAGGTCCAGTAGCGAATTGAATGAAAATTTTAAAACTGTGTTAATGGTTATCTAAAAATAAAATTGGACTTTTTTCATAGTTCCTATTCAGCTCGATTTCCATTTGATGATTCTACCTCCTATTTTAACTTATTAAATTCTTATTTATTTATTACTTATTCCTATTTTAACTTATTAAAGATTGTGCTTTAATAAGTTAAAATAAAATTGAAAAGCAGATTCATTCTTTTAAGCAAAATTCACAGAGATATGCTTAATAGATACCTTTAACGTACCAGCTATAAATTTAACAGCAAATGTTGTTGTACATAAGACAAAACTATTAATTACCAAAATGACTAGCTTTTGCTAAGACAAAACTATTAATTATCAAAATGAATAGCTTTTGCTTCATAGCTGCTTCTGAAATCTGACCTCATGAACTGAAGTCAAAATTTGCATGGAAAAACAGTAACAGTTTTAGTATCTGCAAGTTGAGCATGTTAAATGTGTTGAATTTTTTATTTCTATTGAATTGCAGCATAATGACTACTTTATGAAGTGCGATTTTTTCCATTATGGGAATCACAGGAAAAGTTAGCTTTTGTTTTAGCCAAATGAAGAGAAATTTTTATTTATAAATGTAATTTGTTTCAGAAAGTCATTTGTCAACTAAAACTATTTTTCCTGTAGGGATTAATGTAAAATAGATTAATCTGTTTCTGAGCCACAGATGATTCCATATTTAAACTTTACAAACAATATTTTATGCACAAGTTCGTAACATAAAAGCAATAGAAATCATTAAATGTAACACACATATACTCTTTTCCCAAACAAAAGAGAGAAAAAAATAAACATGATTTTAAACAGATAAAATAGGCAAATGAAACCTTAATTTAATTTTACTTGACCTTGAGGTGACTTGAACTTTACTTGACTTTTACAAAGGAAAGTGAGTTACTTAAGTGGGAAGTGATGAAGAGAAAGGATAGAGATGCTGTTCTTTGTATATGAAGTTCTCTTCTATAAAAATACTGGTAACTTTTTTCTAGGATATTTCTATTATATATTTATTTTTGTCTCTTGGTACCATTTGAACTCCCCCCCCCCCGGGGGAAAAAAAAAACTGGTTTGGAGGTTCGAATTTTAGATCATTCCAGATGTTGGACATCTGGACTGTGTATTATATATGCATTTCTGTTGCTATCTCAATTCTCATTCTCTGATTGGCCATTTATGGGTTACTTCTATGCAATCTTGTTCTGAGACCTCATTCCCATGTAAATTCTTACTGAATGCAGTTTGACTGTTCTTTAACACATACTGTGCCAAAATCCTCTTGAAAGGTTGTTAGTAGAGAATTAAGGATGGGAGATTTGCGGACTGCCTTCCAAGTCTTCTCACCTGGAATTCGATCTGGGGCGGTACCTTAGCAGTTAACAAGGCCTAGTGATACCTAATATGCTTACTTGGATGCACAGATACCTGCCTTGTTTAAACCTGTATCTTTATCACTGGAAGAAACGTTGTTAAAATTTGACTTAATGTATCTGATAAGTTGTGCAGTTTTTATAGCTAGGACTACACTGCTGTTTTACAAATAATAAAAGTTAATAAATTCTTATTCTACTAAGTATCAAAAGCTTATGTGATTCCATGTGCATAAAATTGAATTCCCCCACTTGGCATTTTATAATTCTAAGAGAGGATTCACATTATTAGCGCACTTCAAAGAGTTTAATGTATTGATAAAAAGAGGATGAAGGAATATGTACCTTTGAATTAACCTTTGCAATTTCAATTTGCAATAGTTTTACATTCCTTTTCCTAGGAAATAATTGTATGTAGATAATTAATAATTTAAATTATATTTCATTTTACATTATCATTTTCTTCTCTCCCGATGTTCATTAACATTTAATATTATTCATTAAACAGGGTTATTATAGTTCCTGTTGAACTGATAGTGCGTAGTACGAGTGATACTGAATTGAGGATATTTGTGGACAATTCATTTCATTATGATACGTAAGTATTCTTTATATTTTTCACAGGTATTTTAAGAACTGTAACAAGTTTTTCATTTTCTGAAAGATATGTTGCAAATTGAACATGAATTATTATCATTATTTTTTAAATGATTGAATTAAATTTGATATATAGTTTATTAATAGAAGTGTACCAAGAATATTCTGAAGTTTATTTTAAAAAATTAATTTTAAATTAAGTAATTATTTTTATTAAGATTGTGTTTTGTTTAGTTGTTCATTTTCTTGTTGCTAAATCATGTATAATAATAATGTAAATAACAAGCAAATTATGACTCTAATGCAGGACAAAAATAATTATAAGAAGGTGTAAATAAGCAATTTGTTGCTACCTATAAATATTTAAGAAGTATAATCAAAATGCAAAAGTGCCTGAGAGTTGTAGTTAATCAATCTAAGTGGTTTTCATTAGCCAGCATCTTTCATGCAACTTATGTATTATATAATTTTTCTTTTAATGGAATTGAAATCTGTTGTGCTAAATTGTATAGTTTAGAATTACTGAGCTTGGAGAAAATAATCCCTTAAATAATCAGAGTTATAAAATGAGAGTCTTTTGAATCTGTAGTTGTATCGAAGGTGAAACTAATAAATGAAAATTTATGTGGTAATTTCTTTCACATTTTAGTAATTCAGATTATTTTTAAATATATTTTCTTGGCACAGATGTTTTTAAAGCAGTTTTTTTTTGGGGGGGAGGAATTGTGAAGATGCTTTCCTGAATATCTCTGTATATTAATTAGAGGATTTATATTATTTTTAATATATAAAAATACTTAAGACACTTATCATAGCATGAGAGACCTATAGCTTTTGAGTACATTAAATTCTTTTGACAGATGAAAAAGTGAAAAAGGTATTTTTATAAAAACAAACTAGAAAATATAGAACATTTTTACTGTAGAAAACTCCATCTCCAAAACTGAAAGTGAGCTGGGAAAACCATTCAGGATACCCAGAAGAAACAAGATACACCTTAAAAAGTTTTAAATGAGGAGGACATATAGGCTGTTATAAGTGCTTGAATTATGCATTTTCCCACTGCTTCTTTTTGAAAGAAAAATTAGTATGCATTTATCAAAAAAGCAGCAATCTGTCAGGCAAGGTTCTGAGTTTGATGGAGGAAGAATTATGGCTTATAGATACAATAGATTATCCATCTGAAAAATCATGCTCATGCTGGACAAAATCAAGCCATGATGATGCAAATATGGGATTAATGGATGCAGGTGGGATGGACCAACTAATGGGCAAAATTGCCATACTACGAATTGAGAAAAAGCATTTTATGCTTGTGATGATTCATCTCGATGATGATGAATTGCAGATCATCATCGAGAATCTTATCATAAGAATTTTGAGGATCTGCTGAACATAGCTTGTGTCAGCACATACATACAGAAAATCGACTCCTGATATTTTGATATACTGTATAACTAGACAACATTTTAGGAATTTTTTAAGGTATCTGTAGGCCAAACAGAGCAAATATTACATACAGTACATATAATTATTATCTTTCCTGTTCTGCTCAAAAATTTGAGTGTTCTTTTTCTGTAATTTTTGCTCTTTTTGCATTGTGGCATTAATTTTTGGAACTACCTAAGAAATTTCAAGATATGTTGTAATATTTGGAAATGGTGTTTGCTTCTTTTGAGGTTATGAAAAAAGTCAGTTAGTGGCTGGCTGGTGGTTTACATTCCTTTCTGTTGTTGCACAATGTTAGGAAACTTGTCTGAATTTTTTTTTTTTTTTTAAATGCAGCTTATTGCAAACTAAACTCATACCAGTTCATTGCAGGTATCATTCCTCAGTTCACATCCAAGCATATAAGTGTTACATATTTTTGGGAACTTTTGATATTCTGTGAAGTGAAAATATCGTTCGAAAAGAAAAAATATGACAATGGAATGAAACTAGATGCCTTAAAGAGACTGAACAAAGGGGAAAGTGTAAACAAAATTACATTGGATTTAAATGTTGGACATCAAAGGGTTAAATATTAAGAGTTCTGAAATACCTACTCTTTATTCCGTAAAACTCGACGTTTTGGAAACTCAACAGTTTCTCAATTGTAATTATGTCAAGTTTGCGGGACTCTACTGTACCGTTTGATATTGTCTATAGTTACGGGAGTTGTTTATTCTTTATCACAGGCATACTGAGGTGCAGTTGTGACTTAAATACTGAACTATGAGTCAATTGCCATTATTGCTGTGCCCAAGTTTGACATCACCATGGCAACAGATATCATGATCTTGCATTATGCATTGTTATATTTATCTGTCTCCTTGAGATATGCCTTGAACTTTACCCCAGCACATGCTTAATATGCATTGCTGATATGCTGAACAGCCACCACAAAATACAGGGTAACTGTAATTAAAGAACCCTATATCAAAGCTGCCTACAAGTGAAACCAGTTGTCAGAAAATTGTGAAATTTTGTAGTGGGCTTAATGAAGGAATTAAAGTTTCTTTCAGGGGGGGAAAAATAGTTACAAATAGCGCCACCAGAGTGCATTTTACTTTAAAAACCTGTAATAAAAATGTAGATCTTTGTCGACATCATGCAGCAGCCATTTATAAAACCCAGAAATATTCTCAAAGACCTTATTTTCAATGTGCTTGTTGCTCACAATGATGATAAGTTTATGAGATAGTGCTTTATTAGTAAAATTATTTTACCAAAGTAATAATTCTGTATGAAAATTTTAGACTTTGAAGAGAACTCTAAGAGATCCATTGAATGTTAAAAACCTTCAAAAAATGAAAACAAAATTTGAAGAAAGAGGATCGTTTTCTGTTCATCCTGGAAGATGAAGAAAACCTCTTTATGCAGAAGCTGTACAGGAGGTTTTGCTTGTAGGTAGCTTTGAAATAGGGTTCTTTAATTATAAATATCCTGTATCTGAAGTTTCGAAGCCTGTTGGCCTCCCTTACCTTCAAGGCATGCCTGAGGCCAAGCTTCAACAGGATAATGCTAGACAGCATGTAGCATGAAAACTTAGCACTTTCACATTGCCCACCAGATCACAATACTGGTTTGACCTAAACATTTTCCCTACAAGTTGTTCTTCAAATACTGGTCAGTGATTGGCAAATAGCATAGCGTACATCATCTATGGCTATGCCACATGAACTTTAGTGTGTAAATAGCATGGACTGGCATACTCCAAGTACACGTCTAAAACTTCTTTCAATGCAGAGCAATTACTACTAGCTATAGCTGCTACATTAAATATAGATTTCTCCATGTTCCATAAGTTGAATACGCTGTTATTTTAATCACTTCACCTATGTGCCATATATTTGTAAAGGAAATATGGTTTTCATAATCTCTTATTCTTCATGGTTATTGCATTTTAGATGGCCAGCAGTGTGTAAATATCAAATACCTTGTTGCCTTCAGCAAATAAAAAGCATAATTACCCATTGTTCGCTTGCTGAAGAATTTCACAATTGAAACATCATTTCCAGATAGCATTCTCATCAATCACATGTCTTATTTGGCTAGAGGCTAACCAACGCTTCATACAATACAATTTGTGTCCATTCACTTCTTGTTGCTTGATGCCATGAACCTGCTACTTTTCCATAACTTCCAGTAAAAAGTAAAGTTATATTTGAAAATGATTGGCTCTTTATTCTCGTGCCATTACCATTGCATCTGACCAAAGCAGATATAGTTTGGATTTGCTAAAGTATTCTTTTGTTTGGGTTTGTTAAGGAAAGAATAAATTCCCGATGCTATTCCTGATTGTTAGGTTAACTGAAATGATCTGAAATTTGAACACCAGCTGTTTTGAGTTGGCAGGTAATTTCCATGTTAGACCTTATGCCATGAAGAACACTCATTTATCTTTAAAGTTAAATAAAATATTAATTACTAAATTTTTAATTATTGAAAAATAATTCCTTCCCAATTAGTTTTTCATTTAATGCAAAAATTTTCAAATTTTCGGTTAAAGTAGAAGAACTAGCATGTGCAGAAGACTTTCTGCATACTTATAGAAAAGTTTAGATATATCCTTTTAAATTAAAAAATCATGAAAAATTCTATTTCGAGATAACAGATTTTGGTGCTGGTTTTTTGAAAAATTCACATCTTTCTTTTTACCACTTTTACATATAATTATAATATTCTATAGTAAAAATAATGCAAAGTAATTAAAAAAAAGAATTTAATATGTATTTCAAAATGAAATTTAGGATATAACATGTTGGAAAAAATAAATACAAACCAATATTTTGATTTAAAATCATTATAAGTAGAGAGTTTATACTCTTTACTAAGTTTAAGTTTAGATTATTAACTAATTAATAATTTTTCATTCATAGAAATGATATTTGAATCGTAATCAAAAAGTAAATGCAAAGTTTCAGAAATAATCTACCAAAGCAAATTTAAAAGGAGATTAAAAATAATTACGCAAACATTGAAGGTAGTTAAAGTTATGCAAGATTGTGGTCTCACAATGAAGAGACATCAGACCACTTCATTGTATGTCAAAAGTAACAAAAGAAAAGTTATCATTAAAAATCTGGCTCCATGGTGTCTCACACATGATGGCACAAGAAACAAAATTTTAAATGTACTGAGATAATTATTGGGAAAACATATATTTTGCATTATTTGATTTTAAAACTTCAGCATTTTTAAAAGGAGAAATGACTTTTTTATCAAGAATTTTATGCCCCTTAAGCAAATAACATTTTGAGAGCAATCTTTTAAACTTTTTTTTTGCATTAAAACAGTATATCTAAATGTGAATTCAAGCACTTGTTTTAATGTTGAATTCCAAAACCATGCATTTTATTCGCATATTCAATTAATGTTTTGTAGTACAACTGCAGTCAATGATGAGAGCTACAACCACATATCTCAACGTTTTTCATGGGTTAGTGGAATCAAGAGAGAAGTAGTAATAAGGCCTCACAGTACAGTGCAACTTCCTCTGCAAGCTATGTTTTGCTCCCCAGGAACTTACAATCTAGGCAATTTAAATATACTTGTAAATCTTGGCAAAGATTCTCTATCTGTATATCCTTTGCCACCTTATTTAATTGTAATCAGTTTGTGTGATACTACATAACACTTAATTAGTGTGTGTAATATTAGATAACAATTGTAATTAGAACTGGAAATTATGTACAATTGGAATTATAAACTTGATAAAGTCATTTTGACATATACATATTGTATGAATATATAAATAGAAATATCATTACTTGTTATAATGTTGCTCATATTTTTAATTATAATATAGTTTCTCTGTAATTATCAGGAATTCTTTCCCTTGTTTTCATTTGTTTTAAAGGATGAATGGAAAAACATATTTTTGAGCTAGAAGGATAAATATTCATTTGTAATGGACAATTTTTGTATACAAAAAAAAAAAAAAAAAAAAAAAAAAAAAACTGTAGCATGTAACTAGCAAGAAGCTACAATGTTTTATTAGACTTATTATCAGCATTCAGATTTTTTTTTTAATTTTTAAAGTTGTATTAATTATATTGTAAATTTTTAATCAATTTCTCAGTTAACAGAATTTTGATTTTTGTTAAAATCAATTGGTAATAAAATATCTTAATTAAATTTTATTCATATTCTAATCATAAAAGTTAAAAAATAGATTTTTTTTTACAAATTATAAATGAGATTATATTTTAAAATAGGGAATAAAAGGTAATATAAAGCAGCTTACTTAATCATTTTAATATGATCATAAAATTGTGACAATATATAACAACAAAATTATAAATATTAAAGACATTTGATCTCTTCTCATTAAAAATAATCATCATCCTGTAAAACTGTACTTAACTTTCTCAACCCATTTAAGGAGGTAATAGAAAAATATCAGTCTGTCTGAAAATGCTATTTAATTTCATTCTGTTGTTTGTCTGTTTTCTTGTATTATATCTTCTGCAATTCACATTATTTGTTTGTACATTAAATGCCATAATGAAGTAGCTGGTTATATTCTTTTTTTTTTTTTTTTTTAAATTATTATTGGTTTAAATACTGTATTTTAATGTGAAGTGAATTACACTAAAATAAAATTAAGCCTATTAACATAACATTATGAATTATTAATTTATTTTAGGGAAAAAATACCTTGCATATTATTTCTGTGACTTCCTACTTTTAAATGCTTAACTTGTTTTCTACCAAAATGCAACACTCTGATTTTAAATGTTTGATATGATAATTTAATATTGTTGACAGTATTCATACTCCTGAGATGTTTCATATTTTAAATTTCACACTATAAATAAGAGGTGAACTCATTTCTCATTGTTAAATAAATAGTATTATTATTTTATTTTGTATTACTATATTTCTATTAATAAAAAAATTGTAAGTCAACTTGAGCATTCTTTGAATATAACTCATATCATGTTTAAAATGTATCTGTGCATGCACAAACATACATTGCTGCCTTGGGGGGGGGGGATAATTTATCTATAATTGTGTTCCTATTATTATTTCATAGTAGCATAATAAGAATAATATGAGCTATGGCAATTAAGTTACGAGACTGGTGTCAGAAATGTTATATATTGCAAAGAAAGTTACAGTGAACTTTTATCCCCTTTGACATACTTCCCTCTCCTATCTCTATATTGTTACATGTGTGTCTTCCATTGTTGATAGCAGTGCTGTAGGTCATCCATTTTCATCCTCTTCAACAATTCTGCCATTTTTGCTTTTACCTCTTCAGCAGACTGAAAATGTGTTCCCGTTAATGCACTTTTCACTTTTGAGAACAGATAAAAGTTATTGGCCATCCAATAAAAAGTTTCACAGATAGGCCATTGTGGATGAATTGTTCTTCCATAAATCTGGTCTTTTCTTTCTAGCCTTTTTTTCTTAAATTGATTAGGATTTTGTAGTTTTTCTGATTAACCTTTGATTGATGCTTTTTTTTCTTGGTTCTACTGGAAGATCCATGTTTCATCACATTCTGTATTCTGCTTCCCAGTGTCTGTCCTAAATTCTAAAAATTTTGGTGCTTATTCCTTCATTAACTTCTAAAAACTCTGGCAAACTGGCTCTAGTCCCATAACTGATTTTGTATCATTTCATATTTATTTTCAATACTCATAGTATTAAAGAAATAGCATTAACATATGTGCATTCTAAATGCATGCAGTTCTTTAGAATAACAGAAATTTTCAATTAAATTTGAAATTTTAAAATGTAGAGGCAACGTACTGAGAAAGAAAATTATTCTTCAAAGGTATATAAAGGTATATTCTTCAAAGGTACAAATTAGGGATAAAGCAGAGATTAGCGGGAACATTGATTTGTTTATTGAAACAAAAAAGATGTTAAAGAGAAGAAAATTGTTGTAAATTAGCTAAAATATCTTGAAAATTTTCAAATTAAAAAGATGCATAAATATTTTGTCATATGTTGTTGCTATGAAACATATATGTTTTGTAGCTTCTTTTGTATTCTAATATTGTGTTAGTATGATATTAGGATAAATTACATGCATAATTATCTGTTTTTCAAACTCTAAAATGTTCTTATATTATGATTAGTGTTTTTAACAGATATGTTTTAGAAATTTAAAAAAAAAAAAAAAATAGTGACCATGTAAATGTATAATGATTCAGGGTATCTAATTTCATATTAAAGTATTTGTAACTAATTGCTCACCCTTAGAAGGTATCTCTGCTAAAACAACTTAATATCTTTGGTGCTTCAGTGGCTTATTGTAATTTTATGTTAAATACTGTATATTAACTGGATTATAACTCCTGTAACTGTGTGCAAAGCTATGACACTAATTCGGTCAGACAGACAAAGAACTAACTCCCAATACATACCAGTCTTGCAAATATCAGGCATTCATATCTGTTCTGATCATTATCTCGTTATCTCTTAGCAAGCAGCAATGGTGGCAACAGCCAAGCTTCTTATGAATCGTGCTGGTTATGATTTTACTTCTCATTTTAACCTATGCCACTTGACGTAAAATTTACATAAACCTCTGGATTGAGTGAGTACCTGAATAAATAAGGTGTAAATGCATCAACATTGTTAGCAGAATTTAAATGTCAAATATGTGGAACTATTATAAATGCAAAACTTGAGGAATTTTTAAAAAATTTTAATGATAATTACCCAATAAATTTTACAAACTTGATTTTATTCTTGAATTTGAATTGATCTTTTTGTTTCTTCTTTCAAATGAGATTAAAGAGAGAGTAATGAAATATTAATGCTACCCCATGGCAAGGAAAGGCAGGGTTGCCTGATGATTTAGTATGAAATCATCCATTTGGCAACAAAATTGACAATATGCCATAGACGGAGCAAGAACATTCTGGAATGAATTCTTACCGGTTTGCCCCAGAATGTTCTTAGAGGCAGGTCAAAAGATATATAAACCCTGCCTGTGCATGGAATAGCAGTTTATTGAGTGTGTATCGTGAGAGAGTAACTTGAGTATTGTAGTATTAGTTCCGTGAGTTCAGAGATTAACTTGGGAGCGATCGACCGAGGTGGGAGCTGTACTTTACTTAGATATAAAATTATTCTCATATGTTGTTTGGTGCCATGTGGCTGAAAAGGGAAGTTTACAAATTTAGCTGTACTAAAAGCATGTGTTTGTTTAGATAAGACACCATGGATTAATTCTGTAAAGTCAACTTTAAATAAGGTGAGTGATGCAGTTTCTACGGGTATTTACTTGCTATTTATCTTTGGAAATTCAAATGAGTCTTGAAAAAACAGTTGAAGGAAATAAGAAAATTAGAGATTCAATTCGAACCACTGTTACAAAATCAATTAAAAAAATGGAAGATGAATTACAAAATGAAAATCCAAATTTAGAAATGTTGCAAGAATTGCTTGCAGTTTTAATCGAGAGAAGCTAGTTTATTAAAATAAGATAAAATTATTAATGCATAAAGCACCACGTAAGAATTAAAAACGGAAGTAGAACATTCCTTAGAATGCAGGGAAGTTATCATTAGATATAAATTGGAAGTTACTAGATACATTGAAAATGTCGTTAAAACCAAACAATTCCACAATTTTCTGAAATTAAAACTGCCGTTCACAAAAATAATACGCTTCAAGATGTAGAGAAATTTAACTATTTGAGATAGCTGCTTCCCGGTTCAGCTGCAAAAGCCTGTACTATTAACAGGAGAAAACTGTAAAAAAAAGCCAGCGAAATTTTAACTGACCAATTTGGAAGGAAAGACATATTGGTGCACATATAAACTTTCTCTTATCTTTGGAGCTCGTACGTCATTCATGTGATATATTATACGATGGAATAACGGCTAAAACTAGAAGCTGGAAACATTAGATATTAATTTAGGTACTCATGGTAATCTACTACTGTTTATTTTATATAAGTATATACCATAAGATTTAGTATTACAGTTTAGTAGAGAAGAAAATTTCGACAGAGTCAACAATGCCAGATTTATTGTCATTAAAAAAAAAAAAATCTGACGTGTACATCACTTGACTTCCTTGTACGGAATATTAAATTATATGCAGCTTTCCTGTGTTTCATTTAAACATAACAAATTGACAGTTAACGAATTTTGAATTAAATCTACTTCGTCGATAGCGCATTAACCACAATAGAATAAATAAATGCACTCTTTAAAGTTCACTATATTTATTTAACATCGTGACATTTCAGCGCTGGGTTCACTTGACAGCGTTACATCTCCTTCATTTTATAACTCAGAATGCACAAAAATTATGCTATGTGAAGAATTACCACATATTCTATTCAAATACTATAATAAATCTAAAACGATGAATAAAAGAAATTAAACAAATAAGAAAGAAAGTTTTTCACTGACGATTCAGCACCGCTTACCTAATGTGTATGTGCTACTAATTTATTCAGTTCTTGCTTTGCAACAAGGCAGAAAAATACATCAAAACTCAAAATATTTTCATTCAAAATTGAAAGATATAGGAAAACATAAAAAATCAAGTACAGTTAAAACAATTAAAAAAAAAAAAAAACAATTTTTACAATTGAAATTACAGTTTCTAAGCGAAAACAAGCAGTTCGGTCCAAGTATTTTACATTTTAGAACAATCGAAGTTTTATTCCCTACTTTAATGTCAAATCAAGTCTTGGATTTTGATGACATTTGCATTTTTAAATACTTTACAATTTACATTTTTAAATATTTTACAATCTCTAAAATTTGCATTTTGGGGGCTGTTTAGGGCATTTTAAAGGTATGTTCTAGTAATCAAACTTGAAATAATATTATCTCAACTCAAATGAATTCATTTTTACTAGGCAGGCATGTCCTATTCACAAAAAACTGGTTATGTAATGTATTAGTCCTAACTATTACAACAGGTGTTTTTCACAAGGTATAGGTGTCATTTCTAAGAATGTTTTCATTCTAGCATTTCTTAGCTCTCTAAGATTTTTTGTGAAAAATTCAGTTCCATAGGATTACATGCAGAGGGAAGGGAAAAAATGTATTCCACTTTTGTATGACTTTTTGGAATTACGCACTCACAGCTATGTGCAATATGTTTTTTTATCTCAATAAAATCCTCTTTTTATTTTTTTCCCAACTGGTATAGTTCATCGGCAGTAATTTGGTGAATGACCTTGGATCTCTATTATTTAAAAAGGGGCTGTCAGATTAAGAATGCCATTAATGCGAACAATGTCCGACGACTGTTCTTTTTGCCATACAAAACTGTTGCCTCTCGAATACTACCGGAATGAGCAATTTAAAAGATTTAGAATCTTTGTAAGTATTTTGTTTGAATGTTTTCGCAAAGGGCTGGGACAGAAAATATCCCTTTATATATATTGTTTAAAACAGTCTTCATAAGTTTAAAACACAGCTTCCTATTGTTAAAATAAAGCTTCTTAGGGTTTCTCACAAAAGTTTATGTACATATGTATAAAGTTTTTTGCTATATTAAACATTATTTTGACTAAAAGCTGCGGAAAACATCCCTCACCTTGAAAAGAGATGCCAACTCCTTTGGAACTGAAGAAATATTAACAATAAGTGATACAGTTTATTTTAAGTATGCTTTAATAACTGTAGTAGATGTCAATAGAAGCTTCTCATGATAAAAAAAAAAATTATATGCTGACAATATAAGATCCTTCACTTTTAAAAACATCAAGAAGCACTTGATAATTTACTGCAATTCTAACAGATTTGTGCAAGGTTGAAAATTCAGAAGAAAACATTCCACGTGACATGTATTTGTTTGGGTGTTTATCCATTTCTCAACTGTCTCATTTTTTATATAATATATATATTTGTTTTGAGGTAACTTTTTAATGATATTTTTTCCATTTTAAGGTCAATTTTCAGTGAATTTTTAGTTTGTCAAAATTGCAGCCCTGGTCATTATCACAAAAAGCATAACTATCATATCTTTTCATAGCCTTTTCCATCAATAATGTTCGATTTTGTGAGAAATGTTATTAATTTTATAGGCATAATTTCTTATATGTTTGAGTTAACATTTTCAGGGTGGGGGACTGATTTTGTTAAAGTACAATGCAATGAGCATCAGCTTATATCAATGCTGTTATTTTAAATAAATGTATTGAAAGGCAAGAACAAAAATTTATCAAAGAAAGCTTAAAACATGCTCTTTATTCAAGTGTTATTTATCTACAAAAGTGCTACATAAAGATAAATCAAAAATAACAAATGTGAATATCACAGAATAACTTAATTCTTCATACAGGTACATTTTATGTCTTAGAAAAGATATTAAATCAATAATTAAATACTAAAATATCTTACTTATTTCTACTAGATGGCTACTTTGATTTCAGATATTTAGTAAAATTACATTATCCTGATAATCACATAGTGAAAGTTGCTAAACATTTAATAAGTAAACATGTATGAACTGACAAATGTATTAAATATCAGTTATTTAAAAATAAATGAGTCACATATTTATTGAGATATATTTACTATTTTCTCAATCTTTCTAGAGTTTTTGTGAACTCGCATTTTTATATACTACTCGCATTTTTATATAAAATTTTTATATACTATATACTACATAAATAATGAATTTTTCAAAATCTTTGACTAGATAATTTTGACATATTAACATAATTTAATAATGAACATGTATTGAGTAATGAGAATTCTTATGTTAAGATTCGCTAAAAACACTTAGTTATATACAACACTCAAAGGAAGGATAGTTACTTACAAGCATTTGTACAGTACTGAATCAACTTCAGGTGACAATAAAGAATCTTTGCTGTGCACACACTCATCTTCATAAGTTGATTTTCCATACATATATAGACATAGAATATCTCAGGACATTAAAATCATTTCATGCAAAGCAGAAGATACATCACAAAATTGAATTAAATATACACATTTGAACATAATTCATTAAAAACATCAAAAAACTAAAGATCTGATGTCTATAGATTACTTACATATATGTATAATTAGTATAAATAGTTAACAATGCTAATAAACTGCAAATTTCTTTATAAAGTAAATAAGCTTTTTGGCATCAATTTTTAGAAGTAATTTTCTCTGCAGACTCTCTGCAAATATTTATATGTTAATTATGAAAATTTTTATAAATTAGGAAGTTTTAGTAATTTTCCCATTATTTTGCTTAATGTTTAACAATTCTGATTGTAAAATAAAAGAAATAAGAGAACTCAGAACTAAATCTATTTTAATATTTTTAAGTGACCTTGAAACATGAAAGAAATGAGCAGCAAAACAATAATTTAAATTTTGGAACATTTCACAACTCTGTTTTATTTGTTTATTTAAAGCCCACCAGCGGCCGAGCGGTAAAGTCGCTTAACACTGGTAGTTGGGTCCAAGGTTCGAATCCCGCAAACAGGCTGGCTGCATGGGTGTTTTCGTGGTTTTCCCCATGTGTAACGTGTATATGAGCCAGTTTCCCTTAGAAAGTCCTCCATGAAGGCATCCCTCCTCTTAGGCAGATAGCCCTCAAGGCTTTGCCATAATTAAATAACCTAATAACCTTGTTTATTTAAATGTTTGAAATGCTTTAACCATTTGATTTTCAGATATATATGGAAACTAATATCATTAAAAAAATACATACTTTGCTTATTTGTAATGCACACATATTTGAAAATCCAAATGTTACAGTATTTTTAATGCATTTTAAAATTTTCACTGAATTTTTAAAAAGTAGAATGTAGTGATGCCATGAAATAGAATAAGATGTTGTCTGTTAAATGAAATCTTGTTTTTATGGTTTTCATCCTTGAAAACTTCACTTGAGCAATCAAACAGTAAAATGAATCAAGAAGCACGTTTTGAGACAAAAATCTGAGGGAACATTTATTTTCTTTTTCTTTTTTAATCTTAACAAATCATGCTTTATGAAGCTCTTTCATTTTGTATCTCCATTAGTTCCATCTGAAACACACTAATGATATTAATTTCCAATTGATTTGAAATTTGATTGCATCTTTTCATTTCGCTTCAAAATGAACTTTTGCAGCTTCTTGCTAAGATGAGAAAAATTAAATGATTAAAGTTACCTGTTTCGTTTTAATCTGAGATCAAACAATTTATGTGAATGTTCAAAAAGAGTACCTCAGGATGAGGAACGTTTGATTTTCTCATGCCCTACGTTTGATGGCCTTGCAGATTTAAAAATGTTCGTAGTGACTTGGCCAGTGAACTTATCTGTTTTCCTGAAGTCCAGACTGCCATTCTCCGCTTTTGTTCGTTTTATTTATGCATGTAACTTTTAATGTTTTAGTTAACTTACTTCTGTAAGTCCTGTGTTGCACATCTGTGGTGCACGGGGAGTCTGTATGTTTTCAAATAAAAAATTAAAAAATTATCTCATAATAACCTATCATTATTCTCTAAAAAAAGCTTTGAATTCTTTTTGAGTTCAATGGGAAACTGCAAATTGATAGTAGAACAAACTTTTTTCATTATATGTTGTCTGCATAAAGTCTTAGCATACAGTAGATGGAAATTTCAGATATAAATTAAACTGAAAGTGCTTATGATGTCTTAAGCTCATATTTTTATATTTAGAAACTTCCATTAGAATTAATAAATCAATACCTTACAAAATTTGATTTAATCGTTATGATGGTTTGGTGAACCTGTCACACATTTGTTTGGCACTTATCTGGAGATCAGGAGAAGGGGTTTGCCATACAATTCCTATTTCCCCCTTATTTCTGTATATTTTACTTTAATGAAAATTTAGTTTTTACTTTTAAATCTTGGAATTGCTTTAATATCTTAATATCTGTGTTGTGTTAAAAATTATGATGGACAGGACAGTGGTCTCCAGACTATATAATGGACAAGCCTTATATCTAACACAAATAATTAGAACACAAGAGTAAATATTTTGATATGCATGACTATTCCAAATCAAGGTCTTGAAAGATGTTTCATAAGAAAATAGTGCCACAACAGTGCATTTACTATTGTGCATATTTGGGGTAAATTTTTTATCTATTAACAGGGCTCATGCTATTTTAAGAAAATCATATAGTACTGATGGATTATATTAGATTGGACTATTTTGTAAGCAAAGCACAATCGGCTATATTGCCTAATGGAAGGGATACTTTCATAGAGGAATTTGTATGAGAAACTGGCTCATATTCACATTACACATAGGAAAATCCCCATTTTTTTCCATAACTTAAGATATCAATAACCATTTTGCGTTACCTTTGAAAGAGATGATCTAAATTCACATAAGTATGTTCTCAAATTGATAGACTACCAAGAAAATGAGATGTGATGGAAAATTGGGAGTCTTCCATATATATATAAAATTAGTGCAAAATTTTAATCATATTATCAAATGTTTTCATATCATCTTCACATTCAGTTACAAAAGAATTACTTTATAGTATTATAATCTGCATTTTTTTTATTTTTCAAGCCCTTTTCACCGATACCATAACATTTTTGAAAATGTGACTGCCAGCTAAAAGTTCTATCATATGAACACTCAGTGCTTACTGTATTAAAAGAAAAACAGTGTGACTGATTTATGACCAGATTTCTTTTTGTCTAATTTCCCAATAGTGTCCAGTTTTTCTTTAATTGTTAAAACATTCTTCTACTATTTAATCAACAGCAGTTGGCAATCATTCCAGTAAAAAGCTAAAAAGATGTACAAAAAATAACTTCTAATAAATACTCAAACACAGCTAATTTACATGAAACAAATCTTGCAATAACAGGCATGATATGTATACCTTTGATGAACACATATAATGCAAATTAAAAACAGGAATAATGAATCAATCTCTTTGAAATTAACAAATTATGGATCAGAGGAAGAATTATAAATATTATTCATGATAATATGTTGCCATTCTCCCTTATTAGAAGATAATCCATAAATAATCCACAAAAGATCAACAGACAATCAGGAATTCAGAACCTAACATATTGCTATATACACATATATACATATCTATAGAAATCCATGTTTGTGAGTTGATTGTTCTACTCACAAATCTAAAGGAAATATAACTTCATAAATTAATAAAATAAAAAATATTTCACACAGCCTTTTCTGATTATTTAAATTATTAAGAAAAGATAGTGTTATCAGGCGAAAGGATGAAAATTTTTAATTTATGTATATTAAAATAATAGCATTAGTTCTGAGCTTATCTGAATAAAATTATTCTCAATTCAAACAGCATTAAATATAATCTTTTAGCCTATGAGTATCATTTACAAAATCTATTTTCTTGCACATGAAAGGAAATTTCTGTTCAATTTCACCTTTTCCACACACTCAACACTTTGCAGCAGAGTTAGCTGAGTGTGTAATCATTGCCAAGTGTAAGGTCAACATAAAAGACCTTTGCTCAACAACCTCTTTGGCATTCAATTACTAAAAAAAAATTGCTGCATGACTTCTCAAGTTGCAGTAATGAAAGCAGAAAATAATAATGATTTACCAGTTTGGCATCCAATAAAATCAATAATGTTTTAATGCAAAATGTTTTGGATTGAGATGTATGGCAAGCAAAAAGGCAGCCACAGAGCCAAATTATTAACCATACAGATTCATGCTAATAAATTATTGTTTCTCACATATGGAAGTATTTTATTTAGTACTGAAGTGAAATTAAGAATTGGGACTCTTTACATGTTTTATTATGAAAACAATAGCAAACTTTGCATGTATTGCCCCCTCCAAAAAAAAAAAAAAAAAAAAAAGGGGGGGGGTTGCTGGTGATCCAGAGGTTAGGATTTTAGGTCATTCTGGATAATGGATATCTGTATGTATAAAATAATTCAAATCTATGTACGCAATTTTTAGCTCAGTATAATTAATACAGTAATTTAACAATCAGATGGCTGCGATTACATTTTTTGAATGAAACAATCAACTCACTGAGCCAAGCTCAGAAAAAATATTTTAAATGTGTTATCTCGAATTTTACTTCATTTAGTCATATCATATATTACACTAAGTATTATACATATAATATGGAAACTAGTACAGCTGTAGGCTACTAAGGTTAATACAATCTAATGACTGATTTTATACTGAGCTTTTGCTACATTTTGAATTTTTTCTGTGATGTATTGATAGCATGTGAAACTAAAAACAGCTATTAAAAAATCATAATATAAATACTATCTTTTACATTTTTAAAATTTTCAATGTAATCAAAAATATTAAGAAATAATTTTCTATTTTAACATTTTATCATCCGTATATATTTTAAACTTCAGAAATAGCTGTACATTTTCAAAAAGCAGAAACTAAAGCTGATCCTTAAGCTTACAAACTAATACTAATTAGGGCTATAACTCTAGCACAATATTTGGAGGAGATAAAATGAATTTTATTTTATAAAATAGTATGGTAATATCCATACAAATATAGTTTTTAAGCTACATTACAATACAATCATATCACAAAAAATAATTTCTAATTCAAGCTCATGTAAATTTTTCTTTAGCAAGTAAAATAATTATTATAGAGTATTCTAATTGAAATAATGAGATTTCTTATTAAAGCAGAGTGTCCATGTTTGTATCAATTATATATAATAATCCAATACAGCATTTGAAGATAAAAAATATGAACTAATATTTTAGCATTTGCAGTTACTTAAATAAATAGTAGCTTTGTATGCAAGAGGATTATCCAATTCTACAGTTTTCATCAAAATGTTTCGTATACATTTATCAATAAACAAACAATACTACTAATAACTTTTAAATAATTTATATCAAAATTCAGACACTATGTGCTTCTATATTAGTACTGATAGTCTTACTCATTGCACACTCATTCAGGGAATTCTTAATCTTTTAGGGGACCCACACATACTCTGAAAAGCTGACTTAGGGATATATTTTATCTCATTATGCTTAATTTAATCAGCTGCCTGAAATAAATAAAACGAAATCATCATTTTATACATTTCACCTATGCAACTTTATAATAATAATAATTTAGTTTCTGTATTAATATCAAAAGTTAATACATAGTTTATTCCACCTTAAATTAGTAGGATTTTTCCCACATCACTATATTTAAATATCCATGGCTTGAATCAAATAAGAAGGGATATAGAAAACAATCAAAATGCAGAAAAATTCTACAATTTTTTAAGTGTCTTAAAAGATAGTCATTATTGTTATTAGAAAAATAACCAAGGTTGACCTATATAAAACATAATCCACTGATTAGCATTTCATATAAATTGAATTACTACACGAATACCACTTACATTCCTTGGAATCAATCTGCTTATTATCATGATCTCTTCTTAGCAGTTTTTGGAGATGAGACATAGTTTCATTTGGATGATTATGCAAATAGCCAAAACAACACGATTTGGGATCCAGAAAATTCCCACACAGGTGTCAGTATAAACACAAGCCATAACTTATAGTTATGCACGTTTGAAGGCATGACAAAATAGATATAAATAAACATGAATGGGAAAATCCAACTAAATATGCAGTACATTCAGATAATTTTTTCCAAGTTAGTAGTTGGAGATTTTTCAGTCTTTCAAGTTGACTTTTCACTGTGATAAGATTCCTATCATACACACTTTTTATTTTATTTTTTTTAATACATAATTTTATAGGGAACTGCCTGATTTAGTTAAGTCTGAAAAATAAATCATGATCAATGACACAATAATAATAATAATAATGACAAAAGCAGGCAATGCACAAGCATGTTGTGGTGATATTCCATCATACTGTAATGAATAGTTTCATTTATCATCTTCCAAAAGTATGACTCACATTAAAATTTCTGACCGTATTCTTTACTAATGATGTCTCAAATAACAAATGATAATTCTCAGTGATGTCACATGCCAGAACCAATCTTTGCACTTGGAACAGTATTTTATGATATGTGTGGGAATTTTTGGCAGACCTCCGGGCATTAAAGCCTTTCATGGGACGACTGTGGAGAGGTCGAGGTTTGACTACTGCTCCGACTCCAAAGCAGACACAACGGATTCATTTGTGCACTTCAATAAGTCCTTCGTTGGAGAGGCGCACTTGTTTACAAATGGAATGCAGCCCACCGTTCAAGTCTGAGGGCAGAGGTGAGATACTGGTTGGTGGTCTGAGATATGGCTATTGCTGCTGGCCGGGTCTTATGCTTGACCGGTTTTATGCATACTCTGTTGCGAAGTTTTAAAATCCTGCTGTTTTGACTATTTATATAATTGTCCTAATGGATCAAACCTTGTCTACTAAAACTAACAAGCACAGAAAATGATAATGGGTAAATTCCAACTAAATTAAATATATTCACATGCCATATATTCACATAAATTAAATATATTCACATATTATATCAAAATTCAGACACTATGTGCTTCTATATTAGTACTGATAGTCTTACTCATTGCACACTCATTCAGGGAATTCTTAATCTTTTAGGGGGACCCACACATACTCTGAAAAGCTGACTTAGGGATATATTTTATCTCATTATGCTTAATTTAATCAGCTGCCTGAAATAAATAAAAACGAAATCATCATTTTATACATTTCACCTATGCAACTTTATAATAATAATAATTTAGTTTCTGCATTAATATCAAAAGTTAATACATAGTTTATTCCACCTTAAACATAGTATATTCCACCTTATATGCATAGCCATTTTACGGAATGCTAATTGGTGGGTCGTGTTTTATAAAAAACAACCTCAGTTAATTCTAAAGCACTGCTGGTATATGGAGTCAACTAATTAACATTACGGTTATTTAGAAAGCAAGGATAAATCACATATATTATCTCTATAAACATAAATGATTTTAATGAAGCTATATTAATTATTATAACACATCATATAAAGCTTTTCACATAATGAGAGTTACCGAGTCCCAATAACATTTCTCATGTGTTTTAATTTTTATTTTACTAACATATTAAATTTTAATTCTCATTTACACATATGAGATAGGTCTTCTTGTCTTCTGAAATTCCACCTCACTACTCTAAATAAGTAATATAATATAGCTGGAATCTTTACTACACTTTACGGAACTATACAAAAATTGTTTTTTAAACAGGATGATTATATGAAATCATGAATAAGATTGCATTAAAATAAATATTTTAAGTAAAAAAAAATTTTTTGTCTAACTATATTTGATTCTTTTTTTAAAAATTAGAGCTATTCAAAATCATTATAAAATTGTATTATCTATAATAAAAATATGAGACAAAAAGTTCAACATGACTATTTCCATTCATCTTAAATATATAAATGATAAATTTTAATGGTCATTTTATATAGCACAGATATATTTGTCGTCATGCATAATCAATGACAAACATTAAATTATAAAATATGAAAATAATTATATGATTGCTGCATTTGTATTTTGAAATAATGAAGGCTTTGGTTATAAGCTGATGCCATACAAGTTTCTACATGCAATATCTTGAAATTATCAACTAGGAGTAATTAGAATAATCAACTATCTAATTGGTTGTTTCTCAATAAAAAGTGGTCACAGTATTCTGCACTATCTTCAATATCACTGCCATCAAATCTCAATTGTCTTTTTTTGGTTACTTGAACAATCAATTCACATTCGGAAGAGATACTGCATGTAGACACATTCAGATATTTTAAGGTGCGCAGTGATGATATGAGGTAGTTCAGCCCCATACAACTGACAGATGTTTTCCGAAGACAAATTGTTTGCAATTTTGGAAGAGAGGCACTCTGTATTGTACACAAATGTTGATCTTTAATTGCAGTATTTCCAAGGTAAAGTTTTTCTAAAGAGTGGCAGTTCTGACCCAACGATATCACAGTTTGCTCCCCAATAGCAGTATTTTCCAAATCAAGAACTTTGAGATTTTCAACAGCTTTCAGAAGAATAACTACACCAATATCTGTAATTGGGCAGCCAGCTAAGTATATTTCTTGTAAGTCACTCAGTCTTGAAAAGAAAGGTATATCATTATCAGACACACACCAGCAAGAGCTACAGTCTAGCACTTTGATTTTGGGCACTGTAGGATGACTAACACTACAAAAGAACTGATCAGTATGAAAAAATGATTTTCGTAGTGACAACACAGACAATTTCTGTGGAAGATCTTCAACTGTTATATCAGTGAAATTAATGTGTTTTGCAATAAATGCACTTTCGATAATGAGAGTTTTTAAATGTGGACATCTTTCTCTTATTTCAATGGCCGTATGTGGTGCAAGAAATGGAATTCTCTGTTGTGTAGAAAGACTACATATTCTAAGATATATAACACAAGGGGGGAGGATTGGAACAAGTTTCTGAACCTGGTATGATGTCAGTTGCATATCATGAGCATCAACATGTTTCCATAGCACTTGACATCTTGTTAATTGGTACCATCTTAAACATACTCTACAAAAGAAACAATTTATTTTATTCTTGACAGAAAAGTAAAACAAGTAAAGTAGTCTAAAAATAATTACAGAAAGATGACATATGTTATTTTCAGTACTAATAAATTTGTAATGAAGTTGCATTATTTAATTAAGTTATATTTTAATAAATATATTTAATTAAGTATTAGACTAAAGTATTTTTCATTATTGGTAGTGCACGGAAACATTAAAAACATGTTATCAGCCAACAATGCAACAAAAATTAGAAACCTGTTAACATATACATAAAATTAAATCAAACAGTATAAAACCCTATATAATATGCAATACTATACTACAAAAATTATATACATCTCAATATTTAATTTATATAGTATTATATCCTGAAGTATAATGATCTGAAAATAAAAATGACAATGCTACAAATGCTGGAAACCTCTTACCATATTTGACGGCATATAAGACGCACTTTTTTTCCTAAATTTGGTCTTAAAAAAGTTACCTTCGTCTTATACATGAAGGACACAGGTTAACTTTCAATACTGAATGCTATTTTTAGCACGGATAAAGGTCTAGACACACATAACTTTTTCTACATCTGCCATAATTATTTTGCACACGCGTGAAATATCTGTCGCCAAAAGCGCAAAGCTCGAACGATGTCGAAGTTCGAACAGGTTGGACGGTCACATTACGTCTATGGAGCTTTTCCTTCTTTACATAGACTTTCTTTGACTCCGCCCACACATGTGTCAGTATTGGTGCTACTCTGTATAAACGTATCGGTATCGGTGCTAAAATTTTGTTTAAAAAATACCCTGAAATATGACTACAGGAAACAAGAGATTAAGCTATACAATTCAGTATAAACTAGGAGTGTTAAACTACGCCAAACTGCATGGAAACAGAGCAGCAGCAAGGCATTTCGGTCCACCACCTACCGAAAAAAATGATACGTACTTGGCGACTGCAGGAAGATCAACGGAAGACTACTAAAAAACAAAAACATAACCTTTGATGCCCAGCTCCATCTTGGCCTGAACTTGAAAATGCCGTAAAAATGTGGGTGATAGATAAAAGGAAATCTGGGATAAGTGTTTCAACCAAAATGATAATCAATAAGGCCAAAGGATTTGCTGAAAAACTTGGGAATCAGAACTTTTCAGGGTCTGAGGGCTGGTACTACAGGTTCATGAAAAGGCAAGGCTTCTCAATGCGCACAAAAACAACTATTGCACAGAAAATGCCAACAGATTATGAAGAAAAAATACTATCATTTCATAGGTTTGTTATAAATGTACGCAAGAAAACTTCTTTTGAGCTCGGTCAAATAGGAAGTATGGATGAAATTCCACTCACATTTGATGTACCATCCAACACGACTGTGAGTATTAAAGGGTCTAAAATCAATAACCATAAAAACCACAGGTCATGAAAAAACCTGATATACGGTAGTTCTAACATGTTCTGATGGCACAAAACTACCGCTGTTTTTCATATTCAAAAGAAAACCTTCCAACAGGTGTAATTGTTCATGTTCATCCGAAAGGCTGGATGGACGAAGCTGGAATGAAACTGTGGTTACAGAACGTATGGGCGAGGCGTCCTGGTGGAAGAAAACCCTCTCTTTTGGTTTTGGATCAGTTTAGCGCCCACAGAACTGAAACCATAAAGAATAAAGCGAGAGAATTAAAAGTCCAGATAGCTGTCATTCCTGGTGGACTGACTAGCCAATTGCAGCCTTCAGCCATAACAAAAATGTTTTCGAAAAAGTTACTTTGGTTGCCCCTCTCCTCCCAGAGGAATGATAAGTTATATTCTTTTTATTGTTATATGTAAAGTATCTTAACAGTGGAGAGGAAGATATTTTTTTAGCATGAAATATGAATTGACCTGCAAGCTCAAAAAAGGCACTTTTCTGTAATTTTTTATCTTTCATTTTTTGCATCAAGAGAAGCAAACAATAAAATTATACTTGACACAAATCAACTAGTTTTGTATATTTTTTTAATGTTTAATTCAAATGATTTTCATTTGCTTTTGATATAAGATTTATAGTTAACATCCACTCTTTTTTTTCTTCTTTTTATCCTATTCTGCGTAACACGGTCATATCAATGATCAAATTAAGTTTTAATTTACAACTAAATTTAGAATATGCAGAACATAAATGATGAAAATAACCTAGGATTCACTGTAAATTATGAAATCTTTTTATTCCATTTCATATTGTTACAAATTTTGTATTTAGATAGCTAATATTAGTAGCTAATATAATTAAAATAGCTAATATAATTAAAATTGTTTTATTTCCCCATGCAATGCAGTTCATAATAAATTTTAAGAGAAAGCTATGCTGAAAAAGTAAAAATATAAGAACCCATGCATTTAATATTGAATAAATAAATATCTCTTTTATTTGTATTGAAACTGAATAAATGTAATTGATGACTGTGTTAGCTGTAACCATAATTCCATCCTCTTGTTGATTTCCAGACATCTCGAGAAGCAAAGAAATTACTACAGTCAAAAGTCGTTAATTCGGACACCTATAACCCGGAATGATCTATAATCCGGACCTCAAAGCTAAAAACTTTCTGTGCATGCGTGGCGTTGCGTAAGACCTTTACGGCTGCGAATATACATGTGCACATGCGCATAATACGTTTACGCATGCACGTTTAATGTATAACGGACGGTATAAGCTAAAACTATCTAATTATTTATTTCAGTTAATGTTGCAGATTATGTTGTTCCTTAATCTTCGAATTGGATACGGCTTATTATTTTTTGCAGACTGTTAGAGCAATTTTATAAAAGTAAGCTTGAACTTCCGATTATGTCAAATAGAATTTCCAATATATATTTACTGGAGGTGCCAAAGGATCTAGAAAGCAAAAGCATGTCTTCGATGTCCATGAAACAACAAGTGGACTTGCTGCAAAAAATGGATAAAGGCATGAAGAAAGTTACGGAGAGGTGATTTGTTTCTCTAACCATTCCGAAAATCTGTTTATCAATTTCACGCTGAAGTGCGCGGGGGGGGGTGCGACGTTAGCGTTGCGGGATGAACTGTAAGTTGATCTGAGCACTATCCTTTTAGGGCAGATGTTTTTATTTTATTTGGCTTATAATTTCTTACTAAATGTAGTGTTTCATGTCGATGTACTCAGTCCGATATGATTTAAATCAATTTCCTCGCCATTATAAATATCACGAATACGCATAAAATAGTGAAGAAAGCGGCTCGGAGGTTGAAAACGAAAAAATTTCGATTGACAATTAGTCGGTATTCTCGACACAGCAATTATAAGACTTGAACAGCGGAACTTTGTAACTAAACAAGAAATTATGTCTGTTTATAGAATTAAAGAGAAAGTATTATCACATGAAACGCAGCAAATTAACAACTTACATTGAAAGAAATGTTTAATAAAGTAAACAAATAATATTTAGCTTTTTTTTTTTTTTTTTTTTTTGTAAATTTTGATACCCTTTAGATCATAATTGCTCTTTATTTCATAAATTAGTTTCATATTTTTAATTGGCTGATCTTTGGAATATGGTAACTGGTACTTTGGCGACATTTTGGAGGCGATAAAGGTTACTACCTAGGACTTTGGTAATAATGTGAGAAGTACCAAAGGCCTCCTGAAGGCGGCTTTAGAAGTACTCAGTTCCGATTACGCATTATTTTGTGTGAGGGAAATGAGATATCATGAGATATGTCATGTGACATTAATGGACGAATTATAGTTTTTTAATCGGAAAAGGGTGTTAATTTGGAAAAATTATGTTGTATTAAGCTTCATTGTGTGTTGTGTGAAATAGTGTTGATTAATTTTCGGATTGCATGGAGCTATGTAAAGTGAATTCTAAATTTCTAATGTGTTTATCTGATAATAATAATAAGTTGAGATTGTGTGAAAGGAAAGAAATTACAGATAAGTTTGAATGGCGGTACAAGAAATCTGGTGAAAATGGACATTTTGTGAAACGGAGTGTAAGGAATTGTACGTGGTTTGCTGAAAGTAGTTTGAGTATGGGTGAACTTTTATTAATTTCTTATTACTTGGTGAATAGACTGCCAGTTGACTACTGGATTTCGGATTTAGAAATTAGCAGTAGTACTGCAGCCGATTGGAACTCTTTCTGTAGGGAACTGTGGTGCCACGTAATGAAGATTCTGAAGAAGATTAGGTAAGTTATTTTTAATCATTTGAGGATATTGTTTTTTATGCATTGTTCTAAATGTAAGGAGTAAATAAATTAATATGGTATTATTGGAAAATTGTTTATTAGCATGATTTAGTTTAAAAAATTAGGATTATAATCTAATTTTTATTAATTTAATGTATGTGCTTATTTATATTTTAAGTAGTGTTTTTTTAATTTAATTATATTTTAATTTAATGATCGTGATTTTGTGAGTTATATGTTTGTAGTATTTTGGAATACGTTTGAGTAGTATCGTTGAGTATTTTCATGCATTTTCGTGAAATTTTTCTAATTTATGAGAAAAAGCAGTGTACATGGATATAGTGAAGAGTGTGCGCAATGCCATTTTTTGTGCAATTCTGGGATTTTTTTTAAGTAAAAATAAGTCAACGTGTACATGGTTTAGTGATATTTTAATTAATGATAGTTATTTTGTGAATTTTATGTTTGTAGGAATTTGGTATATGTTTCAGTTGAAGTAAACGTGTATGGAAATAATTTAAATATTGACACTAAGTATTTGTAACCATTTGTAATGTTTGCGGTATGAATTTGTTGGTGACGTTTATAATATAATAGATAATTTAGAGGTAAAAGTTTTTGGGATATTTTATTTATTTTATACATGGAAATGTTCATCCTTGGAAAGGGTATATACTTTTTCGCGATCAGGTGATTTCATATATGTGCTTTTTACCGAGTTTAAAGATTGACAGAATTCTTTTGCATTTTCGTGCAAATTTTTGTAATTTATGAGAAAATAGCAGTGTAGATGGCCATTTTTGTGCAATTTTGGGATGTTTTTTTAAGTAAAAATAAGTCGACGTGTAAATGGTTTATGTGTATGTGTTTATTTTGAAAAACGGGCAAGGAGTTTGCGATTGTGCACTTTTTCCCAATTTTGCAGTTAATATTTGTCATGATTAAGCAGTTTTGTTACATAAAATTTCTAGCATAAGTGTAATTCGGATAGTAGATTGTTGGAAAAAGTGTTCAGTAAATAAAAAGAAAAAAAAAACATGTCTTTACTTCGTGAAGACAAAATGGCGGTGAAAAAAAAATAGAGGGTTGCTGTAGCAGAGTTGGTCGCCAAATTTTCGCCAAAAAATCGCCAAGTTACCATAATCCAAAGATCAACCTTTTAATTTTATAATTTCTGCATGCCATCTTACCAGATTTAAACTGATGATCTATAATCCGGAAAAATCGATAATCCGGAAACAGCGAAGTCCCGACGAGTCCGGATTAACGACTTTTGACTGTATAACTTTCTCACAACCGACTTTTAAAAAGCTGGAGAAAGATATCTCAGCTAAGTTGCTTATTTAGTGTTAATGTGATTTGTTTAAATTTGCGAGAACTGAGATATCTAAATTAGCTTTCTCTCCCTCTTTAAACTGCATTGTGTATTTTAATGTTTTTAGTAATTTAAAGTACAGCTACTGGTTGTATTGCATTCTGTTTAATGTATTTGTGTTCTGCTGATTATTACTGCCTGATATTGTGAACACTTGTACAAATATCTCTGAGGAAAATTCCAGAATTTTGTTATATTTCTTGTGATAAGAATATTACAAACCCGTATGCACACAGCACTTTTTGGTGTCAGAAGTGGAATTGAATGCCAATAGCAAGAGCGATGGAATGATGCAAACCTTGTGCATTCTAGCATTGTCCGTCATCTCTATAGGGCGGAGTGTTCAGGGTTTCATGTGGAAAGACATGGAGGTCTGTGCATCCACCCAAAGAGATATCACCCAAAGAGATAAGCACAAAAGTTGCCTCCTCCGTACAAATCTCCGTCACAGTTATTTGATGGATGATAACACGTTCCAGGTTCTCTCAAAATCAAAAAATGCCTACTGTCGCTTTGGAGGCTAAAACTGGACTAATTTGTAAACAGAGGAGATCTCCACTGATCAGCCATCCAGTGGACATGTTGATGCGCCCACCTCGAACATTCCCTTCCGTGATGTGATGCGAGCAGCATGGAGTGCCCCATCTTTTGCTGCAGCCATCAGAGGAGAATCTGAAATAAGAGAAAGTTGCCGTTCTGTTCCTTCATGCACATAACAACAAATACGTCATCTTTGCCCATTCACAGCAGTTCCTTATCCTTGGCTGAATCTCCTTGAGGCCAAATATGTGGTTAGAAATTGTTGCCAAATTCTTTGAACCAGAGATGGACTCACATTTAGTCATCTTGCTACTTCTGTCTGACTTTGTCCTACCTCTAGTCTCCCAATAGCTCTCCACTACAGTTCTTCGGGCAAATGATGCCTGAAGGTCATTGTTACGTATTGCTATTCCAGATTTGTTATTTCAGTATCACAGTGAAATTTGTAAGCTTGTTCTCAAACATGTAATTTTATTTTCCTTGCAGATGGCGTAGTTTGATTACAGCGCCATTAATTTGCATACTGCAGTTTTACTCAACAACTCCTATTTGACAACATAGTTGAATTTTATACAAATTGGCTTATTTTTTAATCTGTTTTTGTGATTTTTCCTTAATTTTTGGAAACCAGTGCATGTTGATGAATATTAGCTGATAATAAGCATGAATTAAACAAATATTCAATTAATATTTTGAAATTCAAAATCTCTAAATATTTAGGGATCAAAATCAAAAGGGAAAAGGTTGAAGCTTTAAATTCCATCAAACTAACAAGACAATAATTATATAAAGTATAATAAAATATATAATAAAGTATAATCAAGAAATTTGACATCATAAAATAAAAATTAAACAAGCTACGCTCCCATGAGTATAAACATCATGAAAAATAAAAATTAACAAGGCAGGGGTTTTCCTGATAACCAGAAATACTAGAAAGCAGTGGGAACACTTTTGTATTTAGCAAGAGTGCCAAGATCCAATATAGTAAATTTTTTGGAATACTAAGCAAAAAAATGGAAAAGCTATTGTTATCCAAGTGGAATAATGTAATTAAGATTATCTAGTATTTAAAAGCTAAAATCAAATAAAAAATACATTTAAAATCCAACTCATTAGGGATTTTGACACATACAGATAGAATTCTGAATCAATTTTGGTATCTTTTCATCTTTGTTATATATCCCACAATACTACCACAATTAATAATCAAGGACTGGTTGCAGAAATATGATAAAGATCTTATTTACTTCCTTGGCCTCAGCCTTGTAACCCTATTGAAAATCTTGGATATCACCTCAATAAACGAAATTAGGATCTTGAAAATATGATTTGCCATATTACTTAATGAATCTATAAGAGCAAACATAATAGTAATGGGTAACATAATAGTAACGGGTATTATGTTTGGTTTTCTGTAAAATGTTTCCCTCACCCTTCTTTTTAAATTGGGATATGTTTTTCACCCCAAATACAAAATTTTATAACAAAAGTTCCTTTTTCCCCTTTCATTAGTTTTATAATTGAAGAAAACAAATTCTTATCCTATATTACGCATTTGTTCTTTTTCTTTTTTACATTTTGTTTTATTTCAATGTTATAGCTGTTTGTGTGATTGATAAGCTGAATTTAAAAAAAAAAAAAAAAAACTTTAAGCTAAGATCACTAACATAAAATTACATTATAAAAATGTGTAGTGTTTAGTTCTACTAATAATACTGCTATTATATTAGTGGATTAGTAATTTCCATCTTATTTTTTAAATTGTGAAATATTATACATTGGCACAATAAACATGAATTACCTCCCAGCCCGACATAGATCTCCAATGTACAGATAGCTGAATATTTTGAAGAGTATGACATCTGGTAAGTTTTCAAAATGAGCTATGGAGTTTGTCTCCTCCTCTCCCTGAAAAAAAATATTTCAATAATTAAACATGGAATCATTTTTATCATGTCATCTTTGTCTGTTTATGAATATCAGTTTACAGAAATATGTTATTATTAGAAACAAATTATCATTATGATAAAACAGAAAAACTTCTATAAATGGTCCTGCTATTCTGATAGCACAAGATAATCGTTACATTTTTATTTTAAAATATCTGAAAGCAGTTATTTATCAAATTACAAAATAATATTTAAAGAAAAATAGTCCACTGCAAGTGTTACAGGTGTTTTAAAAAAAAAACCAGTACTGCCAGACTGTTGGCAATTACTTTGTTTTAATATTGCAGGGAATGTAAATGTTAAGAAATACAGGAGAACTATACTTGGTAAAATTAATTAAATTAATAAACAACTAGTACATACTAAGCAAATAAAATACGCAAAATTTGTCTATTATTTATTATTTGCTTCAAAAAGAGAATTTTATAATTTTGCAAAATATGATGCAACATTAATAAAATTTACTGAAATTGATTTATTAATTTGCCATCCTGATTGGTATAGCAATTAACACTGCTTGCTGACCCTGGGTTCAAATCTCGGTGAAGGTATGGATGTTTGTGAATATGCAGTTGGTGATACAAGAACCTTGACCCTTGCCTCCCAAGGCATTCATCGAAATAGAGATAAAACTCCCTTGTTTTTGGAGGGATAAAATAGGCCCCCTTCATGGTTCACTTAAAGTGTGCAGCATTCTTGGTAATGAGACAGCTAAATAACTGATGATACTGGCTACTCTCAGGAAATGCATTAGGTTGCAAGTGCCCAACCATTTAAAACAAGAGTAACATATATCAATTCTTACAATTAAACTGTCTTGCAAAATGAGAAATACCTTTATATTTTATCAAAAATTTCCATCTGTTGGCAAACACTGACACCTTCACAGCATTTCTTTTCTGCAATAACTGTTTTTGGTTTAAAACTTGTTTTAATAGCACTTACTAATTTAATGCAATTTATTGCTGTAGAATAGTGACAAAATACACTGCTGGCCATTAAAATTGTAACACCAGAAAGAAATAATCTCACAAACGTCAAAATCACATAAAAGGAAGAAGAGGTTGGTATATGCAAATGATTAATATTTCAGTGCACTTAGATGACACAAAAGGGAGAAATGACATCTGAAGCACTGCATAAAAGAAAAGCTGTGTAGTGGATTTCTCATTCGGAAAGTGCTTTGTAAGATCAGAGTTTGCTCAGAATATTGTGTTATGCATTGAATAATAAGAAGAAATGCTTACTAGCAAATGTCAGAATTCGACAGAGACAGGATTATTGCCCATCGAGAGTGTGGATTATCGTTCCATGATATTGCCTGTCGCACTCGTCGACATCCTACCACTGTCATGAGAATATAGAATCAATGGGTTACTGAATGGCAAGCAGGATCTCAACACACTCTTATCACTAATGCCCAAGAGGACAGACATATTGTGAGGTAAGCCCTGTAAAACCGTAAAACCACATAATGGACCATTAGTAAGGAAATGGGTATTTCTGCAGCATGCCCAATATCTGCCTGTACGGTGTGTTAACATTTGCAGCAGTGTGAACTATCAGCATACCGACCATTACTTCGGCTTCCCTTGACAATACAGCATAGAGAAAGAAACCGACTCTGGTGCGCTGGACAATAAAGCTGGATACAGGAGAGATCGTCTTTTCAGATGAGTCCCGGTTCTGTGTGCAGTATTCTGACATGTCTGGAGGCTCCAAGGAGACAGCACGTCACCTGCTTGCATTCGATATCGGTATAGGGGCCCTGCACTTGGTGTGATGGTTTGGCCAGCCATTGGGTACAAGAAATGCACATTTCTAGTTTGGATCGACGATAATTTGAATGCAGATCAGTACATTTCTGATGTCTTACATCCAGTGATTGTGCCCAATCTTCGAGGTCTGCCAAACACCATTTTCCGACACGACATGCACCAAGACCACATGTTGCATGTTGTGTTCTGGACTTCCTCGATACACAGGGTATTCAACTGCTGCCCTGGCCTGCACGGTTTCCAGATCTGTCACCCACTGAAAACATCTGGTCATGGGTTGCTGAGAGACTAGCCCACCACCCCTCTCAAGCTAATATGGTTGAAGAAGTGTGACACAGACTTGAGAGCACCTTGGAATGAGTTACCTCTTTCTGTCATTCAACCCCAGTTCGACTTCATGCCTAACCAGGTAAGGGCTGTTTTAGCAGCCAGGGGTGGAATACAAGGGGCATCAAACTGCTTACAAATTTAATAATTTTGCCTTCATGCCATACTGTTTATGTACAATATATATCATTTTTGTATTTGCCTTCCTTCATAGTGTTGCAATTTTAATAGCCAGCAGTGTATTTTGCATGAATGTCCAAAAAATTGATGCTAATTCACCATTTGTAGAAAGCAGAAACTAATATTATTTTACCCATTTACACTAACTGAACATTCTGCATTTCAAATTTGCATTAAGTGGATGGAGTATGCTTCATTAGAGGTTCTCAAACTGTGGATTCATAATACAATTTTTTATGGGTTCTGAAGTGTTTCTGTTACATGCAAATAAAAATGAACTTAAGTATTTACTAGTAATTATTACTGAATTTATGATTATAATTCAATACATATATCTATTTGGCATTATTTCATTACCACTGTTGAAAAGTAAGAAAGGTTATGTCTTTTAGGCAATTCATAGTCCATAAACAGAACCTGTAACTGGAGAGGTCTACAACACAACACAGCAGTTGCTTATAGTAACTTTTGTACTTATATATTTATTCTAGGCTTGAGCACTTTAGCTAGTCACTGATAATAGCATTTTTTGTAGGAGCCCTCAACTTCTAATGTAGAAATTCAAGAACAAGACAAAATTGGAATTTTCCAGTAGTCTTCGGTGATTTGACACTAGAAGCCCGCATATTGTAGGAATCGACAATACAGAAGCTCTGTGATCGATGTTGAAGGCTGTTCTTCAATGGCAAAGAAGCAAGCCTACAAAATGTATGAATGCAGATTGTCATTTAAGTTATACTCCACCAGCTTAATTAGCAAATCCTTATGATATTTTATTTTAGTTCCAAATAGGAAATGGACAAGAAATAAGTAAAATAGGAATTAATATAAATTCTCAACAATAACATTACTTTCTTCTTTTTCTAACTTTTTTTTGACAGCAACTTGAGCTGTCAAACTTGATCATATGTAATATTTACAAAAATGTACCAACTTATTGCAAACTTAGTCAATAAGCAATAAACATCCTTAAGGCTCATAAATAATAATAATAATAATAAGCATTTTATAAGAAACAAAACCATAATTTACATGGCTGATATTTGCAAGTTCAACCGAATGTTGAAAATGAAGGTGCACATAACAAGCAAGTATCTTTTTTTTTTAATTTTCTGGAGTCATTCTATATTACACACTACATTTATACACAGACAAACACGGAGATAACATTGTTAGTAAAATACATTCAAACTTTGTTTTATATATATAAAAAACAAATAAATAATGTTACTCTAACAATAATACTAAGTATTTTTAATAGGTTGCTTTTAATAAGATTATGTGAACAAAATTTAGTGTCAAGATTGTGTGTCTGTACAAATAGACATAAAATCTCTAATGGTTCTCAATTTATTAAAATTATCATACAAAATGATATAAAAATTTTACTTTTACGTTATTTAATTACAATACAATTTATAACGATCTTGAAAATTGTTTGGACCTACTTTGAAAATTTCTAAAACGATGTGCTCATATTTCTGTCCTACATAAGAAATATTATGAAAACAACAGGCATATAATTCGGTTTGGTAGGAATAAATGCCCGGGATATAAAAGTGATGACATACTACTACATTTTATCTTCTTGCCAACAACAATCTACAAGTCACAGAAGTAAACTTCTAGCGTAAATCAAATATTTAATCTGACACAAAATGCATTAAACTAATTATAAAGTTAAAGTACACTTCGTTGTTAATAATTTAATTATTATTACTTCACAAATAAGCCTTTTCCCAGCAATTACATGAATAAACGGCATTTAAAAAAATTCTTACTTTTTTCAACAACGACATATTCTGAGATATAAATATGAACTTCCTTTACTTAAGCATATTTTTCTGAAGACGAGAAATAGCCTACTATTGTTTAAAATTGGTATTTTCTAAGAGGTACCACCAAAACGCCATTTTTTGAGTAAATAATGCACGGATGCGGTTACAGTTAAATACATGTTAATAAAACTTTAGTTAGGCTTAACTATAGCATTAGACTATTTGAAAACTAACAAGTTAAATCGTGAGAGAAAAGGAAATGTTTTAAATATAATTTTGTACTGTAAGTAATTTTTAGTGCATGCTACATAAGTCACTCGTCTTTCGTACACTCCTAACTTCTGCTGAAATGAATGAAATAATAGAATTTGGGAATATTTCGCACAAGAACTGCATGAAATTTGCAATCAACAGAAACTCGGATCTTGTATGATGCACAAACAGCAATTTTCTTTAAAAATAATTTCATGCAAAATATTGCAGTAGCCTTAACAACTTCTATAGCACATGGAGAGCCTGTTTAAGAGTTTCTGGAACTCTACGTACAACGTTCCTTCAGAGATTCCCAATATCCATTTTTTTCTTTTTTATCAATGTCAAGAATAGACTCGCTATGGAGACCATCGTTACTCAGTGGCTGCACAATTTTACTGTTGGTTCTCAGTTTGACTGTCATTTTAAAGTTGGGGCTGGTGTTTTTTCTGATCCTCAAGCAGCCATTCAATCAATTAGCTATGTTGAACACCCATCAACACATAAAATTTTGCAATGTCAAGAATTCCTGAGAACTGTCACTTTAAAGGAGAAACAAATCATTCTCCAGTGGTTGCCTGGCCACTGTGGCCTTTGAAGGAATGAACAAGCGGACTTCTTGCAAAAAGAGGTGCCAGCTTACTACATCATAATGCCCTGTTTCTTTACTGAAAGATAAAGTATTTTTTTTTTTTTTTTTTTTTACGTTTAATATCTTACGAGATCTTCAGACTCGTGCAGCCTTACAACGTTGGAGAATGATAAGTCCTTCCCAAACCAATATAGTTGCGGCTTTCCGTCTGCCTGCGCAGGAGATCGGGTCGCGTGTTATTTTTTCGATTGGAGGTTGCTTGAAAGGGAAGAGCGGAAACTGAGTCATATCGTTAGGAGTATGAAGGGACTGAACACGGTAAAAGAGCTGAAATTAAACGAAAAAAGAAATCTTTTGAAAAAAAGAAAAAGAAAAAAAAAAGGTCTTGCTAGAGTGCGGGACTAGAGCTCCATCTTGCATTTGTTACGGATGCGCAACTTAATGCGTGAGCATTTGACAGACTTTTTGACCGTACCTGTATCTCTTGCTGTATATCTCACCTTACCTCATCTCTCTTCATTTCGAACACTATGATGGTATGAGCACAGCGCTGAAGGCGAGTCATCTTAAAATCCGTGAGAAGTATCCAGAAGTAATGCTCAGTGTGGGTTCTTCGGAGATCAACAGAAATACGCAAGACCAGCGTCGGACTATTAAGGTTTCCTTAGCTTCCGCCGATGTTGACAATCTCCAGCAACAGAGGTTAAACGAATGCTTTTCGCCCCTTTCAAGCAATTTGTGTACAGAATGGACTTTAACGTGTGAGTGAATTTTTCATTCTTTCTCTGTCTTCTTTAATTCCATAGTAGATTAAGTAATAATAATTTGGTGAATCTTCGGATTATGGTAACTTAGCGAATTTTTTGGCTAAAATTTGGCGACCAACCCTGCTACAGCAAACTGCTAGTTTTTTTTTTTTTTTTTTTTTTTTTTTTTTGGACGTCATTTTGTTTTCACAAAGTAAAGGCTTTTTTTTTTTTTTTCCCCGACTCAACATTTTTTCCAACAATCTGCTAGCCGAATTATTGCTTTTATGCTAGGGCAAATTTATATATGAAACATGTAATCCCCCCTTTTGGATCATGACGAAGAACTCTAGATTCGTCTAAATGTGCTTATTGGCTAAAATCCCGATCGGAATTTTCCAGAAAGTAGTGGAAGAAACGTGCACAGAAATTTGTTTTTACAGAGCAAATTTATATATGAAAAATGTAAATAATTTTTCTCATAAATTAGAAAAATTTGCACGAAAATGTAGGAAAATTTTGTGAATCTTTGAAGTCGGTAAAAAGGACATATATGAAATTACCTGATCGCTAAAAAGTATGTATACTATGCAAGCTTTTATATGTTCATCTTGCATATACCCTTTCCAAGGATGAACATTTGAACGTATAAAATAAATAAAATATGCAAAAAATTAGAATAATTTTCTTTTCCTTCTAAATTATCCATTATAAAAGTCACCATAAAATTATCTGTGATTGGAACTGTGTACTTTATCGCCTTACCAAAATGTCGCCAAACTACCCGTTACCATATTCCAAAGATTATCCAATAATTTTTATATATATGTAAACTAAGAAGTGATAAGAACTTTTAAATAATGGCCAGTTATTCAAGGTCTGTAAAATGTGAAACTCTGTTAATTGTAAGTTCTTACATTACTTGAACTGCAACGTTTAAGCTAAGACTTACATGTCATAGAAACTTTTTTTTTTTTTTTTTTTTTTTTTGGCTCAAGTGAGATCTATTTTTAACAACTAATTCTATAGTCTAGAGCACGCTTGAAAAAGAAATTATATGAATTTGAGTTATTGGATGTAAGGGAACTGATCAGTTAATCTGAATTTATATTCTAGGAATTTAATAAATGTGTTTGATTTATATCTTTTATGTTTCATTTGTTAATTCTGACTTACTTTAATTGTTGGTCTGTCCAGTCACTCCATTTGTTTAAGCCGTAATGCTTTTAAGAAACACTTAACTTGGAGTATTGTAAATATTTTTATGTATTTTGGGTATCACAAAGGGCCCTTAATTTAATGTTCTAGCCGCTTAATATAATTATTTCAACGTTTGGTTTTTGGACAATTTTAATTGATTTGCAGGTGCCGAGGAAGTATTTAAACTTTTGATTTTTTTTTTTTTTTTTTTTTTTTTTAAATTCCTGCTATTAGCTCAAACTTTCTCCATATCTTGTTCAAATTTTCAATCGTTAATAAAATACTTTTTATTCATCCACTCAAGTTCAAATAAATTTTTTTAAACTTGTAGTGGATGACACTTGATGTTAATACAGTTTTTTCATATATTGCAATATTGGCATATTGATAATAATGGTGTTTACAGAATAAACTAATAAATAGTAATAGTAATAAACGCAGGAAATATGTAATACAGGTTGTAATGCACATTGGCAATAATGCCTGTAATGCACATTGGCAAAATGCCTGTAATGCACATTGGCAATAATGCCTGTAATGCACATTGGCAATAATGCCTGTAATGCACATTAGCAATATGCCATTATTGCCAATGTGCCAATTGCCATAACGAAAAAATATTAATAATGTTAATAAAAAGTAACTAAAATAAAAATTTTCTTTGTTGACCTAAGTATGAATTGACTTAAAAAAAAGTTTTTTATATTATTTATTTACTTATGAGGAACTGATTGATTGTAGTTTGAATATTTCTTCTCTGGTGTTTGTGAGGTTTTGAATTAATGAAATTGAACTTTGTGGCTCTTGAATTAATTTAGAAATTGACTGAATATGTAGTTTATGTGAATTGAACTAATGGTTTTGTTTGAGAGATAGCATTCTCTTTTAACAGAGCACCAGCGATGATTTATTCTTCTTTATTTTTCAGGTTAAGTTTTATTAAGTGTGAATTCGCATTTCATTTAGTTAATTGATTCTAAGAAAAGGTGATTAAATGTAAAGTAGGTTAGACCAAGCACACAGTGCTCCACCGAGTATAAGAGTTTTCAAAATATTATTTTTAAGATTTTTTTTTTTTTTTTTTTTTTTTTTGTGTGTGTGTGTGTGTGTGTGTGTCCGGCACAAACCACGTAAAGTTTGGTACCAACAAATTATAGGTAACAACACTTTTCTCCTATATAACAACTTAAAGAAATTTGTGATTAAAAAACTCAACGATTCCAAAGCCAGCAGTGGCAACACTGTACGGATTAAAGCATTTTGCTCTCCAGCGCACGAGACTGTTCATCGGAAATTATAAAGATGTGCTGTTTTTAAGTCTTTAGCGGTTTTGTTGTTGAATCGAATTTTATGTGGCTTAAGCGCCAAGAACATGATTAAATAAACAAAGTAAACACACAAAACATTAGCCATAAAAAGGTTAAAAAGAGTTTTGTAAATCCATGTTAGTAAGAAAACTGAACATTGATATGAGGAATTGAGAAAAGACTTAAGGAAAAAAAAAAAAAAAAAAAAAAAGTATGCCAACAAATTAGCGCTGCATCGGGAATTTCAAATGTGTACTGCTATCACAATTTTCTAATTTTGCTGTTGAATTGCACATGGCGTAAGTGCGAAGAAAATGATGCCTTATAATAACGATAAAGCTAAAAAGACACAAAAAAGGGAGTTAGTAGGAGTCAGTGTAACAGCAGATTGATAAACTGCGTACTCAGCGAGTGTTAGGCTGTTAGTCAGTCACCACAGATCACTTTGGTGTGAACACAGGGAAAACTGGTTCTCCATTACAAACAAACTGATAGTATTCGAAGTGGATAGCTGATTGGCTAAAAACGAACAACTTGCACATTTTTTCGAAAGGAAGGTAAAAATCGCGCGTCTTTCTTTCAATGGATCGATTTGATTGATTTATTCTCTAGTACTTCACACTAACGATCGGTTTAAATGTCCCCTTTTTAAATTTTTATTTACATTTCTAACGGTTAAGCTTGATTTTAGCTAAAAATAAATATAATAAATTGCTTATATTTAAAATTAATAAGATAGAGTAATTCAGTTCTACTCAATAGAGTAATTCAGTTTAATTTTTAAAAGCATAAACGTCGCAGGCTCCCATACTTGTATTTCATACAAGCTTTAACATTTATACAAATATTTTTGTTATTAAAATTCGTATTATAGAGCACTTTAAATTTATCATTTTTGCAAGTCACTTTATTGTTATTACGTCACAATTCGTTACATACTAGCATGCAGACAAGCTTCATCATTTTTTAAAAAAAAAATTAAACTTTAGCATTAATGAAAAAAATCTGATGTATACACCACATAACTTCCTTGTACGGAATATT